AAGTCCAACTCGCGCATCGAGGGGAGGAGTGCGACCAGTGATGCGACCATGAGCCCCTCGGTGCTGCGCGGGATGCCTGCTTGAGAGCCCCGCAAGACTTCAGGGATGGCCACCCTCGTTATGCGCCGCATCACCTCCGATGGCTGACCGGCGAAGGGCAGGGCCAGCAGGCTGGACAACTTATCTTCCAACTCCGCCGAGTAATGCAGCCTGAGGTCGACCGCATTGCACCGGGGCCAGCGAGCAAGCGGCGGCAGGCAACCTGCCTCCCAGAGGTCTACTGTATTAACGGAAACCTTCAGGCGCACTGTTTGGACGCTGCCGTCGAGGATTTGTCGAAGCCTTCTGCATGTCAGACGTGCGGCTACAATGTCATTGCAATCGTAAGTTTCGTAGAGTGCGTCATACAGGCTGTCCGCAGCCTCGTTTGGCAGCGCCTGAAGCACGTCTTCGAAGGTGGACGCCTGTGTTGATACCATTCTTTACGGAGACAAGTATTGTGCTAGCCAAAGTGTTATTGCGACATTGCAATGGAAAGGTAATATCGCAGCGTTGGGATTTCGCCCACACTGCTAAGTCCTAATCGTCGCTCAGGCACCAATTTAGGAAGAATTCCTGAGCTTGGAACAAACGGTAAGCATCTGCACGTGAGCTGCTACCTATGTCGAGACACTCACAGGCGGTTGCAACGTGATTACGGATGCTGAGGCGGGATCCAAGGTGTGCGCAAGGATGAAATGATACTTCGAATGGAACCGTAGCTAAGGCCTATGCAAGCGCTGTGGTACAATTCTTTGCATATTATACCACCATTTGAGCTCTGAACGTTCCTTGATTAGTTTGCGATGCAGGAGGGCTGGGGCGCTGGACAGGAGTGTCCCGTGGGTCCGCATCCCCGCCGAGGAACGCAATGCAGTACTAGTAAGGCCCGCCTTCGGCGGGAGCTGCCCGTAGCTCGCGGGAGAGAGGTGATGTCGTGGAGGTGCGGTTGCACGCATGCATGTAGGGCGTGAGGATGCAGAAGGATGCTTAAAGCACAAAAGGAATGGCAGCGATTGTCGCCAAGGCTGCATATGTAAACGGGTAGGAAGCACAAACGGCTTGAGGAAGCCAAAGAACAATGCATTAGTAAAGGCATCCAGGTGGTGGAGTGCAAACCCCTCCCTAGCTGCCCGGATACTGGTGCCCATGCTTAAGTGCGCATGCCGTGCCGTGCACTGCCGAAGTACCGGTACCGGCACCTGTGCGTTAGTCCGTCAAACCCAGCCACCCATGCATCAACGCTGTTGCATGAGTGCATACCTACCCGGCAACACCCACACGGCCCTGATAAACCGGCACTGATACATGCATGCACCCGCCAGTACCGGTAACTCGAGGAACGCACCGCCCGGTGGAGGGCATGGGAAGCGGCTGAGGGCGCGGCTGTTGGGGGCCGGGGGAGGCGGCGGGCTTAGCGGACCGTACACAGACCCATTGTGCCCGTCACCGTTTACATGCATCCCTGCCCTGCCCAGGTGCCGAAACCAATGCGTTCGTGCATAAACCCCTGCCATACTCAGTTACACTCGGCCACGCGACCAGCGGCTCTGCCCTGCTCATCAGCTGGCACATGTGCGTACAGGAGTGAAGGCATTGGAGGTAGGAACTTCACGGGAAGGGCAGAAAGGCCACACGCGGGCCCGCAGGAGGCCCGAAAGGGCGCTGCACCGATAAGGGCACAACAGCCAGGGCCTCGCGGGTAAGGACAGCCGAGGGCAGTTTGGGGCAGGCACTGCACATGGAAGGGCACCGGGGCCCCACGGCGGGCCGCATGAGACCCGCAAATTCGCTGCACGGGAAGCACACGGGGAAGGGCAGCTCTATAGGACATTGGGAGGCAGCCGCCGCCGGGGAAGGGCAGGGGCCACAAGCGCGGGCCGCGCGGGTAAGACAGCCGAATAGGGAGGGCATGGGGAGACAATATTTTTAGGTACAGCGCGGGGAAGGCCAGCCGGCACTGGGAAGAAGTTACGCCGCGAGACAGGCACTGCGCGCATCCCTTATCACCTTCCGACGATCCAGGAAGCTTCTACTTGCGGCTGATTGCGGCCAGTTTTTTGCCACCCCCTGTCCAAGCTCAATCACCCGAAGCCGTGAAACCAGCGCTCCGCCGTGCTCATGAACTGGCGCATATGCGAAGGCAGGAACTTCAAGATGAAGGCTCGACAAGCCCCACTCGGGGTGCCGCACGGGGAAGGGCAGCTGCATGGGGAGGGCATGAGGTGGCAGACACTGCACTTGGAAGGGCAGACAGGCCCCACGGTGGGCCGCAAGAAGCTCTCAAGTGCGCTGCACGGGAAAGCACATGGCGAGGCCGGTGCAGCGTGGGGAAGGGCAGCTGCATTGGTTAGGGCATGGGGAGGCAGCCGCCGCCGGGGAAGGGTTGGGGGAGGCAAGCGTGCGCCGCGCGAGTAAGGACAGCCGCATGACGAGGGCATGGGGTGACAGGTAGGTAAAGCGCGGGGAAGGGCAGCGAGGCCCCACGGAAGGCCGCAAGAGGCCCACAGAACGCAAGAATGGGACAGACTCGGGGAGGCTGGCGCCGCACGTTGAAGGGCATCAGAGGTATGCCAAGAACGGGAAGGGCATGGAGAGGCAGGCATTGCACGCTGAAGAAAATGTTAGGCAGGCGGGCAAGAGCCATTTCATTCACCATTCAAGGAAAAGGCAACAACGGAGGCACGCGCCGCGCGGGGAAGAGCATGGGAAGGTTATCACTTGGCGTTCAAAAGCGACGGATCTACGTCTACATAAGAAGGTAAAGACCCGGTAAATGGCTTAATGACGGCACGTGCGTCCTGAAGCCCAAGCAAAGACGGCTGCTTTCGAGGCAGGTAAGCGAAAAGCAGACGTTGAGACTGGGGGGTAGCAAGCGCGACATCATACGTATGAATATGCAACACAACGTGCGACATCCATAATCCTGCCTTTACTACAAACCCATTTACGTGGCAAAGCCGAACGATGCCGATGTGCAGACAAACCGATGATGATTGAACCGCCGAAGCGACACACCTTGCACCGCGAGCCAAAAAGCTGCTGGCCTGCACGATACGTGGCACTCTGCTTTTTTTCGAGTATAGCGAGTTTAGCGACGCTAGCAATGTTTTTCTTTTTTACCTACAAAAATCAGGAGCCACTATGCGCTGCACGATTAGAAGCCTGTGAAGCGTTGACCGGCAGCAGCGCTTTGGAAGCTATACTGACCCCTGGGTCTATGGACGGGACGAGCGCCAAGATCTGCCCTCCACAATTCACCGCTTAAACAATAGCCTTAAATGTCCCAAATTAGAAGACGCTTTAATCAGCACGAATTACGAAGCGCGGTGATGCCGTTAATAGTTCGTTAAAGAAGCGTGACAGCAATTGCGGGCTACGCTGAGTACTTCAACATGAACGCCGAGCCGTGTATATGCCGACTGAAAGGATCCCGTTGAGCGTGACAGGAACCGGGTATGCTTCCCTTCGCTTCGCTCCTCCGAAACCGCATACTGCGTATACGTTTTCTCGGAATCAAGCTACGGGGATAAATGTCTGTGCAATTTATCACGCGACACTGCTACAGCGAACAACCATAGCACCGTCCAGCTGTCCTGCTAAGGGATCCCTCCGCAGGTTAACCCGAGAGTGCTGAACTGCCTCACAAAGCAATCAATTTCAGCAATTGGTAGTAACATTCGACCACCGTTACACACTCGTAATACCTCGACTGTCCTTCTCATTCCCACATATTCAACCGCCCTCCCACATGCAACCACCAGACGAGGAGTCTCCTGGCGGCTCCACGCACTCAGCAAGCACCACATGCACGCTTGCATGCACGCTTACAGGCATGCTTACAAGGTAGCTTCCCAAGATAGCTGCAGCCTAGCCCAAGCTCGTTCAGGAGACCCTTGTCTCTTCTCCTCCAGTCCCCATGCAACACGTCAAGACATGATCTGCTCCATCAATGTATGCTGAAAAGAAACACCTCCATACCTCAAAATTGTCATCAAACATAGCCCAGCGGCTGCATGCAGCAGTGCACGGCCCGTTTTCTGGCCTCTCATGTTCTTCACCTGTCCCCACACATACATAGAACACGTCTACAGCTCACGCAGCTGGGTCTACAGCAATCGAGTGTCAGCACGGGAGGTTCGCAGAGGTGGGGTCCCTCCCCCCCAACAACTGCTTTCGGGGCCATTCAACTGCTTAGCCACCAAGTCCCAGCACTCCCAAGTCACCTTGCTGCTGTTTGCTCATTCCAAACAGTGCTCTAGTGCACCCTCCCATCCCCATCCACGCACTCCACCACCCACCCATACATCCTTTCTCCACCTGCTGCTGCCCATCCCTCCCCCCGCACCCTGCAACCACAGCCCTGTGTCCCCTATCTATCTATCTACACAACCTCGCTCGCCTCCATACCACTGGCCATCCATCCATCCTTGTCATGACCGCCACAGCACCAGGCCTCCCCGGATCATGTCCTCCTCCACCGCAGCCACCCCAGTGCCCCTCCCCTCGTCAATGTACCTCGTGCGCTCCTTCTCCACCCTAGCCTGCACCGCCTTCGCCCCACCCTTGCCCCTCTTGCCCTTCGCCGCCTCGTTCTCCTGCCACACGCTGGTCTGCAGCTCCCGCATGGAGAGGCGGTTCAGCTGCAGCCCCGCCTGCAGCCACACCAGGCTCTCCAGGTCGCCGGTGCGCAGGAAGTGCGACGAGCTGTGTGTTCGGAGGAGCTGACACCCCTGACGCAGCCGCCGCCGGCGGTACGGCAAGGCAGCTACTCGGCGCCGTCGCCGTTGCATTCTGGCAGTGCGACGCCCGAGCGGCGGCGGTTGGGGCGGCAACGCACTAACGATCTCGACGGCATCCCGGAGAGCGGCGACAACAGCCGTACCAACAGCTTTAACGGTCGCCAACCGCGGCTCAGTGCGGGCGCCGGCATGGGTGTCGGCGGAGGCGGCCTGTCCAATAGCGGCCGCCTGCGTCATGCCGCCAGTGCTGACGGCAGCACCAGCTCCGCCGGCATGCCTTCAAGCAGCACCAGCAGCAACGGCTTCGGACCCATGGTTCAGGAGACGGTTGTGAAGGCGCTGCAGCTGCTGACCGCCAAGGACTTCCGCGAGCGGATTGAAGCCATGCGCAACGTGGAGGGTGTGGTTTCGGCGCTGTCCGGCGCACCTGACGGCCTGCTCATGACGCTGTTAGACGCGCTGGTCGCTCGGCTCGGCGACGGAAACACCAAGGTCTCCATGGCCGCACTCGGACTGGTTGCAAACCTGGCTGGCTCCCTACGGCACCGCATGTCGCTAGGGCTAAACACCTTGGTTCCTGCACTAGCAGCGACCCTGGGCTCAACCAATGACAAGGTCCGAGCCGAGGCAGTGGTGGCTGCCGACTCGCTGCTCGCCTCGCTGGACCCGGCCATGCTGGTGCAGCACTTTAGTCACTGCGTGGGCAACGGCACGCTGCAACGCGGCAAACCCATTCTGGTGGAGAAGCTGGTGCAGATAGTGAACGGGTTGTACGGCACCAAGCCTCAGCTGGTGACGAGGTACGCGGTGCCTGCGGCGTTTGCGCTGTTGAACGACAGTCGCGGCGGGGAGGCCAAGGCGGCGGCGAATGCGCTGTTGGGTGCGCTGGCTCGGCTGATGGGTCCCGCGCTGCTGGAGCAGGCGACGTCGTTGAATGGGGTGGCGCAGCAGAAGGTAGCGGAGGCGGTGGCGGCGGCGACGGGGCAGGTTATGAGTGAGTGGGACCGGGAGCGGTCGGGTACAGGGGACAGGCACGGTGGCGGGGGGCGGTAGCAGCCGTGTGACACGGCGGATAGTAGGGGGCAGGGCTGGTGATGGTGTTGGTGGTTTGGCATGGGTGGGCTTCTGACAGCATCAGGGTGTTGTAGTAACACGTTTGTTGATACCGGGTAGGTTTTGGGTTGGGCGGAGGAGCTCGTAGGAGGGAAAAGGGCGGTTGGTTATGGTTGGTTATGGCACGGCCTAAACTCGCTCGAGAACACCCTTGTCATCCTCACGTCCAAGGCGCGCCTGTCATGCACGTACATGCTTTGTATTCCCGCTGCACCCATCCTGCACCCACTCTCCGCCTACAGAGAGCCCAGAAGTCCGCACGCACGGAGGGCACCCACCGTCACCTGCAGCCGAAGCTGGCGGCCAGCGAGGCGACAGAGGTGGAGCCCAACCTTCAGCTGGCGGCGGCGCAGCTGCAGATGGAAGCGCTACAGGGGGCGCTGAAGGAAAAGCAGGAGATGAAGCAGGAGATGGAGCAGGAGATGGCGGCACAGTCGAAGCAGCACCGCGAGGAGATGGCTATGGAGGCGAAGAGGCTAGCCGAGGCAATGGTAAGGAGGGCTCCCGGCTGCCTGCCGGGCTGCTGCCGACACGCTCCATCAGCTGCAGCACCTCCGTGTCGTCATCCCCAGGTGCAAAGTCATACGTGAAGGTCAAGTCGGTTAGCTCTTCTAATAACTGCAGGATGCTGGTGACAGCTGCCTCAGGGTGCTGGTGTCATGTTGACCTCCAAGCACCTCAGGCTGCCCGCCAGTTCGCCAACATGCTCAGGGCGGGGCCGTACGGCAGATTCAGGGTCTCCAGGTACGGCAGCCGGGCCAGAGCGGCCACCATGATCCGCTGCTGCAGTGTGGTGAACGGCATGACGGTGCGCAGGTTGCTCAGGGCCAGTTTACGCAGCGCTGGGAGGAGGGTGACCAGCGATGCGATCATGAGCCCCTCCGTGCTGCGCGGGATGTCTGGGAAGCCTCCAGTGACCTGGCAGACTGCAGCGACGTAATGTGCCGCAGCACCTCCGCTAGTTGACCGGCGAAGGGCAGGGCCGGCAGGCTTGCCAGCTCCTCACGCAGAGCCGCCGAGTAGCACAGGAGAAGCTCCACCGCATTGCACCGGGGCCAGCCAGCGAGCGGCGGCAGGCAACCCGCCGGCCCAAGGTTCACGGTTGCGGTGCAAACCCTCAGGCGTGCAGTCCGCACGCTTTCTTCCAGCAACCTCAGAAGCCCCTTTGCAAGCCAGGCGTGCGGCAGCAATATCCTTGCCATAAGCCATATGACCTAGAGTGTTATAAAGCGTGTCTGCAGCTTACAGTTGAAAGTTCTTGGAGCAGGTCACTGAAGGTAGCTGCTCGCCTTGCTGCCCTCCCGTATGTGGATAACTACAAGGTAAGGGTAGGTAACGCTAGAGGCGATGACAAGTGCCCCAAGATGCTTAGCACCCGCGAGGAAGAGGCCCTTCCCCAACGCATTTGTCATCTAGGTGAGATCACTCCAAAGGGCTACTCTTACAGCAACTACATCTGCGTGCCAGGCGCGGGCGCTTTCCCCTGATGCCTAGAACAACGGACTTATCCACTCCCCACTCCCACCACGCACCCCACACGGCACTCCCCTCGCCCTCAATAAGCCACCCCTCTCCCCTTGCCTTCCCTCACTCCTGCCTCACACAACACACCACATCGCATGTCACACACCTCACCCCATACCGCACAAGCCGCTCACATACCCTCTCTCTCTCAACTCACCACCCACATCCCGCCCTCGTTAGTCGTTCCCTCTTTACCCCCCACTGCTTCCTCACCCCCGCGCCTCCTCCGCCCCCTCACTCCCTACTGCTGCTCGCACCTCCCCCGCCGCCTCCCGCATGGCCTCCGCAATCCTCTTCGCGCACCCAGCCAGCACCTCCTCCGGCGCCACCAGCGCCACACGCACGCACCCCGCCCCGCCCGGCCCGAATCCCCTCCCCGGCGCCAGCGCCACCCCGGTGCGGGCAACCAGGCGCTGGCAGAACTGCAGGTCGTCCACACCGGCCGGCAGCGGCAGCCACAGGTACATGCCTGCGGGGGGGGAGGGAGAGGGGCGGGGCGAGCGCGGGTTAGCATTAGGAGGAGGGGGCGGATTGGGTGTAGAGGGTGCTTGGCAGGGGGGAGCTGGGAAGCGGAGTGGTGTTTGCTTGCACGAGTCAGCGCAGCGGCTGTTTCCGCTCTGGACATGGCAGGGTTTCTAGCCTGCCACAACAGCGCTGTAAGCTCGAACGCTCGCCCCACATGCTCTCCAAAGCTACGACAACCACAAACAACAGCGGCACTCATAACGATGTACAAGGTATAGACCAATACAGTGAGCCTAAAACAGCAATGCCACCGAACGGCCTGCACCCAACCAACGCATCCCCTCCCTTCTCCAAACAATCCCCCAAACCTCCCTTCTCCCCACCCACATCCTTGCTCTCCCCGCACCTGCCCCCGGCATGCGCACCCCCTCACAGCCCGCCTCCCGCAGCGCCGCCACCATGGCAGCTGCCCGCCGCCGCCACACCCCCGCGTCCCGCCGCACAACCGATCGGGGCAGCCGCAGACAGGCCACACCCATGCGCATGATGCCCTGGGGGCAGGCAGGCAGGCAGGTGGGGTTAGGGTGGGGCGGTGTCGGGGTGGGAGGGTGGTTGGGAGGGTGGTTCAGGACAGAAAGAATCCATGCAGTACACAGCTTAGGCGATGCGTCTTCCTGCAACATTGCAAGCCATCCAACCCATACGTTCCCACCTCCTCTCCTGTGCCGTCCCTCCCCTCCCTCTCTCCCTCCCCCCTCCAACCTTGTACTGGTTGAAGTCGGTGGGCGCCTTCACCGCCTCCAGCGCCGCAACCGCCCGCGCATTGCCCAGCGCGAATCCCAGCCTGAAGCCGCCCAGGTGGTAGGACTTGGCGAAGGAAAAGAGCTCCAACACGCAATCCCGCCCGCCAGGCAGCGCCAGCGGGGAGGGGGAGTCGGCGGACTCGTCAAACACCTGGGGGGCGTGGGGGCGGGGAGGGGAGGGGAGAAGGCGGAGGAGAAGGGAGCGAGGAGGGGTAAGGAGCAGCCCCAGCCATGTGACCGAGGCTCCGCCGAGCGGCAGGCATGCGGCATGTAGGCGCAAGAGCTACGTACCCTCTACCAGCCAACGAAACACGCTCTACCCAGGGTTCCTACCGCGGTTCCTGGTTGAGGCGTTTGGTTCTTCGTAACCATTCTAGGCAAGGCATATCCCCACCCCCACCCCCATGTGCCTGCTGCCAGCCTCCTTCCCTTCCCTTCCCTTCCCTCCCCAACCCATGGTGGAGCCCTGTTGCATGGTTGGCCTTTCCTCTTTACCTCCCTCCCCTGCCTCCCCTCCAACCCTTCCCACTCCCCGCCGCCCCCCCCCCCCGATCCCTACCAGGTCCACATACGGGTTGTCATGTACGAGCAGTATGCCGTACTGCCGACACAGGTCCACCGCCCGCTGGAAGAACTCCCGGCTGGCCACCGCGGCGGTTGGGTTGTTGGGGTAGTTGAGCAGCAGCACGCGCGCCGCCTGCAGCTGCTGCGGGGTCAGGCGGTCCAGCTGGGGCAGCAGGTCGGGGCCCAGGGGCAGGTAGTGGGGGACCAGGCCGGCAACCTGGACTGAGGGGGGAGGGGGAAGGGCGGGGGGGAGGTGTGCCCGTGGGTTGGCAGGGCGGGCGGGAAGGAGGAAGGTGGGGCGGGAGGACGTCGCAAGGTTTTGGGCGGTAGTAGTCATGGCCTCCTTCGTCATGTGCGGTCCCCACCCCCCACGTTGCATGGGGATCTTACTTCTCTTTTTTGTAACCCCCCTCACGTTATTAGGCTTATTACCTGCGCCAAAGTAGCTGGGGTAGGCGACGCTGGTCATGAGGATGACGTCCCCCACGTCAGCCACCGCCAGCAGCGCATGCGCCAGCCCCTCCTGCGCTCCGATGAGACTTAGAGCCTCCGTGGCGGGATCTAACTGCACGCCGTACCGCTGGCCGTACCATTCCGTAGCTGCCTGTGTGGGCGTGTGGGTGTGTGGGTGTGAAGTGGAGGACCCGTTTGCATGTTGGGTGACGGCAACCGCCTCTGACGCCATTGCACACTTGCGGAGTAAACAGGCACTTTGTCTACAGTCGTAGCATTTTACGACTGTCGTAAGGGGAGGAAAAAGCGGCAATGGGCTGTTTCGTGGCAGGTCCCGGGCGGGTTGTCCCCGCCGTTACCGGCATGTGCATGTAATGGCCGGCGTTTGACGTTCCATTGTGCTCCATACCTCGAGCAGCGGCATGGTGCCGCTTTTCAAGCAGTAGCTGTGCGTGCTGGGGTCGTCAACGGATTCCTGAGGCCACAGGAAGGGGCGAAAACTGGGCTAGCCATGGAAAGAGGAGTGACGGTGGAGGCGAGCAACTTACAACCCAGCATAGCCCTGGGCCCACCGACCTGACGGCCGGACGGGCGGTGTATAGTATCAAGGCCCCCCATGTCTGGGTTTCTCTACCATGCCGCCTGACTTGCCTTCAAGGCTAAGAGCGCCTCCGGCGGTGGCTGTAGGTCTGATGCACCAATGCTCAAGTCCACGACGGAAACACCAGAAGCCCTTGCTTCCGTTTTTGCCTTGTCCATAACCAGGAAGACGCCTGGCGATGGTACACGACGACTCCTATACGTTGGTTCACACATGGTTGCCATGTAAGCCACCGACAGCGGTGGTCGTATGGTCGGGTGTGGGAGTAAGAAACCAGCTGTCTATTTGTGCCAAGTAACAGAAGCGTAGAATTAGTGGCCAGCCCGTGGGCGGTTGGTGCTCCGAAGACTGGTTCAAAGGCGGTTTTCCTATTCTTGCCCCGGTGCCCGTTTTTGTTAGTCAGCTTTGCGAAACAATTCTGTCTGCACCATCTATATCCCATATACATATGCTTAAGCTTTTTGCAACAGTTCAACTGCTCGCAAGTATCGGTTTACATTGCCTGCTGTCTACGTGTTGCCCGGCATATAACCTTGAATTTGCTACTACATAGACCGCACGCTTTACAGTCACCTGTACAACTGGCCCTTATCGTGAAGCGTCGTTTAGCGATTGACGTGCAAGCGACAAGGGCCACACATCTCTGCCTGGCCGTTGGCGCTGGGTGGCGCCGTGTCGCCTGTATGGCGGCAACCAAGAATAACATAATATGGTTCCGCAAAGGGCTGCGGCTGCATGATAATCCTGCGCTTTTAGAGGCATGCAAGGATGCTGCGCACGTCTACCCCATCTTCATTCTTGGTACGCGGCCTAGAAAACGGTATAAACTAGAACTGTATGCGACGTCTTGCTTGTGATTCTGGGTTCAGTTAGCCCACATACGTGCCCACGGGGTTTTGCCCGTAACAGATTAGTCATTCGTTCGTGGCCTTAAGTGCCATGATTGGCAAGCGCATGTCTGTCAGAAACCACCTGCGCAGAGCCCCTAAACGGAGGCCTGTAGGGGACCCTGACTCAGACTGACTTTATTTCTTATAGTGTCCTTGGCCCCCCTGGCTCGTACGGACACACTGTACACGCGTACAGACTGTAACTGTTGTTGTAACTGCTACCCTGTCTCATGCGGCCGCACTTGAGCCTTCTCTATGCTGCACTCCTGCTCCTACAGATCCATTCTTTCTCCAGCAATCGTCGTACAAGTAAGTACACCCCAGAAGTCCTGTGCTTAAAGTAGCGCTTGGCCCAGCTGAAACACTTCCGCTCTTGCCTAGCAGCAGTCCCTCATGGGGGAGCGCTTGAGGCCAGAGCTCCTGGTCCCAGGGCACCTGTGTGGTCTTGCAGTGACGCTGTCTATTCAGCTTGATGCATGCCCGGGTTTCGGTGTTCATGTAGGGTGAGCGTTAACCGCTACAACTTCCTGCTGGAGTCGCTCAAGGACCTGGATGCCAGGTGGGCGGGAGGCGGGTCCGCTTGTAACCCCGGGGGAGCCTAAGGAGGGGCGCAGAGTTGTCGGGCGTAACGTGAAGGGCTGGAAGTTGTACTGCAGGTTTTAAACGTATGTCGTATAGCCCGGTATGAAAGTGAGAGAATGCTAACACTTACGTTAGGAATGAAAAGTCTCTTTTACACCTATCTTTCCGGCAAACACGCTATTGATACGAACTCCCATGTAATCCACCCATTCCCCGCAGCTTCCGGTCCCGTGGGTCGCGGCTGCTGGTGCTCCGTGGCAAACCCGAGGAGGTGCTGCCCCGGGTGTTCCAGGAGTGGGGGGTGCACAAGCTGTGTTTCGAGATGGACACGGAGCCGTACGCCCGGACGCGGGATGCGCGAGTACGGCAGCTGGCGGAGGAGGCGGGCGTGGAGGTGCATGCGGCAGTTAGCCACACGCTCTATGTGAGGGGCTAGAGTGAGGGGCTAGGGAGGAACAAATTGGTTGCATGGGTTGAGGGGAGGGGGCGGAAGTGCGGAGGCTGAAGAGGGAGGGAAAGGGGCCGTGCTTTCCGACATGGGAACGTTGGGATGTTGGGGTAGGAGTGTGTGGGGGTTTGCAGCCTGCTGATCCCTAACCTGTTGCCCGGCTAGGCTGGCTAGCTGCCCTTACTGTGGCCGTGTCGCCTCACGTCTGCGCCCACCCGACGTGGGGCGACACGGCCACAGTAAGGGCAGCTAGCTAGCCTAGCCGGGCAACACCGCCCGTCCACCTGTCCTTCCCTTGGCCCCAGCGGTATCATCCCTTCTCGCCCTCCTGTGTGTCCCTGCCTCCCTGAATGCCCGACAGCAAAACCCTAAGCCCCTAAACACAACCCACCTTCCACCTTACGCCACCTCCCCCACCTGCACCTCCTCCCCCACCACCTCCCCCCCCGCAGGACACGGACATGCTGGTCGCCCGCAACGGCGGCTCTCCGCCCCTCACCATGCAGGCCTTCTGCCGCCTGGTGGAGCGGGTGGGGGAGCCGCTGCCCCCGGCACCCGACCCGCCCGCGCAGCTGCCGCCCCTGCCGCCCCTGCCACCGCCTGCCACCACCTCCGGTGAGGAGGGGGAGGAACAGGGGCGGCAGCGGCCCAGCGCCGACCCCGCTGTCACCGGGGTGCCCACCTGGCAAGAGGTGGGCTTCAAAGAGGCGCCCGTCACCATATTCAGGGTGCGTGAGAACGGGTGTTTGCAAAGAGGAAGAAGCAAACTGTGTGAAAGGGGTTGGGGCGGGGTGGGAAGACAGGTGGACTTGGGGCCTGGGTGTAGTCTGCTCATGGGTGCGTGCAAGTGTATGTGTGTACAGCAGCTGGGGGCGGCATACACTCTGTGCCGTGCCGTGCACCCTGTCGCCTGGTTTCCTTCATTTCAAGTTCGTCCTCGCCCCGTCGTACACACCTGTCACCATGTGCAGGCTGCGCGGCTAACCTGCCGGTTTCCGACACTGTTGTGGTTACTCCCGGTTCACTGCCTCATTCCCTAACGGGGCGTATCTACCGGCACTTGCACGCCCCCTCACCTTCATCTCCTTCATCGCAGCATGGGGATGCCCTCCTCTAATCTCACATAACCCCCCCCCCGGGTGCTGTAAGCACCACCACCACCACCTCACCACCCCCAACCCCACCCTCACCCTCACCCCACGCCTATCCTTCGTGTGTCCCAACCCCACCACCGCCCCAGGGCGGCGAGACGGAGGCGCTACGCCGACTGGACGCCTCCTTCTCCGATCCCTCCTGGGTCGCCTCCTTCCAGAAGCCCGACACTGACCCCGCTGCCTTCGAGCGCCCCGCCACCACCGTCCTCTCGCCCTACCTCAAGTTCGGCTGCCTGTCGCCCCGCCTCTTCCACGCGCGGCTGCTGGCCGTGTACCGGGCGCACCCGCGGCACTCGCAGCCGCCCGTGTCGCTGAGGGCGCAGCTGCTGTGGAGGGAGTTCTTCTACACGGTGAGGGTAAAGAGGAAACAACTACCGGTAACAAACCGTGTGGTGAGGGGGGCAGGGAGGGAGGGAGATGGCTCCCACCTCACCTTCCTGCGCCCCCAGCACCCTCCACCCCAACCGCCCCCATTCCGTCCCATCCCCCCTTCCTCCGCAGGTGGGCGCCCACACGCCCAACTTCCACCGCATGTCCGGCAACCCGCTGTGCAAGCAGGTGCCCTGGCAGGACGACCCGGAGCTGCTGGCGGCGTGGAGGGAGGCGCGCACGGGTGGGGGGGAGGGATGGGGGGAAAGAATGAAACCATGTTTAAATGGGGGGGGAAATGTAACAGGGTTTGAAAGCTGGATATGAGGGGGCGAGGATTGCCCACGTGCGCTTTCTGCGCTGAGTTCTACGACAGCACCCCCGGGTTCGCGCAGCTCACTGCTATGTGTCCCCTTCCCCCGCCCAGGCTACCCCTGGATCGACGCCATCATGACCCAGCTGCGGCAGTGGGGCTGGGTCCACCACCTGGCGCGGCACAGCGTGGCCTGCTTCCTGACACGGGGCGACCTATGGGTCAGCTGGGAGCGGGGCATGGAGGTGTTTGAGGAGCACCTCATTGACCAGGTGGGGGGACCCGTGGGTCAGGAGTGGAGTGGAGTGGAGTGGAGTGCTTGCCAAATTCCCGGGCCTGCTGCTGTTGAAGACAGCGCCCTGCCTCCTGTCCTGCTTACACCCAATTCACTAGCCCTAATATCCTTCCTCCTCCTACTTCCTACTGCCTCGCGCCCCTCCTTACCACCATACAGCCCCCTGCGGTTTACTTAAAAAACCCCTCCCGCCCCCCCCCCGCCTCCGCCCCATGGACCATGGGACATGGGACTGGGATTCAGGGATCTTCACTTCTTCCTTACCCACCCTCCGCACCTCCACACCCCTGACCCCCCCCCTCTCGCCATGCAGGACCACTACCTGAACGCCGGCAACTGGATGTGGCTGAGCGCCAGCGCCTTCTTCAACGCCTACTTCCGCGTCTACAGCCCCGTCAGCTTCGGCAAGAAGTACGACCCGGAGGGGAAGTACATCCGCAAGTAGGTGGTACGGTAGTGGGGAGGGGAGCAGGATGGTAGTGGGGAGGGGAGCAGGGTGGGAGGGGGGTGCAGGTGGGGGGGGACGCATGCAAACCCGACAGTCCCCGGGTTGCGACAGACGAGTGGTGGTGGGGTTGGAGGGCCCGCACACGGTGCGCGGCTCGCTTGGCAAGCCTGACGGATGCCTAACGAAAGGCTGGTTGCGGACATGGAACTAACTGGAAGTGCGGTAGGAGCACTGGCGAGTTGCACGGCACGCATAGTGTACTGAAGAACCGCGCCTCTCGCCCCGTCCTTGCCTTCTGCCCTCTCCCTCCCTCCCTCCCTCCCTCCCTCCCTCCCTCCCTCCCTCAGGTTCCTGCCGGTGCTCAAGGACATGCCCTCCCGCTACATCTACGAGCCCTGGACCGCCCCCCTGGCGGTGCAGCGCGCCGCGGGCTGCCTGGTGGGCCGCGACTACCCGGCGCCCGTCGTGCAGCACGCGGAGGTGTCCAAGAGGAACATCGCGCGCATGGCGGAGGCGTACCGGGCCAACAAGTGGGTAGCTCAGGGGGGGCAGGGCAAGGGAGGAGAGGGCGGGGCCAGGGAGGGAGGGTGTGGAAGGTGCACTGCTGGCGTTACTTGTACGCTGCCACACGCACGCCCTCTCTGCGCGCTTACTAGCAACAGTGTAGACGCGTGTTAGGACTTCATTACGTTTTGAAACTCCTACACTTATGTATTACGCTGTTCCGGGCCGTTTGCATGCAGGTCCTCGGATGCAGATCCTGATGAAGCAACACCTGCAGCGGCGTCTTCTGCTGCTGTTACCGGTAGAGGGAGAAAGTCCGGCACGAGCGCCGCCGCCACCACCTCGGCAGCAGCAGCAGCAGGTGCAGCAGTCTCCGCTCCCTCCGCCACCACCTCCTCCAGGCGCCAGGGACAGAGCAGGAGCAGTCGTCAAGCGTCAGCGCAGGCGGAGCCGGAGGCCGCCGGGACGTCTGCTGTTGGGCAGACCCGTGGGTCAGCTGGCGGCAGGAAGCGGCAACGGACCATTGCGGAGGCTCTGGGGGCAACAACAGCAGGCAAGGCGGCTAGAGGCGCTGGGGAGTAGCAGTGATGAGCTGCGGGCTGGAATCACAACGGCCGTGCACGGCAGGCGATGGCTCTAGCTTGCACCAGATACGGTTGCTGTCAGCGAACCTGCCCTTCATTCGCATGTGGACGGCATGGAGGAAGCGCATGTGATGCCGCTGCATACCACAAGGTGCGGCCCTCACGAGGGAGGAGGGTCACTCGAGTTGGACTAGGTTGCGCCGGTGTGCGGGCGTGGTGGTGGGTTTCTGTAACAGGAATTCCCCAAGCATGGTAGGTAGGATGTCTACGCCAAACGCCAGCGCGTTCGTACAAACGTGGCCTGTGCGGTGCGGGGTATATTGCACGCAGCGATGACGTTTGCGTCGTGATGTTAACTAGATGCTAGTGCTACCCAAACTGGCTTTTGTCTTCATGGACATTGCTTGCGGGCACAACCGCTCTATCAGCGAATACCGGTAGGATACACAGCCCGCTCAGCACTGTTTGCATGGACTCCTGCCTGTACACTATAGCTTCAGGTAAAGCACAGCCGCTAGGGTGTTCGTGCATGCCAGCGCTACGCCCACCGTTCCCCTTATTGACGTGACACTGGAGGTGTCGGAACAGGCAGCAGTGTACCATACCAGGCGCACGCCAACCTGGCAACCTAACGCCAGTAACACGCCAGGGCGAATGCACGGGGTACGGCACTTGCACCTTTCCATGACTTCCTGACAAAAGCAAACTGCGCAGATTTAGAAAACAAAGATAGCGTAAAACAGGTACAGAAGTCACAGCAGCAAAAGCGGTCAACCATGATAACCCCCATGTACGCACGTACAAAAAGAGTGCCTGTACGGCGTGCCCCCTGCTGGACACGAGGGATGCGATGCAGGTGCTGCAGGATGTTGGCTGGGAACTTTAGAGGCTCCACTGACCTCTCCTTACATTCGGGTGAAGATAACAATGCATACCGTACTGGCTGACAGCTTCGTGGTGAGGCAGGGCGAGCAACGAGACAGGGTTGCGTCTTGCGTGATGGAGCGCGTGGGCAGGGACTGCGGCAGTGCTGAAGGGGGGGAGTGCTCAGTTGACCAACCCTACTGGTGTGCTGGGTGGTGATGGGAAATGCGCGTCCTCCTGCACCTGTTGGCCGGCAGGCGGGAGCATTGAGGAATATAATGCATGAACGTGAAAATGACATTTTTGTAGCAGTTGGTACACTCATTTTTTCAGCGTCCGGCCCAAGCATTTTCCCGACCGAAGATATGACCACTGAAGTAAATAGTGCCGCAAGTTCTAGTCCAACGAGGTAAGATTAGGGGCGATGATGACTTGGTTAGTACGGGTGCAACACACGCGACACACGATTGTGGCAATGGTAAGCTTGCCTAATGGTATTATACATTAACTCCTATCTAATTAGGTCACGTTGTCTGAGCAGAAAGCCTCGAGCGCCCTGGCCATAGCTTGCCCCTGTTGCACCCCGAAAATGCGCTTTACGTTGCCGCCAGGGCAGTTATTACTGCTCGCTTTGGCGGTCTGTGGTTCTTTGGCTTACGGCTATCGCGATGGGCAGCCGAGCAGGCTTGTTGAGAAAGAAATCAACTTCCCGTTGGTCTCAGACTCCTTGTCCGACACACCTCTTATTGATCCACCCAAGCGAATTGCGGGCTATTTCAAGCTAAACAGGCAAGAACTGCCTGGCTCAGTATCTTGCGGCGCAGGACAAGGGTCACACCCCATGTTTGTTACATGCCATTGCGCAGGACGCACGATGCGCGCATGTTTTACTTCTACTTCCAGTCACGGAGCTCACCTCAGACAGATCCCGTAGTGCTTTGGATGACGGGTACGTCAGCTCAGGCTACTGTACATGAGCCTTGACCATAACATTATTTCCCGCGGGCTGGCAGGTCATTTGCTGATAGATAAGCAAATAAAACGGCGGTTGGCCCGACTGCTAAAATCATCAAGGCTAAAAACAACCCTATTGGCGTAATAGGCTTTAACCGACGCCTCGCACTGCTGTTTGCGCTTTATCACGTTTAGTGACAGGACTTCTCTCAGCGGCACCCCGTTCCCCGCCGATCTCCGCGCCCCATCCCACACCACACGCCCGTCCCCATCTCTCCTCTTCTCCCTCGCTTCACCCTCCCCCCTCCACTTCTTTTCCCTTTCTCCCCTCCCCCAGGCGGCCCCGGGTGCAGCAGCGAGATCGCCATCTTCTTCGAGAACGGCCCCTACTCCATCAACAACGACACCCGCACCCTCTCCGAAACCAAGTACGGCTGGGACAAGCACCACAACATGATCTTCGTGGACCAGCCCATCGGCACGGGCTTCTCGTACAGCGAGGTGGGGTGGGATAAGTGTACGGAAGGAGAAACCTAAAGTTCCCAGCGTCCGAAACAACCCAATCCAAGACACCACTGCACGAAAAGGGGGCGGTGGCGGGGGAAGGTGGGGGAGGAGCGAGTAGGGGTGGTAGAGGGGAAGCAGGACATAGCTGCCCAGTGGAACCGCTACAGTAATGGATGTAATGATACACGGAAGTGGAAAAGCTTTGCACACCTGGGGAGGCCGTACGACAGTGTGTGTGGCAAGTGATACGGCACACCCACAAACGCGCTTCCCCTCATTCGTGACGGCGCCTTCTTTAGCACGGACACGGCTTTCCTCCGCCGCTCACCCTACCTCACCCGGTCACCCATACCACCTCTCCCGTCTCCAGCCCTCCTCTCCCGGTTACCTAGATCGGTTTTCTCCTACTCCAGCCTTCGCACTCCAACCTTTCCCCGCTCCCCCTCCCTCCCTCCCCCGCACCTCCCCTGTCCCCCCTTCTTCCCCTCCATTCCCCCCCAGGACTCCCGTGACACGGTGTTTGACGAGGAGGTGGTGGGTAACGACATGCTGGACTTCCTGTACGAGTTCTACAGGGGTGAGGGAGGAGGAGGGGTGAGGGAGGAGGGGGGGAGGGAGGAGGGGAGGGGGGGAGGAGGGGTGATGCGTATAGGGTTGCTCGAAGCAGGTTGTGAAGCATGTTGAGCGTGCCGGGGAAGGGAGGAGAGGGAGAGGGACGTGGAGTGCACACACTTACATGGCACCTTGTACAGGGCGAGTGGGTATGGGGAGCGGGCTTTGCTTGCGAGTTCCCTGCAGGTGTATGTACCGGTAATCATTACCTGCGTCTTGGGATACGGGTTCATGTTGACTGGCGCCGTAGCCATAACCCGCCTGCCCCTACACTCCCGCCCCCCCCCCCTCAGCCCACCCGGAGGTGCTGGACAACGACTTCTTTGTCACCGGGGAGAGCTACGCGGTGAGGGGGGCGGGTGGGGGAGGGGTAGAAGAAGAATATGTGTGTGGGGAGGTGGAAGAGGGGTGGGAGGGGACGTTTTGACAGCTGGCTGAGAAGTTGGGAGTGATAGTGGGTAGACGTGGTGGGAGACCTGCCGAGCCTGTTTTTCAAACCCGTTTGGACACCTCTTCCCTGCCTGGTTGCCGCTCCCCTCCCCACCACCACATGCACCATCTGCCTCCCCGACCTCTGTTGTTTTGGATCCGATTGCTTCGTTTACCTTTTTCACCCTCCTCTACTCTCATCTTGCCCCCTCCCATTCAATCGCGACGTGGCACTGTTATCCTCCTCTATCCACAATTCCGATCACTGCATGAGTCGGGATATGGGATTGGGACTCCGTGGCTTCACGTTTCCTTCCCCTCCCCCGTCTCTCCCCCGCCCCCCAGGGCCACTACGTGCCCGCCGTCTCCAACGCCATCTACCGCGCCAACGAGCTGGGCACCGGCCCGCTCACCCTGCCCCTACGCGGGCTGGCCATCGGCAACGGCCTGACCCACCCCTCGCTGCAGTTCCCCGCGTACGCGGACTTCGCACTGGACAACGGACTCATCAGCCAGGGGGTGAGGGGGGGGAAGGGGGAGGGGGGGGGGGAGGGGAGGGGAGGGCATGCGTGTGTGTGTGGTAGTGACGGGCAGCATGCACCCCTGCACCCGGATGCATACCCAGCCCCTGTGGCACCTCGCCTACCCCATCGCCCCCCAAACGTTACAAACGCTCCGCCCCCGTTACAAACCCTTCGCCTCCAACCCCTCCAGCACTGATGTTGCCATATCGAGTCCCTCGCAGCCCCCACTTCCCCTCCCCGCCCCCGTGCGCTCACTGCATGAGTCGGGGCGTGGGACGGTGGGACCCCGGTTGCTGCACCTCTTCTTCATATTCTTCCCCTCGCCTCACCTCACCTCCCTCAGCTGCACGACTCCATCCAGTGGTGGATGCCGCTGTGCACCTGGGGGGCGGACTTCTGCGACAACCACGGCTGGAGGCTGGCGTGCGTGCTGGCGCTGCAGGTAGGGGGGGAGGGGAGGGGGGAGGGCAGGGGTGATGGTGGCTGGAAGAGAGCTATGCGGGTAGGAGGAGGAGCGATGGATGAAAATACCGTTTCTCCTGTTGCATGCATGTACCGTGTGTGTATTTATGCAAGGATACTTTTCGTCTCCCCCTCCCCCACCTTGTTAAACCCCTTCTCTCCTCGCTCCCCCTCATCGTGGGATTGTGACTCCGTTGCTTCACATTTAATGTTATCTCCCCCCTCTCCCCCCTCCCCCATCCCTATTACCCCCCCCCCCAAACCCAGGTGTGCCAGCTCACCAGCTTCCAGCGCATCCTGGCCGCCAACCCGCGCATCAACGTGTACGACATCACCAAGACCTGCGAGGGGGCGCTGTGCTACGACATGAGCGCAGCGGACGCCTTCCTCAACCGCCCCTCCACGCGGCGGGAGCTGGGGGTGGACGAGGGGCGCGGCTGGGCGGAGTGCGACATGACCGTGAATGGGAACTTCATGGGTGGGGTGGGGGGGGGGAATGGGTGGGTCGGGGGTAGGAGGAGGTAGCGAGGAGGAAACCCGGTGTTTCCGAAACCCAAGGCCCGAGCTGTCCTATCCTGTCCTAAGCGGAAGGGCCATATCCGTACCTTTAGTTGTCGTTCCTCTGCCCCTCCTCCCTTTTTTCCTTACCTCCCCCCCTCCGTCCCTCCCCCCCCCAGGCGACTGGCTTCGTTCCTACTCCAGGCTGCTCCCCGCGCTGCTTGAGGACGGCATCCGGGTCATGGTGTACGCGGGCGACCTGGACCTCATCTGCAACTGGGTGGGCAACCAGAGGTGAGGGAGGGAGGGGGTGGGAGGGTGAGGGAGGGAGGGAGAGGGAGGGGGGGTGGCGGCACGGTATACGGTATGTGCAAGGGAAGCGGGTCGCGTGGGGTGGGCAGTGGGGCTTGCTGACCTCTGTTGCAGCTCGCAACTCTCCATGTCAGCGGCAAGGGGGCGTTGTACCGCCTACCCGCCGCCTCCTACCTGACCACCTCCTCTCCCTCCCTCCTCCCCTCCCTCCTCCCCTCCTCCCTCACCCCCACCCCCACCCCTCCCCCCCCTGCCCAGGTGGGTTGACGCGCTGGAGTGGGACCAGTCGGAGCAGTGGCCCTCCGTGGAGCCGGTGGAGTGGCGGGTGGCGGCGGGGGAGCAGCCGGCGGGGACGGTACGGCAGCTGGGGCCGCTGTCGTTCGTGCGCGTGTACCAGGCGGTGAGTGGGAGGCGGGGAGATGGGGTTGGGGGTGGTGGGGGGTGGAGGCGTTGTGTTAGGGGGCAAGGGGCGGCTAACGGAAGAGAACCAGCCTGCGCTCCCCGCCACATACATACCCTCTTCACTTTTTCACCTTTGTCGACCGCCTGACACGTCTCCGCCCCTCCTTCCCCCGCGCCTAAACTCCCTCTCCGCCTAAGCCCCCTAGCCTGTGGTTTCCTATCGTTTGGTATGGTCTTTGCCCCCCCCCACCCCTCCTCACCCCCAGGGCCACATGGTCCCCATGGACCAGCCCCGAGCCGCCCTCGACCTCATCACCCGCTTCACGCGCGGCAAGACCCTCGCCGAGGAGCAGCAGCAGGTGGAGCAGGCGGAGGCAGGGGTGCTGCAGCAGGGGTATGTGAAGGAGGTGGTGGCGGGGGCGCGCAAGCGGCAGGAGACCTACCGGCGGGACAAGTACCCCGAGGAGGGGGTGAAGGAGGCGGGTGCGGGTGCGGGGGATGTGGTTAAGCTGGCGCTGGGGCGGCACGGGGTGCGGGAGCAGCAGCAGCAGCGGGGTGGGGAGGAGGTAGCGGCGGCTTAGGCAGGCCGCGCAACCTATATGTACATGTGCCAATATTGTACGACAGCAGAAGATTGAAAGTGTGTATTGAGGCGCAGGATGACAGGAAGAGGGCAGGTTGGGGGAGTTTAGCTTTAGTTGACGTTGCTGTTGTTGCATCTTATGTACTGGCGTTTGTCGGATGTGTGATGCCAGGGCGGGCGGGAGGCGGGATGTGCCCCCCTGGGGACAGGGAGCGAGTGCCCCGCTGGCTGCCCCTTCCTTTTTGGTTCCCCTGTGGGGACTGAAGGGCTCCGTTTTGTACATCTTTTAGGCAATGTACTACTTTGGGGATGAAGGCAGGTTGGAAGTTGAAAGCGTTAAACCAGCTTCTCCACCCACGTATGCCTCACCATGCTAGGGGGGCCCTTACCGTGGTTTGTAGCAAACATCTGTATCAAACAGCCGTGTCTAAACTGTGTACCTGTAAAGTGCATGAGGCGCGGGTTGGATTTGTGATGTACGTTGTATACGCCTGACCTGAGGGCACAGCAGCAGCAGGGTCGGCTGCGGGTGTGTGTGTCCCCTCCCGCTGTTGAGGCGGTGCTGCATGTGTCCCTGCGGGTCCCGTCTGCACGGGATGCGACCTTGCAGTCATGCATGCAGCGAGTCTGCGGACGGACACAGCCCCTTTGTAAAGAGTGCAGGTGCCGTGTCATGTAACGTTATGGATAGTCCAGGGATACCGGTGGTCGGTGGAAACATGCAGAAGGCTGTAGTGGTGCTTGCGAGTGTAGTACGGCACCAGTGGACGGCCCGGCGGCGCAAAAAGTGAACCATGGGTCGCACATACTTGCCCATAGGAGCAAGCACAGAGCTGCGAGCGAGTACCGCAGGAACCCACACGGGCTGCTGCTCCTTGCTATGATGACGCGCATGGGCTATTCCACTCTTTCCAAAGACACGCGCGCACTTCGAGCTTGTCGCGATGTGCAGCGTTGCACGTACCGTCAAACACCGCCGTACCATCCACCCTGTGACGTAGCCCACCCACGTTCATCAATACGACGTGTGCAGTACCCAGGCGCCGCACGGACCGCACCACCCGCCAGCTCCGCCCACACGACCTCACCGCACGTCGAGCAACCGCCGCCCAGCAACCCGGCTGTAACCGATGTGCGTGTACGGCCTTTGAGCCGTACAGATGGGGGCCACACAAGGTGTATTTTGCCAATTTCCCAACCTTTTCCACGGGACATTAAAGTAAACCCATACCGGTATAACGAGTAATGTAGTAGTCACTTGCTTAGTTGGTTAGGACAGAGATGTGTTGCAACAGGGGCATACGAAAAAACTGGTCCATCTCCATCTGTGCGATGCCAGGCAGGCACGATTGCGGAAGTACGGCAGTGGAGGCAGCCACGCCAAAATAGTACGACACGCGACACATCATGCGCCCAACTCCCAGGCAGAGATAAACCGTATCGCCAGCCCAGCAAGAATGATAACTGTTATGCCTCCATCAACAAGTTGGGAGGAGAAACAATATGACATCGTGGCGTATTGACGTCCGTCACCGTTTCGGCGGGGGCTTCTGGTAAACGTATTGTATCAATACGACAAGATCAGATAACAGATACGGCTTGGTCGAGGCTTTGCCAAAACCTCCCGGATGCAAAGGCGAACACGCACGTGCGCTGCTCACAACCCGCAATGAATTAGCCAACCCGCTTGGGAAGTAGTCAACAAGTTAGCCATCAACCCCAACAAACGTCGCCACCCCACTCCAATGCTACTTGTGTTCCCCCGGCCCCCCCCCCGTGCATGTGGCAATGGCCGGCATGCACACGTGCTTCAACGCCAGCACATGCATGAAATGTACGGCATAATCCGCGGGCGCAAGCGTGAAGAATGTAAAGATGATGTGATGGGCTCACGGTGATTTGCGCAGCCAAGAGCGCAATAAGGCCCGCACCAACCTGCATAAGTGCCAATTGACACTAACAACAAGTACAACTAGTACTGCGCACGTGTATTCATGCGAGTGCACTTTCACATTTGGGAACAGCTATAGGGGTCAGGAGACCTGCCAACAGCATCCTAGTGCCGTACATTGCCGTATTACTTCACTCTCCTCCGCATATGCCGTACATACTTGCAACACTTTGTTCTTTTTCAACTCTCGCAATAATAACATGCCTTTATCTCCACCTTGCTACCTAGACTTCCCTTTCCTCATTACTCTTAGCCTGCAGCACCCCACCTGCCGTCCCACCCCCGCACATCAACCCCACGCCCGCAACCCCATCCTTACCCTCCGCCACCTCCCCTAGCCAGCTAGCCACCCACCCGCCCCCCCTCACCCATGTTGGCGGCTTATCCCTCAGTCAGTTAGTTGTTTCCTCTTTACCCCTCACGCGCTGCTGCCCGGTGGCTCTCCCCCGAAACCGCTGCTGCTCCTCCTGCTCCTGCCGCCCGCCGTCAGCGCCGCCCGCCTGAACACCGCCCGCACGTGCCCCCTCACGTCCACCTCCGCGGGCACGTGGCTGAGCAGCGCGCCCTGCCGCAGCGCGTCCCTGCGCGTGCGGCGCAGGTGCGGCCACAGCAGCAGCACCACATACAGCACAGCGCCGGCGCAGGTGACAGCTAGCAGGATCTGATTTGAAGGGGGGGTGGAGCAGGTGGGGCAGGGAGGGGCAGGGAGGGGAGGAGCAGGAAAGGGGTCAAAGAATAATCAAAACACTAAAAACGCATGTTAGGTCAGAGCAATAAAGACGGGAGGCAAAGCAGCAGGGAGGGTAGGGAGTAGAGGTGTTGGGGTACCTACCGGTATGTTTCGCGCGGTGTGAGCAGCGTACGTGAGGGGTGCAACCACAACTGCTGTATCCGCAGATGCAGTCAAGGACACCCACCGCTCCCTCTCTTACCTACCTGCTAACGGTACCAAGTTCCTCCTCCCCATCCCTTCCCTCTCTTCCTCCCTAACGTCTTCTCGCTCCCTTCCCCGTGCCGCCGCTCCGCCTTACCCGTCCCATACCCCTCCTCCCTCCTCCTCCTCCCTCCTCCTCCCCCCTCCCCCCCTCCCTCCCCCCTCCCCCCCTCCCTCCCCCCTCCCCCCCCCACCATGTGCAGGCGGGTGACCTGCTGGTAGCGCCCGATGGAGAAGTCCACGAACAACTGCGCGGCGCTCTGAAGCCCCTCGTAGCAGTCCCGACCGCCAACCTGCAGGGGGGGGGAGGTGAAGGCGGGGGAAGGGGAGGGGGAGGTGGGGGTGACGGTGGGGGGTGACGGGGGGGTGACGGGGGGGGGGTGACAGGGATGGTGGTGCAGGGCCCACAGGGTCGGGTTGAGGGTGGGCTCCATGCAGGCATGTCAGCACGGGCCTGATTGCCGTCCTAGTTGGGTACCCCCTGGTATGCCTGCCAGCAGGGGTAGGGCACAGCACATCCGTGAGCAGCACTGCCGGGTGGCGGTGCTGCCATCTGCGAGGGGGGTGGGGGAGGACCCGCACCCTCCCCGCTTGCTACTGCCGCGGACATATACCCCCACACACAGACCCCGCCCCCTCCCCCCCCACCATGTGTATGAAGTCGTATCTGGATCTGTTGTACACCGCGTCGCTGTCCGGGTCCAGGGACAGCAGCGTGGCCTCCTGGATCACCCGCCGTACCATCACATCCAGCCCGTTGTGGGTCACCTGGGGGGGGGGGTGTTTAGGGTTTTAGGGGGGAGGGGGGAGGGAGGGGAGGGCAGAAGGAGGGAGGGGAGGGAGGTACGATGTGAGGTGAGGGATGGAGAGGATAGGTGCGGTAGCAAAGGGGCTGGTGTGGGGGCTAGGGTTGGCGAGGCCAGTGCGTATCTGCTGCTGCTGCGGCGGCGCTGGTGGTGGTGGGGGTGTTCCCGCCCCCCTGCCCCCGCCCCCCTGCCCCCACCCCCGCCCCCACGCACCGCATAGTACTTGTGTCCCTGCGCGAAGCACAGCGAGGGGTCCCAGCGGAAGCACGCCTTCTGCTTGAAGAACTCCTGCGCGAAGGCGGCGGACTGGAAGGTGCTGGCGGGCACCTCCTCGTGGAAGGAGTTGTTGGACTGATGACGGGGGGGGGGTTGTGGTGGCGCGGTGTGTGTGTGGGGGTGCACCCGGGGGGTTTCCAGGGGTTCGTAGGGGGAAGAGACGGGATGGGAGCGGGGTGGGGGGGGGAGGGGAGGGGGAAAGCAGCTTTTCAGTGGGTTTGCGTGCCTGCCTGTATTTGTGTGTGTGCTGCATACGTGGCAAGTCAGTTACCCGCTTACCTGCTTACACCCGCACGTCAGCAGCGTTGCCCCACCTCTGCTACACATTCCTCCGATACAACACCCCCTAAAACCAACAGTGCCTCTTCATACGCTGCCGTACACTCCTCCTCTTCTCCTCTTCTCCTCCCTCTAGCTGCCACCCGGCCACCAGATCCCCCCCCCCCCGCGGCGGAGGCGGCACCCCCCCATCACCATCCCCCCTCAACCTACCTGCGACAGCGCCACCCCTCCGTACATCATCACGTTGTACTCGTTCTCAAACAACCTCAGCTCGCTCTTGAACATCTCCCGCCACGCCGCCTTTGCGCCCGGGTCGTCCTGCATGACGAAGCCCCAGGCGCGGGCTCGCATGCGCGTGTAGCGGTAGATAACGTGGGAGGCCATGTTGAGGGAGGCCAGCGGGCCCTGCATGTCGCTTAACTTGGCCAGCGACACCGCGTAGATGATCACCACAGCCGCGTTCCACAGCGCGAAGGGAGCCTGGGGGGAGGGGGAGGGGGAGGGGAGGGGGGAGGGGGGGTATAACAAGAAGTGAAGCAACTGGAGTCCCAATCCAATGGGGAGGAAAGGAGGATGTGAAGGAGCACGGGGGAGCTGGGGGGAATAAGATCATGGTGGTGGTAACGATGATGATAGCAACCCGCGATGATGATGACAGTCAGGACAGGCAAGGAGCAGGAAGATGCGGAGGAGCAGGGGGCAGCTGGGAAAGGATGCGGAGGAATGCGGTTAGAAAGCGGCACACCCCACCCACCATGAACCTAACCAAGTTGGCGTAGGAGGGCAGCAACGCCTTGCCGTTGATGTGCAGGGTCCAGGAGGGGGAGCGGCGCCGGGAGGAGGAGGTGGGCTCCAGCAGCAGCGAGGAGCGGCGGGAGGAGGAGGAGCGGCGCCGGGAGCGACCCATGGGTCCCTGACCGGGAAGCACACAACAATGCCGAGGAACGCATTTAAGGTAGGGGAGGTAAGGCAAGTAGGCGCACGATGTGTCAGTCGCATAGTGGATGGCGACCACCCGGCAGTGCCCCCTGGAGGTCCCCAGGGGGGCCCCGCCGGCCCCACAAGAACTGAACGCAGGCCATCCATCCACGTGCAGGGCATGCATGTGCAGGGCAGGGTCATCCCTCCTGGCCCCCACCCCCGCCCCCCACACTCGCCCTGCCTACCTCTACGCTGCTGCGGCGACTGCGACTCCCCGCCTCCTGCCCCTGCCCCACCAGCGCCACCGCCCCGCCTACCCCCGCCTCCTCCTTCTGCTCCTCCCCAGCAGCAGCAGGAGGCGGCAGGGCGCCGAATGTGAGGCCCCTCACGGGGGAGCCCACCTCAGCTGCCCTGCCCCCTCCCCCTCCCCCTGCACCTCCCTGCAGCAGCGGGGCTGCCGTGTCCCCCGCATCCGAGCCCCGCCTGCCCCGGCCCCATGCCCCTGCGGCCCCTGCCCCTGCTGCGGTGGTGGTGGTGGTGGCAGCAGTTGGGAGCTCCCCCACCTCCTCCCCGCCCACACTCCATGCGTCCTCCTCCTCATCGTCCTCAAGCACCTAGGTGGAGGAGGTAGGGGGGTGGGGCGAGCAGGGGGGAAGGGCGCGGTGGGCCGAAGGGAAGGGGAGGAGAGTGACGTCCTTCTGCCAGCCAGGCGTCATGCGAGCGAAAGGGGTACACCGGTATGTCTCTCAGTGCCGAAACAGTCGAAACACACACGGCAGCCCCCCCTTATCACTCAATCAGTCAGTTGTTTCCTCTTTACCCCCTCCTCCCCCCTCCTGCCCCCCTCCCCCCCCCCCCCTCCCCCCCCTTCCCCCCCACCTTGATCTCCCTGCTAGCCAGCTGTCGTACGACATGCCCCGGCAGCCCCATCAGCGCCAGCACCCCCAGCAGCCGCGCCCTCTCCACCCGCACCAGCAGCCGGCCCTGGTAGGCGCAGCACACCACCTGCACCAGCAGCGCCTCAAGAACCAGCATGACCACCAGGTCTAGAGGGGGGAGGGGGGGAGGGAGGGAGGGGGAGAGGGGGGTCAAAGACCATACCATACCATAGGAAGCCACAGCGGAGGGCAAAGCAATGGGGATAGGAGGCGGCAATGGCGCGTAGGGGGAGGGGAGGGAAAGGGGGAGCGGGGGCTTATGTGGATGCTGGGGAGGGAGGACGAGGGCTGCGGCGAAGCATACACACATACACTTACTAACAACACCAGTACTGGATTTATATTTCTACATACGCCACCCGACTCCTCGGCTCCTGCGGCGTTTCTGTGGGGACTTCATTTTCCGGCAATTACAGTACGTTCCTACTCGCGGCCAGTTTCTTAAAACACACCCACCCACCCACCCACCCCACACCCACCCACCCATACCCACACCCCCACCCCCACCTGCCCTCATCCTCTCAATGGCCCTCCACGCCGACTCCATCAGCAGCTCCAGCGAGCCCTGGTACCCCGCGAACAGGGGGCCCAGGCCCGCGTCCACCAGGAAGGACCAGGAGCGGTGGGCCCTGCAGGGGGGACCGTGTGCAGCAGCAGTGTGTTTTCCCCCCCAGCAACACCCCGCCTACCCACACACCGGGTAGGCGTGAGGGAGTGAGCGAGACCCCACCCCACCCCTCAGCGGCCCCCCAGCAGCCCCCCCCGCACCTATGATTCGGTATGGTCTTTAACCCCCCTGCACCTCACCTAACCCCCCCGCCACGCTCTCCCCTTCACGATGTCCTCCCGACCGTTAGCCCTCCCCCCCCCTCGTACAGCTCGTCCGTTTCCTCCTCCTCACCCTCCATTTGCCGCACTGCCACCCCCCCCCCTCACTGGTACGCGTCCCTCATCCTCGGCATCCAGTACAGCGCCTCCCGTGCAGCCGCCAGGAAGCGGTTGCCCAGCTGCCACACCCCCGCCGCCTCCGCCAGCTGGCCGGGGGGGCGGGTGTCCAGGTAGCTGGGGGGGAGGAGGGGGGGAGGGAGGGGAAGGGGGGAGGGAGGGGAGGGAGGGAGAAAACAAGGAAAAAATACCCAAGGTGTTAGAAACAAACAAACAAGATGAAGGGAGGAGAGAGGAGAGTGGGGTTGGGTAGGGGCAAGAGGAGAGCGACGCCCTTCAGAAAGACCAGGGAGCAGGGGCTGGGGGGCGGGGAAGTCCAGGACGACAGAACCGCACTGCGTCCCCCCGCACCTCCACAAATCCCGGGCAGTCGACCACTGCTAGCACCCTCCCTCCCCGTATCCCTCCCCTTCTCCCCTCCCCCTCCTCTCACATGTTGTACTGCAGGTGTTTCGCAGTCCATGTGTCGTACACCTCTGGTTGCAGCCTCCGCAGCCCCCCACTGCCCAGGTACACCTCCTGGTGGTACTGCTCTAGGAGCGCGATGTTGTCGGCCAGTCTGGGGGGGAGATGGGGGCAAAGATATATCAGAACCACAGGTTAGGGCAAAGCATTTGGGATATAGCGAAGCAGTTTGTGGGGGGAGTGAGCGGTGAGGGAGAGGCGAGGAGAGGGGAGGTGCGAGGCCTGGGTGGACATAGCAGGATTCGGGGGACGCAAAGGGTTGTGCGGTGTGCCAAGCCGAGGTGCTCGCTGCACGCAACAGCGAACGCAAGAGTGAACTGAGGTATTCCCAGTGAGTGGGATAAGGGAGGCTTACAAGTGCACAAGGAGCGGGGAAGGGCAAGGAACGGGGCGGGTCAGGCCCACCCTGCACCCCACCCCACTGCATCACGTTGGGTATTCTTCTTTTCAAGCACCCCACCCCATCCCCCACCCCCCACCCCACTCACTTCCCAAGCGTGTAGTTCATGGTGTTGGCGCACGCTGACACCTTTGCGGTGACGTTCTTGCGCTCGCAGTAGGGCCCCATCATGATGCGCCACACCACCAGCTGAGAGCGGTCCATGGCTAGCGCTTGGCGGTGAACCACATACACGTTGCTGCGGGGGCGGGGGGGGAGGAGGGGGGGAGGGGGGGAGGGGGAGGGGGGAGGAGGGGCCATGGGGGAGGGGAGCAGGAGGGAGCAAAGGGAGGGAGGATAAGGATGAAGAAACTAACCCTGGGAAAAGGCAGGAGAGGGTAGGGGGGGTGAATGGAGTGAGCGTGTGGAGGCGTAACGATGGGTCGGAGAGTGGGGTGGTCGGTCGTTGGTGCGCAGGTGGGGTGTTGAGGGGGAAGGAGGAAGTATCGGAAGGAGGGAAGGAGGGGGAAGGAGGAAGTAGCGGAAGGGCAGCTCAAAGGGGGCTGCAGGGGGAGAAGCAGATGCCAGCCCGGTGCCCGGCGCCCTCCGAGGCCACACGGCATCACACGGCGCAGTGCCGTGTCGCGTGGTGCGCCCCCCGCCCCGAGCTGCCAGCATGATGACTCACGTGTGCTGCTTCTCAATGAGTTGCTTGATCTGCGGGTGGCGGGGGGAGCGAGGAGGGGGGAGGAGGGGAGGGGGCAGAGTGACAATGCAGGAAGGGAGGTGGCGACAGTGCGGGTGGGGGTTTGGGGTGGGGAGGGGGGCCAGCAGCCGCAAACCCATGTCAGCACGCGACAGGCAGGGGTGGCAGATCCGGCGGTTCCGCAGGCGATCCACTCCCTGGCGGGCGACATCAGGGCGATACGACGACGGCCAATGAGGAAGCTGACAAGCAGGCAGCCATGCCAGCAGCCGTGCAGTGGGTTGAGGGCGGGAACGCATTGGAGCCGCAGAACTCTGCGGCCCCCTCCCCCCTCACCCACTCCTCACCACCCACCTACACACACAGGTCACTCCTGGGTCTGCCCCTACCTTACCCCCACCCCCACCCTGCCCCTCCTCAGTTTCCTCCTTTTCACCCCCACCCCACCCCCTCCCTCCCCCCTCCTACCAGCACGTAGCACACCACATGCGTCAGCAGCACCACCACCAGCAGGCCGTACGAGTGCCACCGCAGCCGCTCCAGGGGGGCAGTCAGGGCGGGGCCGCTCAGCGCGCGCCGCAGCACCCGCAGCAGCCGCTGCCGCCGCGCATCAACTGCCAGCTCGCAGGAGGGGTCGCCGTCGCCGCCGCCGCCTGGGGGGTGAGACCCGGGGGGTGCGGGAGGGAGAGATGACAGGGGGGCGGGGGGGCGGGGGGGCGGGGAGGGAAAAAGAAGGGGGGGTCGTCCCTGTGTGGACTCAACAAACCCTCCAGAGGCAGTCGCGGAACTCCAGGAGGCATGCAGGATGCAACCCACCACCCACCCAGGAAAGGGCACCGCGTACGTCAGCGGCAGCAGGGAGGAGGAGGAGGTGGGGAGCAGTCGGCTAAGAGGAGCAAGGAGTCCGCACCCACCACCCTCCCTCCCTCCCAGCTTGCCCCTCCCCCTTCCTGCCGCTACCCCTCCCCTCTTCTTCCCCCTCCCTCCTCCCACCCCCCAGTCCCCCCATCCGCTCACCCATCACACTGGCCGCCTGGCTGCCCTCCACACTCGACTCGCCCGCCTCGCTGCCCTTCTCCCACTTGCCGCCCTCGCCGCCGCCCCCCTGGTCGCCGTCACCTGCACCCCTCGCCTCCGCACCACCCCCGCCGCCCCCCGCCGGCTCGTCCTGCCCACCCGAACCACCCCCCTTGCGCGGCTGAGCATGCGCATGCTGCTGGTGCTGGTGGTGGTGCTGGTGGTGGTGGCTGTTGCTGTTGCTGCTGCTGTTGTGGCTGGGGGAGCGAGCGGAGGGCCCCGCGGGCCCCCCTACACGGCGGCCCGCACCACCCCCCTCCTCCTCGCCGCTCCCAGCCTCCTCCTCCTCCTCCTCCCTCTCATCCCGGGGCCCCCCAGCGGAATCCACGCTGCTCCTCCCCAGCAGGGGCGCCTCCTCAATCTCCCCTCGCGCCGGTTCGCTGATGCTGACGCTGGTGCGGCGGCGGCGGTGGGGCTCCGGGGCCAACACCGCTGCTGGGGGCCCTGCTGGGGGGGCTGCTGGGGGCCCTGCTGGGAGGGCTGCTGGGGGGGCTGCTGCGGACATGGAGGCCGCCGCAGTACCAGCAGCAGCACCAGCAGCAGGAGCAGGGGTAGGGGCAGGAGCAGTAGAAGCGCCATCAGCAGAACCGCCCGCGGCATGGGGAGGAGGCGGAGAAGCAGCCCCATCTGCCGCAGCCCCAGCGGTGGAGCCCTCCAGCCGCTGTGTGGTGGCAGCAGCACCCGCCTGCTGCTGCTGCTGCCTCTGTTGACTCCCATGCACCGACGTATCCCCTCTTCCCCCCTCCCCGCCTCCACCTCCCCCCTCCTCCTCCTCCTCCTGTTCCCTTATGCTGTCCGGCAGCGTCCGAACCCACTTTGCCACGAACTCCACCTTGCTTGCGCTCTGCCGGTGCAGCGAGGTGCTGACACGGGACAGCTGCCGCGGCGCCACCACCACATCACTGCCCAGCTCCTCCTCCTCCTCCGCCTCCTCCTCCTCATCCTCCGCAGCAGCAGCAGCCTCCTCAGCCTCCTCAATACTGGCGTCCTCACCACCCGCAATACCCACCACCACAGCACCCCCCACCGCAAGGCTGCCCTCCGTGGCCCCGGCTATGACCAGCTGCTGCTGCTGCTGCTGCTGCTCCTGCTCAGTCGCAGCAGCGCCATCCCGCACCTCCCCGCCACCACCCCCACCCCCACCCCCACCGCCACCCCCACCGTCCCCACTCTTCTCCGCCGACAGGTGCGAGGCGCCCCTAGCTGCACCCAACGAGCGCAGGAACTGCATCTGCAGGTCCCGTCCGAACCCGCTGGCGGCCCGGCTGGTGAAGCTGGCTGCCAGACTCATACTCAGCACCGAGTTGCGCCTGCTGAGGTCCCGACTCATGTCCCCCCACATCCCCCCGCCTCCTCCTCCTCCCCCTCCCCCTCCTCCCCCTCCACTCTCCAACATCACCTCCAGCTGGCTACCTCCCCCGTTTGCAACACTGCCTCCCGCCACACTGCCTCCCCCCACACCCCCACCCCCTCCACCACCCCCCTCCAACCGCATGGGGTTACCCCGTGAGCCCCCAAAGGAGGCATCCGGGTGCAGCAGCAGGGAGATGCGCGGCCTGCCCCCCAGCCCCCGCGTCTCCACCCCCTGCACCTGCACGCGCAGGGTGCCACCGTCGGGGTGCGGCCCCGTAAAGGTGAGCACGGGGCTCACCACGCCTAGGTCGGGGGCGGAGTGCTTGAGCACGCTCTTCTTGTCCTTCTTCTTGTTCTTGCGTGCTGCGGAGGCGGTGATGGAGTGCCAGGTGACGTCGGGGCCGTGGGGTAGGTCCAGGAACCTGTGGTGGGGGGCAGAAGAGTACTCAATGTAGATGTGTGGGTGGGTGCTTTGACTCCAGCCATGATAGCGCGGATTCGTTTCCATTCCTCCTCCATCTCCTCCCCCCCTTCTCCAACTTTGTCCTGTAGAACCCTGGCGCCTCATTTCCCCATTGTTCTTCCCTTTCGTGGTTTCCTATGGTCTGGCCTATTTTGAATCCCCCCTGCAGTTCCCCCCCTCCCCCTTCCCCCCTCACCTCTTGAGCGAGTGCTTCACCAGCAGCCCCGCCGGCAGCCCCAGCACCAGCCCCGCCACCCCCCCGCCCACCCTCCGCACTACCAGCGCCTCGTCCACCTCCACCACACCGCTCAGCAGCTCGCGGCGCCACAGCAGCAGCCGCACGCGAACCTGGGAAGAGGAGGAGGTGGGGGGGCCAGCGGCGGCGGAGGAGGGGTCGTGGTGGCCGCCGCCGTGGTCGTGACCCGCGTGAACCTCGACCTGAGGGGGAGGAGGTGGGGGTGGGAGAATGGGATGAGGGGAGCTTGATGGGCAGAGGGATAAGAAGATATCCTCAACAACTCCGAGCCTCAGTGGCAGCTATCAGTATCACTGATCACGTAGTCACCCGGTAGAGGGACCCTCCTTAAACAAACCTGACGGGGCCCTCTATCGGTGGCCTTCATAAGGGCTAGGAACAGGGCCAACCTACTACTAGGGCACCTTGCGACCAGAGCTGAGAGACACGAACAACACGGCAGTAGATGTAACTGCATACCCGTAAAAAGAGACCCATGGGTCACCTGCAGGCAGGCCGACCGCCAGGCTGGTGCGTCCGCAGCTGCCTTCCGCCCCTCTTCCGCGCCCCCCGCTTGCTCCGCGCCCGGGGGGGCCTGCACGCGGACCCGCCAGGAGGCGCCTGCGCGGGGGTGGGGGTTGGGTGGGGGGGGGGGGTAGAGGGGTAGAGGGGGTAGAGGGGGGCACCAGGGTCGGAAAGGAGCAAGGCTCGGAACGTGAAGGACTGTCTTACGAGCGCTAGGATGGACTTCAGCACTGAGGAACGAGGCATTGTGAAGCACAACAGGGTCATAATCAAACCCGTGTGACACCTTTGGTGTATTGATACATGGTATGTGTGTGCAGCTCCCTACCCCCCTGCTGCTTCTACAGCATGTAAAGCCCGTTGCGGTTCTACCCCATGCAACATTCCCGACCCCCTCCCCGCCGGCCCCCCACCCGGCATCTCCTGCTCCCTGTTCAGCAGCGCCAGCAGCAGTAGCTGCACCCCCAGCTCCCCGTGCCGCTCGCGCCACTCGGCGAACAGGTCGATGACGTCACACAGGTTGGCGCCAACCAGGGACGAGGCGGGGAAGTTGAAGAGTCGCGAGTCGGGTCGTGACACTCGGTGCACTGCGCCGTTGAAGTTTGCAATGAGCGCGAGTCGCTTCTCCTCCAGCTCCTCCGAGGGAAGGACACGCTCCATCTGGCGGGGGGGGTTTCGAGGGTGAGGGTGGGGTGAGGGTGAGGGTGGGGTGAGGGCGGGGAACCCCGGGCGACCTAACGACTCACACACGCGCTCCAGTTGCACATACTCCCCAGCTAGACGCCCTCTTTCCCCCGTGCTCCGCCTTCCAACCGGCCCCCCAGGTATAAACCCCATGCACCCCCATTACCCCCCCACCCCCCCAACCCCCATCACCCCCACACCTGCACCACATGGTAGCATGCGCTGGTGGTCAGCCCCGCCTCCGTGACCGTCTCGGTGTCCACCCGCACCCGCACCGGCAGCCGGTTTCCCGCCTCGCTGAGCAGGTGCACCACCACACCCGACCGGCAGGAGGTGGGGGGAGGCGCGTGGGAGGGCTCCTGGGGGGCCGGGGGGGGAGGGCAGGAGGGATAAAGAGGGAGACACCAACCAGCTGTGCGACAGTGGTCTCGAGAGGGCGAGGGAGCGGAGGGGAGGGAGGGAAAAAATTATATAAGTGAGACAACGAGTCCCAATCCCATAAGTGGGGAGGGGAGGGAAAACCCAGCCGGCGTTTTGCACTGGTCCGAATGCATTCCTCTCATTGTGCCGGTATGCATGCCCCCTCATTATCCCAACTGCACGTCCTCAGCCTTCCGATGGCCACCTCCCTCCTCCGCTCCCCAACAGCAACCACCCCACCCCAGCGCCACCCCACCCCAGCGCCATCCCTCTGCCCCCAGTGCCACCATACCTCCCTCTTTCCTCCTGCCCATCCTCCACCTGCCTGCTCCCCATGTTATCACCGCCCCATTTCCTCCCCGCAAGCGTACCTCACAACCTCCATGCCCGCCCCACCCCACCCTCCAACCACCCCACCCTCAGCCACTTGTCATGCAGCGCGTCGAAGGGGTGCGGCAGCAGCTGCTGCAGCCGCATGTCCGCCAGCCGCCGCTGCGGGTAGCCCAGCAGTGCGGCCGCCTGCGCGGAGGCGAATCGCACCCGCCCGCTGCCCCGCCCCTGCCCCTCCACCACCAGCAGGCAGTCCTCCCGGCCGTCGGTGCGGTGGGTGTTGAGCACCAGAATGCGGACCTGGTCGGTGCCTGGAGGGGGGGAGGAGGGGGGTGAGGGGTAACGGCTTAATGAGTATACCCTTCCCCGAAGGCGGGTGAGATGAGGGAGGGAGGGGGAGCTGATGTACGGCACCCGTGAAGTGCATTGCGGCCATGGGGCCTCCGGTACTTCAATTCTACCGATGCTTTCTTACCCCTCCCCCTCCCCCCCCTTCCCCTCCCCCCTACCTGCCATGCCAGTGGTTATCTCCACGCTCACCGGCTCCCCCCCGCTGTAGCGGTGGGTCAGCTGCGTGGCCAGCTGTATGCGCCCCTCGATCAGCTCCAGGGCGCTGGCGGCCCGGCAGCGCTCCAGGTAGGCCTCCACGGCGGGGGCGGACTCGGGGGGGACCAGCGAGGGGAGGGAGCGGCCAACCTGGGGTGGGGGGATGGGAGGGGGGAGGGAGGGGGAGACGAATACCTAATGTGTTGCATGAGAATGGCAGATAGTTGTGGATGGGCGGGATGGGTCGGATGTGGGCGGGATGGGTCTGCAACCATATGATGCGGGCATGCAACCCCCGTGGTGGAGCCCACACGGTGAGTGCTCGTTAGTTTCTTGCCCTCTACCCTCCCCCTATCCCCCCGCTTCCCCCCTTCCCCCCCAGTTCCCACCCACCAGCTCCCCCTCCGTCAGGCCGACCATGGACGCGAAGAGCTGGTCGGAGCAGAGGAAGGTGCCGTTGGGGGCCAGCCAGGCGCGCATGTTGTAGGGGCTGGGGGACAGCGGGCGCACCACTCCCAGGAAGATACTGCGAGGGAGGGAGTGAGGGGGAGGGAGTGAGGGGGAGGGAGGGAGGGGGAGGGAGGGAGGGGGAGGGAGGGAGGGGGAGGGAGGGAGGGGGAGGGAGGGAGGGGGAGGGAGGGAGGGGGAGGGAGGGAGGGGGAGGGAGGGAGGGGGAGGGAGGGAGGGGAAGGGTGTTTCACTAGGTCTGGGGGCCGGGAACAGACGGGAGGGGGGCGGCGTGGCGGGCCGTTGTCCTGACTACCACACCGTGTTACTACGGTAATGGGCGCGGTGTGGCACAGCAACGGAACTGGAACTGATGATCTGGAACAGGATGCAGGAAGCCAAGCCTGCCCAGGAGGGGGATGTATGCCGAGCTTGGGGAGGCGATGCCAGGGAGGCTGGGTGCCCCATCCTGGACCCCGCGTGCCCAGCCCAGCCCCCCACCAGCCGGTGTCGAACCGGCTAGCCTCATGCTCCTTCCACCTCCTCCTCCTCCTCTCCTTCTCCCCCTCCCTCCCCTCCCCCCCACCTGTCCGCTCCCGTGCCGCTCAGCTTGGTCACACACAGCGCAATGGGGAACACGTGGTGGTCCTGCAGGGGGGGGGAGGGAGGGGGAAAAATAAAATATGTGAAACAACGAATCCCAATCCCATATCCCGACTCATGCAGTGAGCGCATTCGGAGGCACTAAGAACACGCATCTCAAATTACTTACCGAATCGTTGCTTACCGTAAACCGAAGAAGAAGGGAAGGGGGGACTAAAGATATCGCCAGATGCGACAACCGCAGACAGCCGCACATGCAACTGAGCGCTGCAACCGCACATGCACACATGCCGGTGTTCGACCCCCTGCCCCCCTCCCCCCCTCCCCCCATCGCTCCCTGTCCTCCCCTGCAGCAACATTGGGTAACATTCTTTCCCCCCCTGCCCGCCCCCCCTGCCTCCCTCCCGCCCCCACCTTGTGCAGCGCAATCACCTCCCGCATGCTGTCCAGGATGTGCGGCTGCCCGCTGGCGGTGTAGCGCTGCAGGTAGGCGGCGTGGCGGGTGCTGAAGGGCGGCGGCATCAGCAGGCTCACGTTGGCGCCCTCCAGCTCGCTCTTGGAGTAGCCGAACAGGGGCTGCACGGCCTGGGGGGGGAGGGAGGAGAAGAAGGATACCCAATGTGTTGAATGAGAATGGCAAGCTCCTGGTGAATGGAATTGAGTTTACCTGATGATGACGTCGCATGTAGGTGGGAAGGAGGGGAAGGGTGGGGGAGAGGGGAGGCGGATGGGAGAGGGGAGGACTCCAGGAACCCTCCAACCTCACCCGCATGACCCCCCTCCTTGTTTACTCCTCCTGGCACTGCCCTGCACGGGGCCTCCCATGCGGGCCATTCCGATGCTACACCGGCCCTTCCACCACCCACCCGCAATCCAGCCCCCGCTAAGCAAGCATTCGTTAAGACCCCGGGTTGCTTGTTTCTAGGGTATTGCCTGCTTACGCGCTCACTGCATGAGTCGGGACATGGGATTCGGCCTTGAGTGCTTCACTGCTCTTTCATCCCCCCCGCCAACCCCTCCCTCCCCCCTACCTGCGATGTCATCATGATGGTCCCCTCCGCATTACACACAATCACCGCATCCTCCTGCAGCGACATGGCCGTCAGGATCTCGGGCTTGTCCGCACCCTGCACGCCACTCAGATCCAGCGACAACAGCGCGTCGCCGCCGCCGTTACGACTCGCCTCGCCGTACGCGCGCGCCGCCGCCGCCGGGTCGTGCCGTACATCCTCCAGGAACTTGCCGTAGCAGCGAAGCAGCTTGCCGTTGTTGGGGTAGCGCTCCAGCACCCTGAGGTATGCAGGGGGGGCAGGGAGTGGGGGGGCAAGGGGGGTGGCGGTGAGGAGCGGTGAGGTTATCTCATGCGTGGGTGTGGTAGGTGCAGAAGCTACGATATGGCAATTCCCTCCAGCCCTATTTGCGTGCCTGATGGCTTGCCACTTGGAGTTAGTGTTCTTAAGTGTGGCTTACCCCTACAGCCCAAGCCATGCGCCTGCTACTGGGCACCACTGTAAGAGTGCAAACCAGGTTTACCAAGATCCAGTACCACATCCCCCCCCTTAACACGCGCGGCCCGTTATCTACTTATCTTCACACACACGCTCCCCCCCTACCCCCCCTCACCTCTTGTACACCTGATGTGCCCGGGCGGTGGCCGCCTCCACCTCGTCCATCGCCGCGTCCAGCAGCCCCACCCGCAGCGAGGGGCGCAGCAGCAGCCGCCACAGCTGCGTCTGCAGCAGCAGCGCCGCCTTGTGCACGCGGATGACAGCGCTGCAGGCAGGCAGGGGCGAGGGGGGGGAGGGGAAGGGAGGGGGGAACAAATGAGAAGTGAAGCACAGGGGAAAGGGGGGAAAGAAGGATACGGCATTAAATGTGAGGGAGGGGGTAAGTAACAAAGAAGTAGGGCTGGGTAAAATAGAGGACTATGCAGGTAACGATGTTGTTGACGATAGCGTGGTGGGGAATCGGCCATCCCCCAATTATACCACCCCTTCCCCCCTCCCCCCCCCCACACCACACATTGGAATTTCCTTCCCCCCCCCCCCCACCTGTAGTTCCGCCTGAACTCGATGTAGGCCTGCAGGTCCATGCCGCCCGCCTTGCCGTCCTGCAGCCGCTTGCTGGCCTCGTCCGTGCAAAACACCTGGGTAGGGAGGAAAGGGGGGAGAAGAATACCCAATGTTTTAAATGAGGATGACAGGAGGGGAGTCAGGGGGCGGGTGGAGGGAGGGTGGGAAAGGGGTGCGGCTGCCCAACATCTGGTGGCCCCTACACCTAGCGGACTCCAGCCGCACCCAAGTACCTTCCACCCTCACCAGATCGTCACTTTCTTTCCCTTTACCCCCTCCACCCCCCCCTCCCCCCTCCACCCCCCCCTCCCCCCTCCAACCCCCCTCCCCCCTCCAACCCCCCTCCCCCCTCCATCCCCCCTCCCCCTCCCACCTGGTACCTCTCCACCAGGCTGGGCGAGTGCCGCGCCGCCAGCTGCAGCTGCGTGCGCGCCGCGGGGCCGTCCCGCCGCACATGCAGCAGGAAGTTGGCGTGAAGGATGAGCAGGAAGGGGCGGCCGGGGAAGGCCTGCATGCCGGCGCGAAGGACCGTCTCGCCCCACTCCGCGGCGCCCTCCTCAACCCACCCGTCGGAGTCGAACAGCCGCATGGCGCGAGCTAGGCGCTCAACCTGCGGGTAGAGGGGGGGTGGAGGGGAAAGACGTACACTAAATGTGTTTCACGACCCCTTACACCAGGCTAGGACAAGAGCAAGCCTAAGAAACGCTCACATGCAACAGAACATGGGAGGAGGAATGCCGCAGCCGTCCTCAGCCATAGCTGTTTCCCCACCCCGCCCGCCCCATGTTTGCACCCCAAGGTGAAGCCTTGTCATACGGCTCGTCAGTTTCCTCTTCTCCCGCCCCCCCCACCCACCCACCTGGTACACATCAGCGAAGCGGTGCACGCGGGTGAGCTTCACGGCCCCCGGCGGCAGCTCCCGGAACTTGCGTGCAGGCCGGCTGTCCCAGCGGCTGTACAGCGACACCAGGCCCATGCTGGCGGCGGTGACGGGGAGCAGGCCGTACAACACGTACTGCGTGTGGGGCCAAGCGTCCGTGGTCGTCAACTAGTGTCATGCAATGCACCGGCTGGGCAGCAGAGTCTTGCCGCATCATGCTTGCCGCGACATGTGCATGTGCATGTGCCCCCTCCCCACACACACCCGCCCTCACCAGTGTCCGGCTCCGGAGGTAGGTGTACGACTGGTCTTTGCCGTACACCAGCACGACCCGCACGAGGCAGGTGTACAGGATGCCCACCCACTGGCCCGTCCACACAGCGTTGGTCAGCCGGCTGTAAAAGGGCAACTGAGGGGGGGGGGAACGATGGAGGGAGAAGGAAGAGTGATGCGACTGCTGCTCATAACCTCGTCGTAAACATGGAGGGGGGGGGGGCATGCAAGCAGCAGTCTACACAAAGCAAGTTGCACAAATAGCCCTGCCCCAACAGGCGGCCTTTACAGCCACCAACACCCTTCACAACCTCTACCTCTCAACTCATGGTACGCCTGCTTACGGTAGTTTTACCCCCTCTTCCTTTCTCCACCCCCATCGCGGCCCCCCCTCCAGCCCAACGCAGAATACGTATCCCTGCTACCCCCCCCCTCCCTCACCGCTCGGAGGTTAAACCAGCACACGGCCCCCGCCGCCACCACATTCACCACCGCCTGCAGCTTCCCCCTCCCGCCCAGGTCCGCACACGACACGATGAACACCGCCTTGGCCGCCAGCGCCCGCAGCCGCGGGTGCACGGCGGGCGAGGCCAGCAGGTGGCGGGAGATGGGGTTCAGCTCGCCGCAGGCCACCAGCATGAGCGCCACCACGCACAGGAACACGGCGCCGGTGAGGAGCGCCACGCACATGTGCAGCAGGTGAGGCAGCTCGAGACACACTGCGGAGGGGAGGGGAGGGGCGGTGGGAGAGGCGGAAGGAAGGAGGGGGCGGGAGGGGGTAGGAGGGGTGTGGGGTGGAGTCGAGGAGGGAACCAGGGGCATGAAACCAGGGGTTGCGGGAGTGGGGTTTGGAGTGGGAGCCATGCACCAGCGGCGCCACCTGGTGCGGCCCTGGGCGCCCTTTCACTTGTGTGGAGCTGTGGCCGGAGAGAGGGGAGCGAGGAGGGCAGTGGAGCACCTGTGTGGTGCGCCGCCGCGGCCACCCGCTGTGACTAGATATCAACATGCGCACCGCTTGCACACCTGCTCTACCGGCACTGTATAGCACTGCACGCGAAACAGTTACTCGCCTAGCACATTGTTAGACCTAATGCGTCGCTCCGGCCTAAAATCGTGCCACACACCGCTGCACTCCTAGGTAAACACAATACTTCGACACCTGGGACTCCATCATCTTCCGGTATACTACGCTCAGGGTCAGTACCTCTCACGGCTCCGTTTACCTACCGTACTACCCCACCACCAACCACTGCGCCGCCTGCCCACCCTCCCCTGCCCCCCTACTCACTGACGTCCGTAAACATGTTGTGGCGCTTCACCGGCCCCGTGAAGTCGCAATTCGCCACGAACGCAAAGTAGTCCAGGAATGAGGGGTAGGCCATCACGAACATTATGTCGTACACCACATGCAGGTAGGCGGCTGCCGTACGCATCCACTTGGACTGCTCCGCCTGCCGCATGGCGAGGGTGAGCCAGGCCAGCCCCCCGACCGACAGAAACACGCTGGCCGCCATGCCGTACATGATGCCTATGAAGGCGCGGTAGCCCAGGATGTGCGCCACGGGTCCGCGCCACAGCACCCAGCGCACCAGCTGCCAGGCGGGGTTGGAGGTGCGGATCTTCCACTGGGGGAAGCCGGGGTTGAAGGCCATGAGGAAGAAGATCTGGGGGCGGGTGGGAGGAGGGAGGAGGGGAGAGGGAGAGGGGACAGAGAAGAGAAAGTGTGCGCTGAATGGTACTGAGGGGATTGGGTTAAAAGAGCTGCGGCAAAGCAGTGTAGTATCGGGGGGAGGGAAGGGGAGGGTGCGGCGGAGAGGGGAGGAGAGCAGGGGCGGCGTTTGTGCCGGTGCATGCGGGAGGAGGAAGACGAGGTGCGCTGCTGTTGATGATGCTGCTGATGCTGATGAGGTAGGAGCGCTATCGTGGACCGCGACACGGCATCCTGGAGTGAGACGACAGTGGTGGGTTTGGTTCATCACCCGTGTTCCCTTTCTTGGGAACCATTGTAACGGTCATTCACTCTCATTCAGTGATGGGAGGTGGTGGAGAGACGGGGGGTGGTGGAGTTGGCCTCTGGGGCTGAGGCGCAGAACGGCTGTGCCCTCCGGCAGCCTGGCCGTCAATGTTTGGGCGCACCGTACGTCCCATTGGCTTGTCCATGATGGTGAAACCGTGCCAGGCAGGAGCGCGGCCTCAGTGGGAGATCCTCTCCTCACAAGGGAGGCAAACAAAGCGGTTGACGACGAGGTTTTACGTTCAACCGTTCAGCTGACTCTTGTATCAACAAAAACACTAATACACACATGTCAGCGGCCGCATGTGCATGTCAGTCTCCAGGCTGCCTCACCAGAAACTCCAATGCCAGTTTTAGCACGGCGAACTTCCAACTGTTGAATACGGTCTGTCGTACCAACGTGTACATGCCTGCGATGCAAGGGAACAGGACTTCATCATGGTACGACTGCGGCTTATAAATCCACTAGAAAACACTTCATCGGCCCCGCTGTCTCGGCATTTTATCATGGCTTCCCGCCTGATGCAGCCCAAGAGCAGGGTGCAAGCCTTTTCGGCAACTGGCAAGCAGCAAACGGACCCGTGGTACGGGGGGTCAAAGCCCAGCCCGAGCTTGTACGAATGGACCAGGCCAAAGCATGAGGGCGTTGCGTCTCCCACGTCCCATGCTAAAAGGCACCCGCGTGCCCACAGCATCCTCCCGTGGGGTGTGTAAAGCGTCGCAGACTGAAGGTGGGTTTCCAGTAAACCGCGTGGAATACCTTCCCACTACAGCTTTGTTAAGGACTTACACGCGAAGACGCCATCCTGGACCGTGCGCTTCTGCTCCAACAGGTCCCCTTCTTCGGCCTCATCCGTCGGCCCCCTGGTGTTATATCGTCCGTTGAGAGCGGGCTACTAGAAAGTTTGCTCCTTAAAGATAAGCGACGGTAAGCTTGCCTTTTGCTTTGGGATAGAAACTTCAAGTCGGACCGGCGACCATGTTCGCTCTCACTGCCGGTTGCTCCACTCCGCTGGCTGCCTGTGCCATCATCCTCTCTATCCTCCATAGCGCTGCTTACTGAGATTCTCTAAGCCAGATGAATAGGAGGCTGCATTTGGTAGTGAAACCCAGGCTAGATTTCATGTTTCCAGGGCGCAAACGCGGCGATACAAGTTTTCATGGCTACAATGTGGTAATTGATTTTGGCTACCAAATATATAGAAGTGGCATGGCTAGGGGCGCCCGTAACGAACTACTAGAGAGGGCGTTCTAATTCCCGTCAGGCTCTGCTTGTGTCACTGAACTGAATGCGTATGCACCAGGCCAACATCTAATCACAGATGTACCTGCAAAGCGGCATAACAGCGATGCAATGATGGCAGTTAAGCGCGGAATACGGCACTCCTGATATATCTCGTAACCGTAAAGGTGCATTGAGACAAACATATAAGAGTTTTACTATTACGGACATGGTGTAGGCAAGTTGCATTTCTTGGGTACGTCTCCAGGGTTATCTTTTCGGGTCGGAAACGCAGTCTGGCTCATTTATTACTTCTCCGGTTTACGTTTTAGGCCATAGATCAGCGCATTGAGGTTTTCGCTTTAAGCATTAGGGTGTCGCCCGACATATCCAATAGCTGGAAAGGCAGAGGCTAGGTCCTTCCACGCAGTCCTGGATGATGGCTGTAACCAACAAGAATTCCATTGATTGGCCAATTTGCATTTGGTTTCATCCTTTCCTCCGTCCACTTCTTCCCAGTCCAGCTACTGTACGGTTGTTCTTTGGTTTGTTCGGAGAACAGAGGAGTAAGATTGTTATCAGGATGGCAAAAGCCAATGGTACATGTAGTGGCTTGACGTTTATAAATGTTGTGTGTTTGCAAAGACCTAGCTACTCCAACGCCTACGCTGTAATCCACTTTTCGGATTGGCAGTATGCAGACATGGTTAGTTGCTTTCACGGCTGGAAGCCTCCACTGGCTGAGGTGCAGTGGTGTATGTTCGTGGTCCGCGACGGCATTTTGCCATGGAGTCGAAAGCGGGTTAACAGATCTAGCCCCTTGGATGCCTCCTACTTCCGCCTATATGCGCGTCTTATTACTGCTGCCAGATGCCATCCAACGCGTGCTTCTGGTGTTTAATATACCGCGGCCTGGCGGCATAAATTGAGGACCTCGGAGCAGGCCCATTCGATGGGGGAAATAAGCACTGTGCTCAGAGTAAGTGGTGTTAGGTGTTCGATAAGCTATTAGTATGCTGTCCGAAGCTAGCTCCTAGTCGTAGAATGCGAAAGTCGTAGGCTGCCACTAACACGGGTGTCGTACACGCTGGATGCTGATGGCACAAACGTGTTTTGTAGGTGCACCTGCGTGTGTAGTCGTAGCACAACAAGGAAGATGGACACACTAGCCAGGCTTGGATGGGTCATTGACTCACATGTGGGTCATCGATCCGCCCCCAAAAGCCGTGTCGTACATCAAGTATGGGCAAATGAGCTGAGACCTGACAACTGGCCGGTGCATATGGCTGGCTTCAAGGGAGGGCTGAGTGCCCAACATGGCAGTCTGCATGCACAGAAAGTTGAATGCATTGGAGAAAGGGGTAAGGTATCCATTCACCTCATTCCGGCACCCTCGCACACATGCTGCACCCACGAGCTGAGGGTGTCCCTTCAGGAAAAGACTATCCTCCAAAAAATCCCAAACAAAGCCTATCATGCAGCGAGGAGAACGTGGCATCCTAGCCTGCCTGGGTCGCGTGCATTTGCCGCTTTTTTGGACTAGGGGTAGAGGCCATGCTAGGCCTCAAAAGCGGGCTTTGGCCAGGCAGCGGCCAGGAAGGAGGCAATGACGGGTTTGCGCGCATAAACCATCAAGGCCGAAAGAGCACCAAAATGCCAAGACCGCGTTCGTACACACCTAAACCAAAACCAGACAAGGTAACTCCAACTAACAGGTGCGCGCACAGTTCGGTCAAACCAGACTACGACCAACAGTATTGAATCCATAAACTTCTTGTCCTCGGTACGTTACATAGATATAACCTAATAATGGCTCCGGCGACGATACACCGGCAGCCCCTTCAACGCTACACCGCTACCAACTTGCCGCCCCGCTAATCGGCTTGGCATCTACAAACCCTACCCTGGCCGCCCCGCTAATCGGCTTGGCCCAATGAAAACCTGCGCCCTACCCCGGAACACGGCAACAACCACGTCAGTCAGGTTTTTTAACTTGCACTAATGGCCGGTTGCAACTCTCAAGGCCACGGATCACCGGAAGAACCGAAATCCGTGCGAACAGAGCCCCAGCGGCTCGCGCGGCCGGGAAAACCGACCGGGGCCGGGGCACGGGGAAGGCGGGTGGGAAGATAGAGGTAACGAACTAGTTCCTATGAGAATCACAACACGGCGGAATAGCCGTGAAAAGACTCAGAGGACTCGAATAACGCTAAGAGTGTCGTACCTCGTCCAAGAAACCGCCTTATCGTACCGATAAACCTACGCTTCTTGTCCTCGGTACGTTACATAGATATAACCTAATAATGGCTCCGGCGACGATACACCGGCAGCCCCTTCAACGCTACACCGCTACCAACTTGCCGCCCCGCTAATCGGCTTGGCATCTACAAACCCTACCCTGGCCGCCCCGCTAATCGGCTTGGCCCAATGAAAACCTGCGCCCTACCCCGGAACACGGCAACAACCACGTCAGTCAGGTTTTTTAACTTGCACTAATGGCCGGTTGCAACTCTCAAGGCCACGGATCACCGGACCTTGAAAGCAATATCCTGACTGCTAGGCTAGGTTGCACGCTGTACTCTCGTTAGGGGGATGCGCGCTGTGATGGCCCGGCGGTGGGCACCGTCCTCACGGACGTAAGCAAACTCGAAAACGTTGTTGCTTCTCCACCGCCCGAGCTTCTGGACCTCCGCACGGGCTGCGCCCCCTTCCACCAGGGCGGTGGCACCGCCCCGGCGGAGGTCGTGGGGGCAGAGGTCCTGGCGCACGCCTGCTTGCCGGCAGAGCTCCTTCAGCTTGTTGCGGAACGAGCTGTACGGCAGCGGTTCGATGACCTGCGGGAGCTTGACAGAGACCTCGTCCAAGCGGCCGGTGCTGCAGTCGACGGCGCGCAGGAGCGGGCCCACATCCTCTGCGTCCTCCTCCTTGCCGTCCCGCCTGGTAACGGCGGGCTTGCGCTTATACTGCCCTGCTTGCAGCAGCTCCTCCAACAGGCGTACCGGGCAGAAGGGGCTGTCAATGCGGCCGATGGTTACGAATGTACCGCGGCAGTGCTGATCTGTCTTGCTTTTGAATAGGAAGACCTCTGCCCGGTCGGCGTAGATGCGCAGTAAGTCGGTGTGCACAAGGATGTGGGATAGGTCGTCGAACCGCAGGAGGCCGCAGAAGGCCAGGACCGCGCAGGTCACGACCATGCGGGTTAGCAGCGGGGCCTGTGGGTTGAGGTGGTGGCTTGCTAGCTGCTCTACCTCCTGCGCTGTCGCGACTCCCAGGTTGCGCTGCTTCGCTTGAAGGGTGCGTCGTGCTACCTCGCGAGCGTTCGCGCACAGGCTGTGTGCGCATGGGGACTGCAGGCCGGCGAGCTCATAGAACGCTGAGATGGATGCGCTAGCGCGCTCGACCGTGCCGGGTCCTATGTTGCGTACTGCTGCTGCTCTGCGCGTCTCCGTTAGGAAAGCTGCAGCTACTACCGGGTCCTGACCTAGAGGGGACTCCCGTACCTTCGCGCAGAAGGCTATCCAGCGCCGGATATCCGGCACGTATTGCTGCCAAGTGCTGAGGGCTCGGCTAAGAGCCGCATTGTCAATCATTGCGCTGATCAGGTCACGCAGATGTGGGTGGCGGTTGGTAGTGTCTCGGCAGAGTACGCCTGTCACGATAGCTTTAATCTCGTCTCCTGTTACATTACCACAAGGAGGGAACGGGCACCATATAGGGGCATTCTCGTGAGAAGTCCAGCCACAGCGCCATGGTGTTCCATACTGGCAGATGCCCTACACCCATACGGTTAAAGAACAAATCTCTTCTCTTTTCCAGCACTCTGCAGCCCCATACGAAAGAGTTAAAAGCCATTTCGTTCTCAACTAGTGCTGGCCACCAAGGTGCAGTTGGCCAAACTGGTGCGATAAGCACCATAGCAGTACGGCAAACCTCGGCATACTTCAACGCTCTGCTAAGCATTGCGAATGGTGGGTTGCACCATGAAATCTTAGGCCACGGGAACGCGAATGCATTAACGCCATGCGTGCCCGGTGTATGATAAAAAGTGTAGTACGGCTCCATTTGGCGGTTAGTGTCTGACGCAAATAAGTCAACCGCAAAAAGGCCCCCATCGGGCATTCAGCTCCCTGAAAACTACTGGGTTAAGCTTCCAATCACAAGCGTCGTCACGTTTCGACAGCAAATCGGCGAATGAATTACGGTCCCGTGGGATCCAAGTAGATACCAACTTAATCCGGTGCTCTAGGCAGTACCAGAAAATTTTAAAACATGCACCTTGGATATCCGACACCATGGAACCTCCTTTCTTTAGTACTGCGTCAGCCACTTGGCTATCGGTGTGCAGCAATACCCGTTGGTTATCGAGTATGCCGTTCCTGTTAATACTCTGCAGCACATTCAAGATCGCTTGCAGCTCTAAATAGCTGGAGGATAAACCACGGGTATCAACCTTCCATGCTCCTGCTGCTAACGGCCTCGTTGGGATATCGGCCCAACCGCCCCAGCCTCCGAATGAACACATGCTAGCGCCGGCGGCGTCGGTGAAAAGGCGAATCGTATGCAAGTATGGCGGGGTCCATATCGGGTTGCGGCCGTCAAACCTTAGGAAAGATTCTTTCCAAAAACCTAGCTCTTCTAACGCGAAAGAGTCCAGAGCAGCGTGCTTATTAAAATCCAGTCCCTGTCGCAACATTTCGTTTTGCCATTGCAGCAGGTGACGGGTCATGACAACGGACATTTCCCCGAAGGAATAACTCATTGACATTAAATGCCCTACGACGGAAGCCACTGCGCGGATGCGACAACGATGCTTAGACGCTATCAAGCTATCAATCATGGACATGAGCGCTTCTTGCTTCTCCCTGGGCACTGTCATCGTCCCCGTCACCGTATTCACCATTGCGCCTAAATAAGGAAAATCCTGTGCTATATCATGACACTTGTCCTTGCTTATAAGGATTCCTGCTCTCTCGCAGTCGCTAAACACACGCTTCTGTATTCCTGCCAACGTATCAGGGCATTGATGTGCATGGGCGCTGTCGTCAAGGTAGCCTGTGCATCGGTGGCTTTCTGCCCGCCAACGGCCTAACAATTCCCGCGTCAACTTGGTGAACGCCCAGCAAGCTGGCGCAAGGCCGAAAGGCAGCTGTGTAAAAACATAATATTGACCTTGCCACTCAAAACCTAAGTACGTCCAGAAATCCGGATCCATATCTAAGTGGTGGTAACCCGATTTGAAATCAATCGTGAACACGTAATCGTTTTTCTGCAGCACGTTTTGCAGGCCGGATAACGTCTCGTACTTAAAGCTCGGGGTGACGACATGCTCGTTGAGGTACCGAGCGTCCAGGATTAGCCGCTTCTTTCCGCTGCCTGGTCTGACTACTACACCTAACGGCAGCACGCAGTGTGGTTGCCGTTCTACTGCAATTGCGGTACCAGTTTCCACGAGCTCTGCAACTGCTTCCGTTACGAATGCCGCATGCTCTCTTACCGAACCATGGTTCCGACCAAAGAATGGGGCCGGGGGTTGTGCCGCCAGCCATAGTAGCGGGAACCCGACTAGGATCCATTTCAGCACCAGCGGGTTACGCACAAAAGACGCCCAGAACCAAAATTGCTTGCGCAAACGTCCTCTCATGAATCTCTTCTGCTTGGGTTCCCCTTCATTCTTCTCTACCTCGCCTGGGCCATCTGGTAAATCGTCCACACCTGTTGCGCTTCGGATCGCTTCCGTTGTGCGAGCTCGCCTCGCGCGGGTCTGGCTATGTCCCGCATCCACAGGTGCGTTACGCTCTGGGCCGATGGGAGGGTGGCCGCCTGCGCCACTCGGTCCCGCGGCTGCTGCTTGGTTCTGGACCTCGTTGCCACCAGTGTTCCCAACGATTTCGTTGTCTATGGTGCCAGTCGCATCCTGCCCCGGGATATCTTGAGCTTCTTGCTCTACGCTCGGATCGGCGGCGGGGATGTCTGCTGCCGCTAGCGGTGGTGTTGCTGCCCTAGCTATGGTCCTATCCGGAATGCGAGGAATTCCGAACGAGCTTAGACCGTTAGCATAGCTCAGTGTCGAGTTCTGTCCCTGTTGTTGTGCATGTCCATGGAGTTGCCTGGACCTGGGTAGCAGATGCATTCCCGACATTGTGAAGTAGGTCTATTCAAACAAGTCTGTATATGACTTAAGTAAACTCTGTCGGATGAGGCGAATGTCGCTTGATGCGTTAAGAGGCAATCGTTACAATTCGCTGTGACCTTTTATGGTCGTATAACGTCTGTCTTACGCATGACCCTTCATGGTCGTATAATATCCGTCTTACGCGTGTATAGTGTTCATGATCAGCCACTGGCCTTATACCGCTATTCGCGCCCTAACCAAAATATTGCCTCTTATCCTTGCCATTCGTGGCCGCGTGTCATAATATTGCCTCATTATTGGCATAAATTAAGGCGCAGCGGTACTCGATACCCGCTTATAATCAACCCTCTGGGTCCCTTAACGCTCCGCAAGCCCGGACCCTAACGCCTCCTAACGCGCGCACCGCAAGCTACCTCATCCTATTCCCATAAAGAAGAGCCTCTTGCTCTTAAATATTGCGCCATTGTAGCCATCTTTGGGCTATCATGAATTGACCGCATCGTCGCATCGGCCTAATGCCTTTCGTCACTACTAGCCACGGGGGCCGCGGCCGGCTGCGGGCATCATCGGTCCCATCGGTCCCGGGTACTGCTGAGGCGGGTAGTAAGGCTGCTGGTATGGGTGGTAGTGCTGCCTGCCGCCCCGGCCGCCGCGGTAAGCTCCCCGGCCCCGGTTACCGTTGTGCCTGTAGTTGCTGTTGTTGTTGCCGGTGTTGTTGGTCTCCGGCTCGGCCAACGGGGATACGCCGAAGCGGTTCTGGACGTCCTTGAAAGTCCGGCGATAGCGCTCGTATTCCGGCGCGTACAGGTTCTTGGTATCGTCCATCAGCTCCTGTGACGGGTTGATGGCTAGCGGGCGGCTGTTCTCGAAGTGCTGCTGCATGGCCTCAGGGTGGAACTGGCGGCAGCGGGAAGCAGCTTCAATCGAAGACTGAAACAGGTCCATCAGGATGACGGCGTGCACCAGCGTCTCGTAGATGGGGCGAAGAATGGGGTCCGCCCCCAGCAAATAAGACAACGCGAACTTAGCGGCGAATATCCTACTGCCAATCTCTATCAGGATGTTCCGATGAAGGAACTGGAGCGGCCGGTACATCTTCGGGTCCGTCAAGCTGTCCGGCGGCATGTAGCGCTCACCGCCCCTACGGCGACCGACAGTAATGTTATTATTCACTGCTGCTAAGTTAATTGCTGCGTTGGCGGCATCGGCGCCGCCTTGTGCCATCGTTCTTTTCCTAAAGTAAAATACTAGAACTATAAGATAGAGGTAACGAACTAGTTCCTATGAGAATCACAACACGGCGGAATAGCCGTGAAAACAGGTGCGCGCACAGTTCGGTCAAACCAGACTACGACCAACAGTATTGAATCCATAAACATATATACCACTGCAACCGCACAAGAAGCTGCAATTACCGAGAGCCACCGGGCTAACAACCGAACTTGCCAGTGGATGGCATGAACCCGCGCATGCACACGACAGGGGTCCCAAAGGAGGACGGTTTTCCTCCAAGGTCATAAATGTCCTACGCAAACAACTCATTTGTGCCAAGGAATGCGTCGAATGCGTCTTAAACGAAAGAACATGAGGGGCCGCGGCGTGCCCTATGCAAGAATGTGACAACTGACCCGTGGGTCTCATGACCATGCAGCAATAACACAAGGGGCAAAGGGTGCACGGCAGGAGCCGGTCACAAGCGGACTCCGAGCCCCAAACCCGCCATTAACAAAACCTTACGCATTCCCTTCCTGGCCCGCCTTCGCCGCCTTCTTCTCCGCTGTGGCCTTTGCAGCCTCCGCCAGTTGCTTGCACTGCTGCTTGTGGCCGGCACGCCAGTCCGCTACCTGGCACTCCCGGCTGCAGTACCGCCGCTGCCGGCAGCCGCCACAGCGCTGGTAGGAAAGGAAGCTGTGGCCGCAGCCGTGGCAGCCGGACTCGTCGCCCGCCGAACCAGCTGCCGCCCCCGCCCCCGAGGACCCTGCCGGAGCCGACCGCTGCGCGCACTCCCTGCAGCCCACAACCCTGCAGCCCAGGTGCGAGGCAGCAGCGGCCCTGGGGTCCGAGGACGGCAGCTCCACGCCGGCGTTGCTTGTGCTGGCAGCTTCCGCGTTCAGCCTGCAAGCATGCCGCGAAAAGAGGAAGGGCAGGGCGAGGGAGAAGAGAAGAAGGGAGGGCTCAATCAGCTGTCGAAGTGCAAAAGTGTTAGCTAGGTCCCAGAGCAGTATCAGAGCAGCGTTGAGGGCTGCCACTAGGTCCCGCAAGCACAACGTACGGTAAGGAGCTGCTTTTCAGTGATGGCCCTCACGTGGTGTGGCCAGCGCGACTACACCCCGTTCCTGTTCAGAGCTTGGATCTGGCCTGATGGTGCGCAGTCCGTCTTGGGTCCGTCAAGGGGGCTGCTGACACCTAGCAACGGCCCTTCCGACTCCGCAAAGATCCCCGCCGGACGCACCTATTGCGTCCCGAACCAACCCAACCCACGCAACCCCCCACCCAGTGCGGCTCAGTTTACCTAATCCCCCACTCACACTGCATCCGCCGCGTCCCCCGCCGCCTCGGTCATGTGCGGTAGGCTGATCTCCTCGTCATCAGGCAGGTGCTTCAGGTCCTTCAGCGTCTGCTTCACAAACGCGATGTCCGGGCCAATCTGCATGTGCCGGGTCGTAGCTGTGTTACGTTTACAATTGACGGATGGTGATGGTGTTTGGCAACGCAAAGGTAGGCTTAACGCGTACAGATCGGAAGCCTAGGCAAGGCTTGCACACCATGCAATGTGGACACACAAGGTGCAATGTTGCCGCGTCGCACCCACACGCGGGCCCCCAGAGCTGCCCGCCTGCCCTCCAGCAGCGTGTGAAACCCCGCCGGCTGACAGCGGGGCCGGCCTGCTGCAGTGCACCCCGCACCCGTCAACTTCTCAACACACCGCCTGCCCCATGCGCCCCCTCCATGCGTGTTCCCGGTCCCCAGCCCCACCCGTCTGCCTTACCTCAACCTTCAGCAGCGGCTTCATGCGCCAGCGCTTGAGTCGCTTGCCCGCCGCCACCGCCTTGCCCACCAGCTCCCGCAGCTCCCCCAGCCGGCAGGCGGGCACCCGCGGACCCTGCGCGCCACGCAGGATGTTGAAGACGCGCACCCAGGTGCCCACCGCCACCGCGAAGTCGTTGCCCTGCTCCTCGCCAAGCCGGGCAAGGGTGCAGGCGGCGCTGAGGGGAAGAGACAGGTGGTTAGGACTAAACAGAAGCTCGCGGCCCCGCCCTCGCGCGCTGCATCGTACCCACCGGTGTTCGGGGCCTATCTGCCTCAGCTCCCTCTCCGCCTCTATCGCCACCTTGTAGCTCATCGCGCGCTTCGGCTCCAACTTGAGCAGCCGCTTAGCCGCTTCGTACATGGTCAGGCGGGCCTGCACAAAGAGGTGAAGCAGGGTCAGGTGTTGAGAACTTCTGGCATACAGACTGTGCGACAGGATGCACTCGGCGTAAAACCACGCAGGGGCGCATTGGCAAGACCGCATGAGTGTGCAGTACTGCAGTTGGTGCGAGATGTACGACAACGCGGCGTCGTTGTCGCGCCGTACATGATCGTACACCAGCATGCACATGGCGAGCACGCGCCAGCATGCGGGCAGCCCACCGCGTGTGGGCCACCATGCATGCGGCTGGGGCGGCATGACACGGCCGTGCGGTAGGTCCCGAAGCCCCGGCCCGCCCCAGCGGCCCTAGCACCAGAGGGAGGCCGGAGGAGCTAGCCCCGGAAAGCTCTTATTGAGCAGTCCCCGCCGTACACTGCTGCCTGCCGTACCTGCATGGCCGATGTCGACATGGGCTGCATGCGGATCGAGTCCTTCCAGTACGGCACCAGCCACGTGATCCACACCGCCTCCCACTGCGACACATCCATGTGCACCGGCTCCCCCACGTCACACCGCGCCAGCTGCGGCAGCAGCACGGTACGGATGCGCTCCATTACGGAGCGCATGGAGTACAAGTAGGCCGCCATGTTGCAGCTGTTGACCCAGTACCGCGCCCGCTGGCTGCAGTACATGGAGCAGAGCGCCAGTACGAACTCGTCGCAGGTCATGGTGTTGAACTCGGCGGGGTCGGCACTGTCGCGGGTGATGGCGCCCATCTGCACGCTGTCGACCTGCCCCGCCCGCATCCGCCGCTCGTGCTCCCGGAAGCTGATCTCTTTCATGGTCGCGCTGTCGTACCAAGCGTAGTGCATGGCGGTCAGGCGCTTCACGTGGCTTACTGCCTGTGGGGTGCGGAGAGGGGAGTGCAGGTGCTGAGGGTGGTGTGGCATCATGAAGCGGGGTGGACAGGCAGTGCGGACATACCGGCAGGGTTCAGGCAGGCAGGGAAGATGCGGCAAGTTACCGGTGGTCGCACCACCTTTCGTTTATGAGCCCCCGCCGCGGGTGGCGCCCTTTGGAATAAGTCCCTGGCCTGCTCGCGCTTGCTGCCGCTCCCACCTCCCACAGCTTGACTGTCAAGTAAGGAGGGCCGGCCGGCCCTCCCATCAGACCGCCGGTCAGCCAGTTCGCGAACAGGAACCGCCGAACAAACTTCGCAGCGTTTTCAAGGGTGTCACAGGGCATGCGCTTGCCCTCTTCAATAATTCCTACGGCACGCGCAAAGTCGCGCTCGAACGCATTCCGCTCATGGTCCGGTATAGAAGTTATGTGTTGCCAGGGGCTGAGCTCCATGTTGAATACACCTGGTCCATTAGGTAAGTATGGATTGTCAGTTTCCTCCTGCAAGCGTTGCTGGATAGGAGCCTGCCGTCGAGACGCCATTGCGATTCAACGTGTAGCTGTTGTGACAAGTGCTAAGAATTATTTTTAATACGTCTGTGGATGAGATCAAGTGCCCTTTCGCTTTTCGGCCAGCTTAGGTAAGCAAAAACTCCTTTGAAGCTTTGAAGCTTTGAATGCCCTAGTGCGCCTGTTTAGAGTCTTAGATAAAGCAAACAATTCCTTGAGCTGTTCCGAACAAACAATTTCCCTTGACATGTCCTCGACATGCCCTGATGACAACTAGCTACAGAGGACGGTTGGGTCGTTGCTGGAACCACAACACACGATTGGGAGCACCTGGCGAGTACTTGCTCTATAATGGTGCACTGCAATAGTTGTCATGGTGGACGTGTCTCCTCGGGTAGTTAACCCGCACCTGCACCTCCGATCGACGGCCAATCAAGTCGCCCTAACCGTTGGCGCTGTTGCTGCGAGGTCTGGGCCCCTAGGTCTGCGGTCGAACGCGGAAATTATACATTTGCCCATCAATGGAGGATCCCGTGGACATCAGATGCCAGGATCGCCCGCCCTACTTTGCCCTATGGTTTACCGGTAGTTTCCGCCGATGTATCCGAAGCGGCTTCTTGAGCCTAAGCTAAGTATACAGTGCCTATGGCTGACACCTTGATCGAATAGTGGTTCTAAAAGATTGTTGTGCTTTAACATGGCTTCATTGTTAGACGAACGGGCATTGTTCCATGCACACTGCGAGGGACTACCATCCCGGACTGAGGTCGAGCTATGCGCCGTGTCACCAGGATTCCGACTGCTTACAAAGACAAGATAGCGAAAATGCCAATAAGGTGAACCCTGGTCCGCCCTGGTGTCCACAATTGAGCATGCCACCCCCTTCTCTATCTACCAAGCGCTTCGAAGGATGTACCCAAGCAACCCCGCCGCCCCAACCAACCAACCTCCGACCCATACCGGTACGCCGATTACGCAGACCTCACGATAACCCAAGCCGTTCCAGTGCCGATGGTGCAAACGTGCGCGGCACCTCGCCATGCCAGAGCGCCGACCGCTCATTGGCCCACATCTCCTCAATGTACGGCACATACTGCCGCCCCACAATCGCCAACACCACCCTCTCCTGCTGCTGCTGTTGTGCCGTACCCTCGCTGCTACCACCAGCATCAGCCTCATGGACCGTGCTGATGCTGCCACCCTTGCTGCTGCCGTCCTGACGCCCCGCGGGGGGTGCTGACGCGCTCGCCTGCTGGGACGCTGGCGAGGTGCTGGCGCCGCTGCTGCTTATCTTGTCCGCATCCACTCGCACTTGTCGTACTGTCATGCGCTGGCACAGGTCACGGACCTGCGTGCGGGCATGGAGTTCAGGGAGCGAAGGAGCCATTGCAGCAGCAAGGGGATGTGCTACGGCATGGATGTGAAGAGCATGGTCACACAACCTGGGGCCAGCCGCTGACAAACGTACGGACTCGCCACGGCCCAATGACAGCCCTTTTGCGTAAAAAGGCTCTTTCGTAAGGAAGAAAGGCGTGCCAGAGACAAAAAGCCAAGAGCGGCGATGCATATGCTTTGAAGGAAGGCGACCTCAGCGGGAAGCCGCAAGCCCGCAACCCATTCCGCCTATTTCCGCTCTCCCTTATCTGTCGAGCTCTTCCCCTACCAACGCCCCCGCCCCGCCGCTACCCCGCCCCCCCCCCGCCACCCGCACCTGCAGCACCAGGTGCCTCGCCCGCCTCGCGAACAGCGCATACTTGAGCGGCTGCAGCCCCGCCTGCAGCCGCAGCGCCTCCCGCGCCACCTCGTACGGTAGCGCAGCCGCCGCCACCGCCCGTGACACCTTGAACGCAGTCACGGTGCGCAGGGAGGGCTCCCCACCGCCCCCACCAGCGCCCCTCCTTCCCCGCTGCTCCCCCTCCTTCTTCTCCTCCTCCGCCGCCGCCGCCTCCAGTTGCCGTACCGCCTCCGCCAGCTGCGTGTCCCAGGCCAGGTAGTCGGGCGGCAGCAGCGCCTGAGCGCGCGCCAGGTCCTGCTGCAGGCTGCGCGTGAGCTGGCTCTCCTGCAGGCGCCAGTCGGCCACCAGCTGGCCCACCCACTGCTCCTGCAGCCGCAGAGGGGCGTCCACACTGGTCACCTGGGGGGGGGGGATAGGGGGGCAGGGGGCGGGGGCAGGGGCCAGGGGAGGGAGGGTGTGACGGTCGAGGGTGTGACGGGTTGAGCGGGCTGAGTTCAACTTGGAGACCACGTGATGGACTATTACGTGTCGCCGAGGAAGCGAGCGACTGTGGTGAGTTGTTGCATGCAAGTTGCATGACCATGAACCCACCCACTTGGGGCACCTGAAGCCCGACTCGCACGACGACATGCTGCAAGGAATCCCACAAGGGACGCCCTGGAACCGTCACACAGCCCTGCACTCCTCTCCAGGTTTTCCTTCGCCCGAGCCCCCGCAACCTCCTTCCCCCCGCACCCCTTCTCACTCCCCACCTGCACCCCCCGCTGCTGTGCCGCCAGCGCCGCCGCCGCCACCTCCAGCCCCGGCAGGTGCCCGAACAGCGCCGCCGCCTCCGCCAGCTGCGCCGGCCGGGTGACGTACTCGCAGCCGCCGTACAGCCCAAACACCTCGTACGGGTCCAGCAGATCCCGACCCACTCGCGCGGGGTGCGCCAGGCCCGGCAGCAGCGCGCGCAGGCGGGCTAGCAGGCGAGCCCTCTCCGCTTCGGCCTCCTCCGCCACATCCGCACTCGCTCCCGGTGTTGGTTGTGCGAAAGGAGAGTCGGAGGCGTTGGGGACAGGGGTGCTGGTGATGTGGGTGTTTGCTGTGGTGTTGGCGGTGGCCGGGTCGGGTTCGGGTCCGGAGAGGAGCTCGAGGGCGGCGTCGGAGGTTTGGAGCAGTGAGGTTAGCTCGTGGATGAGCTCAGGGTAGGGCAGCCCAGCACGTGCTGCGAGGTCGAAGGGCTGTTCGATGGCTAACACGGTAGGCTGTACGGAAGTGATGAGGTCTTGCAGTTCTGCTAGGCCAGCAGGACCGCCATGTGGGGCGTAGTGTACGGTGCCGTACACGTGTACGCGGGAGTTTGTGACGGGGTCTACCAGGGGTGAGTTGATGCAGTGGTGTTGCCAGGTGCGCCTGGCGGTAGCGATGTCGGCATTGATGGTTTGAGGAATGGGTGGTACGGTAGTGCAAGGAGGCTGGCGGCGGCTGGATGGTTGCGAAGAAGGGGTGGAGGTGTGTCCGGCTGCGGCCGAGGAGATAACGCGTTGGTTGGAGCGCACGCGGAAGCCGGCAGCCCTACCACAATTGCTAAGGCTCGTAATTTGACAATTGTCAGAAAGGTGCATGGAGTGTAGTAAGTTCATCATGCCTACTGCTTCGTTGATGTGGACGAGACGGCAAACAAGTTCTCATGAGAGCCTGTTACACCTTTGCTATAAAAGACGTATTATGCAGTGTAAATTAACTGTTTCGTCTCTTAACTTGCTGCTCCGCATTTACGTTAACCGTTCTAGAAGGACACAACATGGATTCCCAACCGTCGACCTTGCAACTTTTCCCAGCAATGTAGCCGGCCCTTTATAATCCGACCACTGGTATGACTGTCTTTGCCTTGGTTGCGCGCGGCGTCATCCCATGGACGTTAAGGCAAGCAAAGAGCGCCGAACACTTGTCGAGGAACATCGGACACGTATTGAACAGCTCTGCATCATGGTACTGTAATGGGGCTTTTGCAAACGGCGGCGCTCGCACTTTCAGCAGCAATGACGGCAGTAGCAGCAGCCCCAGCACTGGATGCCGCTTAGGCAGCGGAGACTCATATAACGAAGAGAAATTAAGCAAATACGACAGCTTTCAAGCGGAAGACATTGCCATCGTGTTGCCGATGCCAAAGCTCTCGCATGCCATGACGCACGGCAGAATCGCCCGATGGCATGTGCGCGAGGGCGATCCGGTGGCGATCTACGACGTGCTGCTGACAGTGGAGACGGACAGCCTGGTGGAGGAGGCGTACCGTTTGGACCAGTTTGCGGGCACGGTAAGTCTGGTCCCCCTGGGCTAGAGTAAGTGGATGGGAGGTTCAAGCAGTCCAATTACCCCAGTGCGGTTTGGGGCTTCTAACAACTTCCACCAATTCTCCTATACCAGTATACTTGTTGGTGCCTCATGACCCTCCTTGAGTCTCCAAATCCCAGCAACATCTTTTGCACTGGCAAGGTCAGAGCAGCCCCCGCTCCGTCTCTCGTAAAACCGGCCTCTTTCCCCTCCACAACGCGCCTCTCTCACCTCCGACCCAGCCGCCAAACCTGCCTCACCCTCGCCCCCAGGTATCGCTGCTTGTGGAGTCCCAGGAGGAGGCGGTGGTGGCGCGCCTACTGGCCCAGGAGGGCGAGCTGCTGCCGGTGGGGCGACCCATTGCCGTACTGTGCGAGCGGCCCGAGGACGTGCCTGCGCTGAGGGAGCGGCTGCGGGCGGGGGAGGCGGAGCCGACGGGAAGGGGGGAGCAGCCGGGCGGGGTGCCAGCCGCGTTGGGCGGGGTAGCGGATGTCTACGAGCAGCAGCAGCCGGGACAGCAGCGGGGGCGGCCGAAGCTGCGGTTGCTGGAGTGGCAGTCGTACCTGGAGAAGGGACCTGAGAGCGGCGGGTGCTTGTGACGTGGGTTGGGCGGGGAAGGCGGCGGCGAGGACGGTGGGCTGTGGGCGGTGATGCCGTCCTAATGTACAGATGCGTTCCACTTACGGTTACGGTCTGTACGCGTGGACAGTGTGTCCGTACGAGCCAGGGGCGCCAAGGACACTACGACACGGGAAGTTTGTCGGGGTCAGGATCTCCTGCGGGCCGCCGATACGTATGATTCTTGTGTGTGCTGGGTGGGCTAGCCGCTAGCGCGAGGTTTGCACAGCTTTGTACCGGTATGTCCACGTCAGTAACCCTGTGCCTGCATTCCCGGGCAGCCACGGTGTAGGCGACTGTTGGTGGGTTCGAGCAGGGTCTTGGAATTGAGCTCCTGCAATGCAACCGCGGGGCAGTCGAAAAGGAATGTCATATTGGTGGCGTGGGTTCGGCCTTCGCCTCCGAATAGTATCCTTGCCTCCACGCGTTGTTTCACGGGTGTGCATGGGACCCAACACATTGATGAGTGCATGGTCTTTTCGCTCATGGGGGTGTTGCTTACGTGCGTGCTGTTCGGTGGCTCGGGGCCTCTATCTCGATCACACTCTGGGGCTGGCCAATTGCCGAGTCCTGCTTTACCGCAGTGGTGCGCTCAGATGGCAGCTGTCCTGCCGTAATTCAGGGACATGCATCGAACTGCAGCTTGCTGCCCCTTATTACGAAAGAGATACACGCCATCCAACCCTGAGTGCGTGTCCGTGTGCTGTAATGCCATCTATCTTCGGTCTGGGCACTACACCTTTGATGGCGTTGCATGCCTTTTCATCTTCAAAGCCAGCCAGTTAAGGTGGGGCACCCATAGCGGTGTGGGGATTGCTCCACTGGGTTTTGCCTTCGTCCTATATAAGTCCAGCAAAGAAGAGCCTGCTGCAGGCGCGGACCTGATGTCATGCCAGGTGCTTCGCGGCGCAGCCCTTAGGAGCATTACCAGCTAACTGTCCAACTGCTTGAAAGGGGAAAGCACCAAGGTTGTGCAACGAGGTGCAATAGTTGGAACAGACGTTGGCAAAACGCCAACGGGAAACGCAAAACACAAAACATCCATCACCTAGGCTAAAACAAAACTTGTTAGCACTTACCCATTCTGCGTGTCAGGAGGATAACCCTTACGAGAAGTCGCGCTGTTGCGATTGTACGTACATGTTCATTGTTCTGGCATTTCCGTACCCACCCCTTCATAACTCCTGGTCTCTGACACAGATAGGCAGAGCAGGAATTAGTATCTGGCTTTTAGCTTTAGCAGCTTACGTCTGGCTTGCCCCTCGGATACGCTCCCGAACCTTTAGAGAGGCTTCCATTGACAGGTGAGGAGATCTTCCACAGGCCTTCCGCGCTGAGCGCAAGCATGTGTCCTATGCCAATGTTACAACCGGAGCCATGGTTGCGGGGACCACTTTGACTTTACCTTGGAGCAGCCTATCTTCTTAGGGGCGAAGAATCCAGCGAAGGAGTATATCCTGCCAAGACTACAACTGGACAGCGCATACAGTGCTTGATGTCATGGATGTCCTTTGAATTCTCTTAGCTCTAACTGTTTATGTGGGCCTGTGCCTCCGCAGATGTCGCGCGGCAACCAGCGGGACATTGACCGTGCTCGCGCCCAGAAGCGTAATGAGAAGTACAATAAGGATAACAAGGATGGCCTGACACCTGAGCAACGTCGTGAGCGCGACGCCAAGGCGCTTGCGGAGAAAATTGCCAAGAAGGCTGCTCAGGGACAGGCCAAGTGAGGAGAGGTCAACCTAAGGGTGTGACAAAGATTTTGGAGAGTGTGTGTATATTATGGTGGCTCTACGTGTGTACCCAGGCTGTGGTGCTTGGCATGATGTCTCTTATTTTATCTAGTCCTCAGCGCAGTTTTCCTCAGGGGAAGCCCCTCGAAATTTATTGTTTTTAGTCGCTCACGTATTCATAGGTCCATGCTATAGGCTCTACGGACAGGTGGGGTTCCAAGGACCGAACTGCGACCCAAGCATTGGTGCCAGGCAAGACTGACTCGGCAATCACGCATTTATGTAAGTGGTATGTCCGAAATATCCCCTCCGATGGGATGTCCTAGTGCTCCTGGTGCCCCTAGTCTGCTTTGAGCGGGAGTTTCCCCGCGCCCACGGTGTTTGGTGCGCAATCAAAGTGGGGCCCAGATGCGTTTAACACACAGCGAACGATCCTCCATGCAGCCTGATAAGAGGAGGTCACCGCGACACGCTCTGCGCTTGCGACTGCGTCGTACAAGCTGCATGGGCCCGTAACCACGCAGTATAAGGGCTGCCAGATTCTAGCGACACCCAGAAAAGGCAGCGGGCTAACTAGAACGATGCCTTTCGCCGGGCTACCTAGTCATAGCACCCCTACAATAACACGGCCAGGGACTTGTTAGCGCAGGTCTTACGATTGGTACTTAACCAGGTTACTGTCCTTCGGTTGGTGTACTCCTTTACGCCATTCTCCCAAATTTGGTTTTAAGCGCTAGCACGCGATAACATCAGCCACGTGAAGCCCGCGTCCCTTGGGACGCACCGGAAGGGCGGCAGAATTGAGGGCACTCTCCCATTCATCCGGCCGACCACAGTAGCGTCCGCCTTGTATTGCAATGGACTCGCAATCGATTCCTTCAATTGGTACCCTGGCATGGAAATGTTGCTCTGGATTCCCCTCTATAGATGCCGATACTTGACTTCGCATCTATGATCCAGCGTTAAGCGCAGGGTACGGGGTTAAATACCGGTACCAAGCGTGCGACATGAGTGCGTCAGGTACAGCAATGCCATGGGCACACGCAAACAGAAGAGCGCCCTCTCCATGAGTGCCAGATATGGGGTGTACCGTGGAATGCGCTGGACGATGACTCCGGATGAGCCGAAAGCGGTGGGACGCAGGCCGCTGGCAAGTGAGAAGCGGCCTTTGGGGCCAAGGGGACCTGTACACGCCCTTGCTCCAAAACCACATCAGCACCGTCCTGCAAACCTAAGCAAGGCCTACGTGTCACAGTAGATGCCCCCAAGTATAAGTTGGGCAACAGGTACCGGTAGCAACCCCATTGGTGCATACATTGAGTTAGTTGGAATTGACCGGTCGTGTTGTATGCTTCAACAACACGGGAACAACCACCCGCCCCAACGCCCCACTCCGGCACCATGGAGCTACCGGTATCCTTCTGCCCACAACACAACGAGGTGCGGGTATGACAAACGTCCATGCAGCACAAACGAGACATCTCTTGAGACTGCGAATATGCCACACGCATTTCATCAACATCATCGTCGTTGCAATCCTCAAATTGCAGGGTTTTGTGCAGGCACACACCCCCTCATGCATACCCGTAGATCACCACCCATGAGGGTTGCCAGATCACCATGGTGCCTTGCATAACAACGCTTCCGCCTAGCAAGGTTGAGTGAAGAAGTCCGGGGGCTCACTTTGCAACGCAAACAAGCATTCCTGCGAGGCCCTGCCCTGCGGCTGCAAGGGCCCTTCGTTGCAAGCCGACTGAGGCGCCTGCACGGCGTCCTCCTGCACCTGCTGCCCTCCCTCCCGCCCTGCTGACTGCTCAGGACCCCCAGCAACAGCGCCGCTCTCTTGCCGGCTCTCAACCCCTGCTGCAGCCGGCAGGCTGCACCTCAGATCACAAGCACCAGCATCTCCACCAGTAGCCGCAGCGGGCGGCACTCCACAGTCGCTGGAATGCACCGAACCGGTTTCCCGCGCCTGCGCCGCCGTGGCCTTCGCCGCAGTGCCGCATGGGGCCACTGCAACACCGCCGAGATGCCCATTCCCCACCCCAACGTGAGCTACGGCTGGCAGACCGCGATCCGATTCGCATTCACTACCTCCGCCAACATTCGCAACAGCAGCCGCGCCGCCTTGTCTACTGGCAGCGCTTGCCGACCCAGCTTCCTGCACCTGTGGCGCCGTGACTGCAGCCCCAGCACCCTGCCGCGCACCCTGTAGCTGCATCGCATGTTCGGCTGTCGAGCCGAGCGACACATCACTTTGTATGCCCGCCGCAGCCTCACGCGCAGGTCTTCCCCGCACACCATTGTCCACCTCAGGAAGCAGCTGCTGCTCGTGCTGCTGCTCCGCCTGGCGGATGCTGCCGGGCAGCCGGGTAGGCAGCCAGGAGCAGTCCTCCTCCGTGGCCTCTACGTACCGGTTATCCCCCCCAGCAGCCGCAGCCGCAGCGGTGCTCAGCCCCGCTCCATGTCCCGCAGCAGGCGGCTGCCGGCCGTAGCCGCCCCGAAGCCCCTCCCGACGCATCGCTACCATTGCCACGTCAGAGCCCGACCTAATACCCACGGAGTCGCCGTCACGCAGACCCATGGGGGTGTCACCCGGGGCTTGCAGCACCCGATGAGACCTGCAAATGGCACCCAACCAAGCCTCCGCCGCTTCCAGGGGCACGCCGCCGCTCACCGCCCCGCGCTGGGGCTGCGGCGGGCTCCTGGGCTCCTGGCTTTCGCGGCGGCTCTCCTCGTCCTCAACGACCGCATCATCATGATCTGCCGCTTGCTCAGCAGCCTCTTGCAGCCCGACATGCGCTGCTGGACCAGCTGCGGCTGCGGTTGGTGGGTCGGCAGCGGGCGGCGGAGCGCAGCACGCTACCGCCGCCGCCGCCGCTGACGAGGACGGAGCTGCGACACCTCCACCTCCACCTGCAGCAGTGGGAGCAGCCGCAGCGCTGCTGTGAGCCCCGGCCAGCAGCTGCGCAACTGGTAGCCCTGAATCCCGCAAGCCGCCAGCTGCAGCACCGTCGACGCCAGGGGGGCACTGCGGTTGCTGCGCGGGAGCAGCAGCAGGTCCCCGTGGAGCCGCTGTGGGCCCCCTTGCGTGACCTGCTGCGGGCTGCCCTGGTGACTGTCGTACCACTGCGCCATCCGGACGCCCCAGGCCCGCTCGGACCTCCGAAGGACCCGTCGCACCTTCAAGAGGGCCACCAAATCGAAGCTGCTGCGGTGATGGCTGCGGCAGCCGCAGCGGCGGCTCCAGCTCAGCAGCCCCCGGCTGCTGTGATGTATGCCCGGCCGCGGGGCGCAGGTTTGCCGAGTGCAGGCAATCCAGGAGCAGGCCATCCAGCAAGGTTTGGCTGGTCTGGATGCCCTGGGACATGAAGTGCAGCGCGCCGCCCTCCGGAGGTCTGACCAGCTGGCCGGGCCGCTCGTAGGGGACCTGCGGGGCAGGAGGTGGGGGTGGCTGCAAGGGCAGCGGCGCTGCCGTGTTTGCCCTCCCCACTGTGTCAGGTGAACCGGCGGCCTGTCCCCGCTCTGTTGCTTCTGCTGCTGCGCTGTTGTCCGGCTGGGCAGTGGAAGGAGCGGGGGCTGCTGCCGGCGGCTGCTGCGAGCCAGCCGCGCCAGAGGTGCCAGAGGGCGATGCAGGGGACGGTACCGGTGTACGGCGGTCATGTGCGGGCTGCTGCTGCTGCTGCTCGCTGTCAGCTGCTGGGGCCGCATGCGGGGCAGGTGTGCCGGCTGTAGCAGGCGCAGCTGCAACAGCCACAGTGGGCGGAGCCGGGGCAACAGCCGCAGCCGCAGCTGCCGCTGTTACCTGCACCTGAGGTGCGCTTGGTGGTGGAGGCGCTGCTGCTGCTGCTGCTGCTGAAGCGACGCGTTCTGCTACTGCTTCTGCGGCTGCCGCTGGGGCCGGGGCTATATGGTTGGTGCTCGTTGCTGCGGTATCCCCCAAGGGTCGAGTCACGTCAAGCGGCAGCTTCCTCCTCGGAATGCTGAACACACGGCCACCCCGCGGGGGCGCTGCTGCTGCTGCACCCCACTGCGCGGGTAACCCCGTAGGCCCTGCTGGCCTGGCTACACGGGGCAGGCCGCGCCGGGTCAGGGACAGCGGCGATCGCGGGGTGGGCTGGTAGGGTTGCTGTTGTTGACGTTGTCGCTGCTGCTGCTGCTCTTGCCGCTGCCCTTGCTGCTGCTCCTGCGCTGCCGGTAGCGGTTGATTAGTTGTGGAGCCGGGAGCACCTCTGGCTGCAGCCGCCACATTGCTGCCGCCGTGCACATCGGCCGGGGCCGGGGGCTCGTGTGTTCGCTGCTGAGGAGGCTGGGCAGCCGTCTGTGGAGAAGGAGCCTCCCCGCCGCCCCTACCTCTGGTAGCGGCAGCGCCACCAGCAGCAGTAACAGGAACGGCTTGTGTGCGAGCCTCCTGGCCCTCCGCCTGCGCTCGCTGCTGGGCAGCTGCTGCTGCTGCTGCAGCGCGACGAGCCGCTAGGAACTCTCCTAGCTTCGCCAGCGCCGCAGCCGTCTTTGCAGTTGTCCCGATGCCGGCGCTTCCAGCCACCCATTGCTCCCCTCCACCTGCGCCTGCCCCACCACATCCCGACGGCCCTTCACTGCGGCCGCCCCCTGCCGGCCGGGTACCGGGGGCGCTTCTGGGTGCTCGTGCTGATGCCCCGGGTGGCGGGGGTGGTGGTGGCGGGGGTGGAGGTGCTGCTGCAGCGGCGTTGGTTGGTGCCACTGAGGGGACTGGGGGGGCGGGGGCGGGTTGCTGACGCGCCAGGCGGCTTCCAGGCGCCTGGCCGCCAGCTTTGGGCTGAACAGGGGCCGCAGCAGCAGCAGCAGCAGCGGCAGCAGCAGCAGAAGCGGGTTGAGCTGTGCGCTGCTGGGCAGCACCGGCAGCACGGGGCACCTCCTGGAGCGTGTAAGCAGGGGCGGGGGCGGAGGAATGAAAGGAGGGAAAGAACGCGGTCAGCTGCGGTACCGTGGATCCACATTGGAATTGCAGCGCAGTGTCGCACGCCGCAGTTCTCCACACAACATTGGGTCCACTCGCAGACCCACCCCCTGCTCCAAACGTCCAAAGCCCTGCGTACAGTACACCCCTCCCCACACCAGCCCGCCCTCACCACTCGACGGCGCTTCTGCTGCTGCACCTCAGCAGCCGGGGCAGCTCCCGCAGCACCAGCCTCTCCCGCCCTGGGCGACACGACTCGCTCCGCACCGCCCCGCTCCAGCCTCCCTCTTCCCCCCTCCTCCTCCCGCAGCCCCCCAGCCGCCGCAGCTCGCGGGCTGGCAGCAGCCGCACCACCCCCCGCTGCTGCGCGTGCAGCTGCCACTTGCTGACCTCGCAGCTGCACTGCACCCGCAGCCGCGCCCGCAGCCGGCCTCGCGCGTGCAGCAGCAGCAGCAACACCAGCAGCAGCAGCGGCTGGAGGTGCTGCGGGCTGCACCTGTGCAGGTGCAGGCGCTGCAGCAGCAGCCGCCCCGGCACCGCCACGGCCGCCTTGCTGGCGACCAGTTGGCGCCGACAAGCGACGTCGCCGCAACGGAGGAGGACCAAGGCGGTCCTCCTCCTCATTGCTGCGTGTCCTCGTTGCTGGGGCGGCCGGGGCGGCGGCGCCAAGGCTTGCTCTCCTGCGGGCTGCGGTGGTGTCACTGCGAGCTGCTGCGCCCTGCTTCGGAGGCGGGGAGAGGCCAGCAAAGAGCTGAGCGGCTTGCTTGAGGAGCTGCTTCTGCAGCTCGTGCTCGCGTTTGGCTCTTTGGTAGGAAGCGTTGAGGGTCTTTTGGAGCTCCGCAAGCGCCGCCGGGTCACTGCAGGGTATCAGCATGGGACGGCGTCATGACGTGTTACAGGTCGAACGCCATGGTGAGGTGAGGGGATCACAGTTTCATGGTCAAGGTGGCTCCTGACTAACAAAGACATGTGGTAGCAACAGGGAGTGGCACTGCGCGTTCTAGAGCTTGCCGCATAGTCTTTAGCAGCTCCGATCCAACGGAAAGGAGCCCTCCAATGCACGCGTGCTCTGGTAATACCAACATGCTGGAAGGCTGGCGCTTCCTTACGCATTCACAGATTCGCTCACCACGCCGCCGGGCCCGGACCTCCGTCGGCCGCAGCTGTAGCCCTCGGCTGCGGCGGTTGCTGCTGCTGGCGTGGCCCCGCCTGCGCCTGTTCCGGCCTGGGCTCAAGCGCCCTTGGCGCCGCCTCTCCTCTCGGTTCCTGTTCATGCGCGCTGCCGGCGTTTGGAAGGGTGACCGAACCCGCGTGGGCAGCTCCGGGGGGACTGGTTAAGTGGTTGGCAGGATGCCCTTGTTGTTGTTGTTGTTCTTGTTGTTGCGGCTGCTGCTGCAATTCCTGCTGCTGCTGCTGCAATTCCTGCTGCTGCTGCTGCTGCTGCTGCTGCAATTCCTGCTGCTGCTGCTGCTGCTGCAATTCCTGCTGCTGCAATTCCTGCTCCTGCTGCTGCTGCTGCAAGTCCTGCTGCTGCTGCTGCTGCAAGTCCTGCTGCTGCTGCTGCACGCGCATGTCACCACACTGCCCTCCGCCGCCAGCAGCAGCAGCCACCTGCTGTTGGACATCGGCAGCCGCCTCAGGCTCCCTCCGCCCGGGTGGCCCAGGCGGTGCACCAGGCACCGGTGGCGGACCCGTTACGCCAGCCCCTGCTCCGGCGGAGGAGGTGGCTACTGGAAGCTGAACCGTTGCTGCTGGTGGTGCTGTTGCTGGTACTGCCTCGGCCGCTGCTGTCGCTGCCTCGGGCGCTGCTGCTGTCACGGTTGCAGGCAGCGGTGCTGCAGCCGCCCTCTCCGCCGCTTGCATCAGCTCCCCAGCAGCCCCCGCCACCGCCCACCTAGCCTCCGCCGGGCTGAACGCAACGGGCTCTCCAGCCTGCTGGGCGTGCGGGGCGTCTGGACCTGCCTGCATGCATGTTGCGCGGGGGCCTGAATTGCGATGGGGATTATGGACAGAAACTCTGAGTACATGCGCCGGGTGGGGTGTGCAAAACGGGTGGGGTGTGCAAAGCGCATGCACCCCATGTACCCACCCGCCAGCTGTCCAGCATCTCCTGCGCGTGCGGGTAGGCGCCCCGCAGCAGCTCCTCGCTGAGCTGCGCGGACAGCGGCATGCCGCCCTCGTCCGCCCAGCGCACCGTGTACAGCGTCACGTCGCCGACATGCTGGGGGGACAGAGGAGCCGTAGGTGGGGACGCAGGGACGGGGACAACCAGGAGTGGGTGTGTGTTTTGGACTTAGGCGTGACACAGGTGGTGGCCGGCCTGACAGTATGCAAGTTACCGGTAGTTACGGCAGCGCACGGAAAGGAGGGGAGGTACGTCTTGTACGCCTGGGCTGTGTGCTTGGTTGTGTTGGGGTTTGAAATTGTCAGGCTTCCAGCCTCTACGGGTGCGTGTATTAAGTAAAGAGTGACCGTTAGCAGCACCGTCGTTTACCTGCACGCGCATCATCTTCTGGGCTACTATCGTAGCCCCCATGCCGGTAGGAGCCACCTGGGACCGCCTCTTCCTCTTCATCTGCATGGGGCGTCGGGAAGTAGTGGTGCGTGTGACGTGCAATTTGTTGGTTACACACGGTCTTACCTGTTCCAACTTCTTCAGGCTGACAGCTGCATTGCGAACTTCCAGTATAGCTTCCTCATCCGCATCAAGACCCAGCCCCTGCAAGACTGAGCTCCATCCTGGCCAATCCTCGGGCGGAATGCTCCCCGACACAGTAGGAATGCTTCTTGCAACACCCTGCACTCATGGGGCAAACTATAGGTACCCGTTTGCATAGCCCTTGCATAACAGTGATGATAGCTTACATCGATAATGTCGAGCAAGCGGTCCATCTTCGGTTGTAAACCGGCCGAAGAGGCACGCGAAATGAATGACAGCTTCGACCAAAGCACTGCAAAACATTATAACAAACCGCGCAAGCGGTTTGTATTTAGTAAACGTATCATGTTTAGTTGTCAGCAACTTTGGGCCAGACGTCGCCGAGAAGTGTAAAGTAAAATACCGATGAAAGCCAACAAGGAAGCGATAAGCAAACACATTCCCAAAGCGCCTAGTTTGCTGACCGTGCTGCGATGTCGCTTGGAGATCCGCATTTCATGGATTTGCACGCTACGGCAGGGGACGACAGCCCTAGTTGTGCGGTTTATAAGGCACGCCATAAGGCTAGCAAAGCCCTGCTATATACCGCGCGGACTGATTGATGGGGAGGAAGAGACGTAGCTCTGAATGTGCCTAATTCCAAGGTCTCCCTGATTTCGGCCAGATCGCGAAACCTGCCGTAACCTCTCTTTTCTCACGCCTTCAGACCAAAGTGTCTTAGGACAAAAGTTCCATATGTATGTATAGCAGACGTCTATGCAGCCGTTTGGTGCAAAATGCGCGAGTAGGCGAACAACCAACGTAAATGACACCATCGGCACCGGGAAAAATTTCGGCCAGTCAACCGCGTAGCACGTATACACCTGCTTCGCTCATTGAAATGTAGTAGTAGACTAAGGTTCGTCTTTGTAAGCGCTCTGGATGGCTGGTGGCAGCGGAGCAAAGCGATCTCGCGGAGACCCGACCCCACGCACGCGATGCAGCGCAGCCACAAGCCGCACCAAGCAACACTCCACGCGCAAAACGCGGCAGCTACACTGACTTGCAAACAGAGTATTTCTGGAGCGGGTGTGCTGAGGTGCTTTCACGGGCGCGTTCTAGGTATCAAGCACAATTTCCATGTCCTCCAGTGAACTCAGCCGGAGCGCTGCAATGGCCCGTCTGACAGCACAGGTCCATTGTATATACCTTAATGGTGTTATGTGTGTAATGCCCGGCTGTGAATATGCTGATTGGATATGCAGAGGTCGAAAAACGGCACTGGCCAAAATTAGGTTAGGCCATCTTCTACAATGAATTTTTCAGTCGCACCTGCTGGCCTCCCTGCTTTACTTAAAGGCTGCCGGCTTTGGAACTCCATTAGAGATATATAGAATACTGCAAAACGCGCGATAAACGACTCGGTAAGGCCCGTATCGGCGATCTAGAGCAGGAAAATCGCGCCTGGCCGAAATATGGCACATTCAGAGCTAAAGGTTGATGCAACTATCCTGTAGCGCCTGAGCAGTAATGCTCATGATGAAGCGTGATACTTCAACATGCTACCATCAAGACTCCCTTTATCCAACAGGTTTGCTGGGCCCAAGCGACTGCTACTCGGAGCAGCGACGTACCGGTATGCCCTGGAACGGCTGGAAGGGCTGGAACGATAACGGGGCATTACAAGGACGCGATGACGGGAAAACCCCATGACCACCGCCCATTGTATGCATTTATGTCCAGCGTAGAGTCATGGCGCAAGTCGAAAGCTTCTGAAAGTCCGGAGTGTCGTCTTGCCTGTTGCACCTTCACCACTACTACAACACCCTCATCTACGTGTGCACGAATGCAGCCGTGAGGTTTACAAATGCGGGGAACTGCCTTGACAACGAGAGTACGACGGCCGGCTACACCGCAATCATCAATACGACCATTCAAGCAAAGCGGGGCTACTTAACGGCTACCGGTTATCGATAACGGCTACCGGTATCCCACAACAATGCATGCTAAGTCTTTATCCCCACGCCGGCGAAGCACTCCAACACCACAGCATTCCTGGCTTCCTGGCTAACCGGTTCGCTAGGCCCTCCCACCTCTCATTTGTGATTTCAAATGGTCTGGTCTACTTTCATCCCCCTCCAGTTCCTGTTCTCCCCCCCTCCCGTCCCCACCTTGTACCCGCTGTTCTCCCCCCCTCCCGTCCCCACCTTGTACCCGCTGTTCTCCCCACCGAACTTGCCCCCCGCGTGCAGCACCGTCAGCACCGTCTCAAGCGTGGACTTGCCGGTGGCGGGGTGCGGGTCCACCGGGATGCCGCGGCCGTCGTCGCGCACAGTAACCCAGCCTGGGGGGGATGGGGAGGGCGGGAGGAGGAGGGAGGGAGAAGGAGGGAGAGGGCAGCTGTTTAGGGTCAGGCCTGGCATTCCCAACACCTCATCACCACGCCCCATGTCTACTGTGCCCCTCCTCTGCCCTTTCCCCTCATTCAACCTATTGGGTAACGGTACCCTTCTTTCTCACTTTCTAAATTTTTTCCCTCCTCTCCCCTCTCCCCCCGCCCCCCCTACCCGTGCCCAGGTCCAGCTCCACCTCCACGCTGCCCGCATGCCCCGCCTGCACCTCGTCAATGCAGTTATCTACCACCTCCCACACCAGGTGGTGCAGCCCCTCGCTGCCAGTGCCGCCGATGTACATGCCGGGGCGCTTGCGAACTGGCTCCAGACCCTCCAGCACCTGGGGGGTGCGGGAGGGGGGGCGGAGGGGAGGAGGGGTGAATAGGGATACGTATTCCGCATGAGGCTGCATAGGCGGGAGAGAGGGGATTAATATGGATGAAGATTCCGCATTAAGCTGGATTTTAGGATTGCGAGGGAGCAGGAGGGGCTAAGCGGGCAGATGGGCGTGGAGTGGAGAGATGAGGGAGGGAGGACGGATGAGGGCAAGGGTTGGTAGTTGCGGCGGGGGGAACGGAGAAGGTGTGGAAATAGAAAGAAGGGTAAGGAGTTGGTGGCAGTTTGGGCGGTGGAAGACGAGGGGTTGCAAATGCCATCCCATCAAACGCGCTGGATGCCGTGTTAATATCCTAAACGTATGGGATGCAGCGACAGATTGGCATTACCTGGATAGAGCTCGCATCGTATGCTGCCTGGGATGGAGTTGCTGAGCTGCTGGGAGCAATGCTGACGGCATAGTTGCTGACGTTTTCCGCCGTCACGCTGCTTCCTGCGACGGCTAGACTATGTGGGGTGTGAACCTGAGGTCTCTGACTCGCGCAGGGCTGGGGATGCAAGGACGGACAAAGCTGCGGCCCATGGCGACGTGGTCTCCGGATGCCCGCAGGTGTCCCGCTCCCCAGCCGATAGCCCAACATCCTAACACGACCGGTGCCTCGAGCTTATCCTCGGCAAACGAACAGGTCTCTGCTTATTTAGCGTCCGTCGACGCTCACGTTTCTAATGACAAATATTTACCAGCCGCCTAGGCAACCAATCAGTAAAGCCACAAAGGCAAATTGAATTATACACGATGCTTTAGATCCAAATAGAGCTGGGCGAAAATACCGGTAGGTAAAACAGACCAAGAGTCCTGGCTAACACGACGTCTCGACGGGCCTATGATAATGGATCTTGTCGGTGTAATATCAATATTGAAAGATAATCGTATGGCGGGTATATATTCCTTTCGCCGAATTCCCTCAAGGGACATGGTTACAGTTAACCGCCACAATTTGGGCCTTCCTAAGCATTACTGAACAAGCTGCATTTTCAGACATCAGTTGAGTTGAGTAAACTTAAAGTGGATGTTACGTACAGGCTTCAAGAACAGCTGGAGAATGTTGCGCTGCACGCCATCCCTGCTATGTATCATGCTAGCTCTTGCAGCCGGCGCTCAAGCCGCTAGGGTGAACCTCCGCGGCCTTTCCATGGCCAACGATGAGGAGCTTGTGGTTGGCTTTCCAAGGTAGATTCCAGCTTTTACACCGTGATCGCTCAAGGAAAGCCCTTGTTGGACATGACATGCCTGACCTGATCAAAGTTTCACACACTTCCAGACCACCTCACGACCAGCATGCGCTTATGGCCCGTTGGCTTGTACACCAGACATCTTGGGGCGTTCTTTCGACCTTGGATAGGGACACTGGCGAGCCGATGGGGTAGGTAATGACAAGCTGCGCGCGTTTAAAGGCAGGCATACAACTAAGCGAAAAGTATAGTTAGATAAGTTGGGTTACTTGTAACCTCGGTAAGGCGCTGCATACCGAAAGGCCGATACTTTACAGACGACGACTGGCAATGGCGCATGTCCATCTTGCAGAGGAGTGCTATCCCACAGCGACGGGTCCCGGCATGACGCCAGCGGGCGCCTCTTCTTCTACATGTCGCCTATGGACGAGCTGACGCAGAACATTGTGGTGGGTGGGGCGAACTTGATCGAGTGCTGCGGCGGGTTACTGCCGCCCGGTTGCCCTCCCCCCTCCAAATCACCCTCACCTACCACCATCCAGTCCTCCACCTCATGCAACCCCCCTCTCCCCTCCTCTCCACTTCTCCCCCCCCTTAGGCCCACGCCAACTGCACCTTCACCGTCTCCGAGGACCAAATCCACACCTCCACCGACCCCACCACCTCCACCTCCTCCTCCTCCCTCCCCGCCTACCGCCCCTGCGCCGGCCTGGACCCCGAGGAGCCGCCCTGCGCCCGCGCCACGCTGCTGGGCCACCTGGCGCCCGTGCCGCCGGCCGAGCAGCCCCGCGCGCAGCAGGCGCTGTTCGCCCGCCACCCGCGCATGGCGGACTGGCCCGCGGACCACCACTTCACCTTGTGAGTGGGGAAAAGAAGAACACCCAATGGGTTTGAATGAGGCTGACAAACAGCCGACGGACGGACGGACTGACGGACGGGGGGGCGGACGGGTGGTGGTGGGGAAAGGCAAGGGAAGGAGACGCTGGAGTGATCTGGGTCGGTGTGCTTTCCCGCGGTACCACCGGCAACAGCGCCCACCCACCTCCTGTGGCGTCCGAGGCCTCCCTCCGCACCTATCCCCCCACACCTCTCCTTCAACACCTCCCGTCGTACCGCACCACCCCACCCGTGCCGCCCCTGCACCCGCTCACACCTGCCGCCTGAGCTCGCGTCCCACCTGCTCCCTCCCTCTTTCCCTCCTGTCCCCACTGCTTTGCCCGAACTTGTGGATTCCTTGGGTTTTGGTCTCTCTTCGACCTCCCTTCCCCTCTCCTCCCCCTCCCCCCCCCAGCTACGAGCTGCACGTGTCCTCGCTGCACCTGCTGTCCTGGTACGGCGGCATGGCACTGGTGGAGGGGGCGGACTACTACGCGGCGCGCCCGGAGGGGCAGCCGCAGCTGATGAGGTAGGGGGAGGGCGCGGCAGCAGCTGCCGGGGCAGCAGCTGTTGCTGGGCAGCACTAGGCAGCGGTGCATGCATGCAGCATCGGCAGCAGCAGCAGCAGCAGGGGCCGTCCTGCGGGTGCTGCAGCAGCGGGCACAGCAGCCCGGGGCCTGGCGTCAGAGGGGTGTCCCTAGGACGGCAGCAGCAGCGGCCTCAGGAGACCGCAGCAGGTGTGCGTGTTCAGGAAGCTGGCAGGTGTTCAGGAAGCTGGCAGGTGTTCAGGAAGCGGCAGGTGTTCAGGAAGCTGGCAGGTGTTCAGGAAGCTGGCAGGTGTTCAGGAAGCTGGCAGGTGTTCAGGAAGCTGGCAGGTGTTCAGGAAGCTGGCAGGTGTTCAGGAAGCTGGCAGGTGTGGCGTGTACCGTATGTGTCCTGCAGCGAAAGGCGGCCTGGGAGGCTGGGAGGCTGGGAGGCTGGGAGGCTGGGAGGGGCGCCACCCACCCAGCTGGTGCGGGGAGCCGCTGGGGGGTGCTGCTGCATGCGGCGGAGTGCTGCAGCCTGGCAGCACCCCTGGAGCGGCATGGCAGCGGGCAGGAGTGCCACCGCACTGGGCGCAACATTCGCTGGTGGTAATGCAGGTGTTGTTGACCTTGTTGTTGTTGTTGTTGTTGGTGTTGTCCTCCGATTGCCTTCGTTCCGGGAAAGGAGGAATAAGAGATGACTCCGGGGGCCTAGGGACAGGTCATTGTGTTTAAAGCGGGGAGGCAGTGGGTGCTGGGAGCAGCTGGAGCTGCTTCATGCGTGGCAGGTGTGCGCTGTTGCAGGTTGAAAGCGGGTTGGGGAGTGGCCGAGGCGGCCCAGGCCTCTTCTTGTATGCTTGTACATTGTTGTAATGTTGACTGTGTTGTATATGGCAGGCATGCAGGCTTGGGACGGTGGAGTGTGCGAGGCTGTACAATACATAATAGACGGATGTTCTCATCCGAAAGTAGACAAGGATGTTCGTGCTTACCGGAGGGTCGTGCTAACCGAGGTTGCATGCATGCTGGTTGCTGCACCACGTTGGGGCCTGAACAGGCGGGGCAGCTGGCCTTGAAACGGCTTGCTTGCAGTGTCAAGACGTGCCTTTGGCCCAGTTACCGCTTGCCTCACGTTACCGCTGTGGGGCACTGGCTGGTGGTGCGGGGGTTTGGGGGTGCCTAGGTGTGTAAGCAGGGCAATGGCCCCTCGTGGTGATCCAAGCGCTGAGCTGTTCTGCCATGTTGTGGTCAGGTTGGTCCCGATGACCCGAAGCTGGATCGCCTTGCGCTGAGTTCATGTAGTGCAGCAGCACTGCAGGATGGGGGGTTGACGTGAAGGAAGGGAATACGGTAGAACGAATTGGGTGCTATGTAACTCGTGCATAACCCTGCACTCTATAGTCCGGTTCGCGTCTTGTGAATTAATGGCGATATACCTGGCGCTTACTGCAAAGAACGGGCCCAGCGTACCGTTAGACCAATTAGGTAGACTTGGCAGTACTTTGCGGATCCAACTGATTGTGTCGTACTGCGTACGGGACAGCTACGGTCGACGTCGACTGCGAATGCAGCCAAAACCTCGGAAACGGCAGCTAAGCGTCAACATATTAGGATGTAGGACTCTTACTGCTAACTCTTGGGCATGTGCCTTCGTCTCGATTCGGCGTTGCCATTTATTCCCGTGTTTGTGATTAACCTGAAAATAAAGTAACGCATGGCTGGAAATGGCTGCGACAGGGATAGGATTTGGAGCTTTCAGAAACGCGAGTACTGGGATGGCAGATATAAGCAACGTTTAGACGGCAATACTGACTTTAACGAAAGCACTTTTGACTGGCTTTGCACATACGATGCTGTGCGTGACTTCATCGACCGGCACATTGCTGGAGCAACGTTTGCGCTGGACATAGGATGCGGCAACGCGGATTTTGCAGCGGCGGTTTGCGCTGCTCACCCCCACATGTTCATAACAGGCATCGACTATAGTCCCATGTTGTTTGACTTATGCACGAGCTCCATCCGACCACGCGGTGGATGGATGCTGATGGACGCCTGCGCACTTGCTTTCCGAGCGGGAAGCTTCGACGTCGTGTTGGATAAGGGCTGCCTAGACGCCCTTTGTGCCGGTTACGACCAGCTCGCTGTGCTACGAGGCTGGGGCCGCGATATTACCGAGCAAGAGGTGGCCCTGGAGTCAGCGGCCGTATCCAAAGTTGCGCAGCTGCTACGTGAGGTGGACCGCTGCCTTGCACCCGGCGGCAGGTGGGGCGCAGGGTTGGACGTCAACTCTGGTTGGAGTGGGTCGGGTAGAAGAGCGTAGGAGAGGCTGGCAAGGTCTAGCATGCAACGTAAATATTTATGGGAACGCAGCACCCTTTGCAAGCTGCCCATCATCACCCTCGATAGCACCGCATCCGCAGTACGCACTTCGTCTGCTGCACTTCACAGCTGCGCACACCGCCCACCCCACCTACCTGGGCTCCATGCGTGCCCTTGCCCCAACTCCTCCTGCCCCCTCCCCGCCTCCCTCCTCCACCTCGCTTGTCCTGCCCAGGTACATTTGCATCAGCTACGAGGGGCCAGCCGGCCGTCAGCGCTTCTTCTCCGGCGCAGCTGCCTCGCCTCTCTCCCTGGAGCTGGTTGAGAGCTGTGTGGAGGAGGCCAGCCACAACTATGTGTACGTGTTCAAGAAGAGAAGGGGCGTGGCAGCTCGGGCAGCCGGGCGGGGAGTTGCTTGTTAGCTCGTTAGCTGCCAGACGAGCGCGCAGACCTGCCTGCTGGGATAGGTGGCAGGTGGCGATGGGGGAAAACGATATGCGAAGTGATGCAGGATGTCACATGTCCGAGGGGCAGGAGGCCATGGGTGGCAGGTGGGCGCTGGCGAGGTGGGAGGTAAAGAGGAAATAACTAACTGACCGTGTGATAAGGCAGTGAGTGAGGAGCAACAGCTCGGAGGCACGCTGCATGTGAGCATGTGGTCCAGCGGGTGGTGGTGGGTGCAGGGGGCGCAGATGCATGGACCCAATATGACCCCGACCCAACTGCGAGGGTGGACTCGGAGAACTGCTCGAACGTGTGCCTGTGGCTGCTCATGTGCAGCGCTGCTCGTGGTGCTGTAGGGTGGTAACGATGTGGAAAGGATGTGCTAAGACGCGAACGTGCGCCGTACAAATATGCTAAGCTGTATACCTGGGCGGTGGCCTTGCCAAATGTGCAAACTGGCAAAATGGTCGGAAGTCCCTGCAGGGGGGCTATAGGCAGGATGGCTGTAGCGTGATTCATATGGTGGGACGACGGGGGTGCTGTTGGTGCTTAGGTGTGTGATGAGCCTGAGGAGGTGTTCATGGTCTTCTGTTGAGGTTGCTGCTTGCTAACGTTGACAGGGTTGGTCAGTGTGGGGGGTTCGGAGAGGTACCGGTGAACTGGTACCCATTGAAGCTACAACGCGGGGTAGCACACTGTGATATCTCATGTACGGTACCCTTGCAGTCATCCTGCACTGCCTGGGAGCGCGACCCAAGGGGGCCGTCAGACCCCCCTCACCTTCCCTGCACAGGCTCGCCTACCCGCCGCACACACACGCCTCATCAGCGCAAACCCCAGCAGCGGTCGTCGACCATCACCACAGGAGGGTGGTCAGCAGGAAAACGCTTTCTACGCTTGGATACTAGGCTAAAGCTCGCCCTTATTCTTCTTGTTCCAAGACCAACTCTTTTTATCGTCGGCCTTCTTGTCACTCTTCCCTGCACCCTTGCCATCCGTTGCTGTCTTGGGCTCCTCCTTCTTGCCATTGCTCTCCTTCCGAGGCGCCTCCTTTCTAGGCGCCTCCTTCTTCGCCTCCTTCTTGCCATTGCTGTCCTTCTTAGAACCCTCCTTCTTCGCCTCCTTCTTAGGCGCTTCCTTCTTAGGTGCCTCCTTCTTGCTCTCCTTCTTGGGCTCCTTCTTCGCCTCCTCCTTCTTGCCCTTGCTATCCTTCTTGGAAGCCTCCTTCTTCGCCTCCTGCTTAGCCTTGGACTCCTTCTTCGTCTCCTGCTTAGGCTCCTCCGTCTTCGCCTTCTCCCCCTCCTTGCCCTCATCCTTTCCGTTGCTCGCGCCCCCCTGCTGCTGCTGCTGCTGCTGGCTGCCGCCGTTAGCGTCCTTCGCGCCCGCCGCCGCCCCTGGGTCCGCCTCACCCGCCTTGTCGCCCTCCGAGCCGCTCTCCGCCCCCTTGCCAGCACCTGCAAGCACAGCCAGGCAGCAGAAGGCAGTGGTCTCAACAGCAGCAGGCGGTGCTAAGCACAGGGTGCAACACGGTGGGTGCCCCCAGCAGGCAACACGGTGGGTGACACCAGGGGGTCACCGCCAAGGAGGGGGGCTACCAGCCCCCCTCCCCGGCAGCCAACAATCCGGTAGCAGGAGAGCGACAGCAGCACACACAGTGCGATACCGGTAGTGCCCACCAGCCCTTCCCTCCCCGCCGAGGACTTCTTGCTTGCCACCGCGAGCCGACCAGCTCCACTACCGCCGCCTCACAACGCACGCCACCGCAACCCGCACCTCATTGCCCGCTACCCGCCCATCCCCTCCCGTCTCACCCTCCGCGCCCTCCGCCCCAGCTCCCTCCGCTGCCGGCTTCGCCTCCTCCGGCGGCGGCTTGGGCTTCTTCTTGTTGTTGACCTTGTTGAAGGCCTTCTCGAACCGCTCCCACGCCGCCGCCAGCTCCGAGGCGGTGAAGGCGGGCTCCTCATGCTCGGGTCGGCCCTCCTGGGCGGCCAGCTTGGCGGCCAGGTCGGCCTCGAAGTCGGAGAGCTGAAGAGAGGGGAAGGGGGATGAAGTGGGAAGTGAGAAGAGTTGTGAAGGAGCCCCCCTCCCTTGCTTTGCCACCCCATACCCATTAGCTCCCCCTCCCACCCCCCCTTATGGTATGGAAATAATGGCATGCCCTTGACCCCCTCCCTCACCAGCTTGTCCACCTCCTGCTGCTCCGCCTCGCTGATCCAGGGCTTGGTGGCGGGCCAGGCGCCGATGAGCGCCCGGCGCAATCCCGCCTGCGACCGCAGCCCCTCCACCAGCTTGGGGCGCAACTCCAGCTCCTGGGGGGGCAGGGGTGCGGTAGGAGCCGCATGAGCCAACAACATGGGGGCGAGGAAATGCAACACGCCGCCTCCACTAGGCCGCCTCCGCTAGCTTGCCAACAGTGTGCACCTTGCTCCGCTCCGTAAGCGCCCCTCCTGCCCTTCCTCCTCCCCTCCTTTTTTCCCTTTCAACCCCCCTTTATGCCCCCCCCCACCTCCGCCCTCCTCTTGATGGGCTCCCCAATTTCCTGCAGCGCCTTCAACCGCCGCCTGAACTGCTCCGGCCCCTCGCCCTCCTCCGCCTCCATGTACAGCCAGTCCTCCTCGGCAGCCAGGCGGGAGTGGAAGGACTCGCGCTGGGCCTCGGTGCTGACCTGCGGGGGGGAGCAGCGGGAGAGCGGGAGAGAGGCAGCGGGGGAGCGGGAGAGAGGCAGCGAGGGAGGTTGTGAAGGGCGTCCAACAGGGTGGCAAAAAAGACCCCTCCTAACCACACTCGCGCCCGGATCCCAGCCCCTCGCCCCCTGCCAGCCCCTCACCTCCTCCTCCCTCGCCCCCCCTTCCTCCCCTTCCCCCCCACCTTCATGACCAGCTCATCCGTCTCCAGCGCCTCCTTCATGGCGATGATGTAGCTCTCCAGGTCGTTGCGCGCCCGCGCCACCTCGCGCTTCACCGCCTCCGCCTCCTCCCAGCCCGCCAGCACTGCCCGGGAAGCAGCCAGCTGGTCGGCGGTGAGGGGGGGAGACAGCCAGCCGCGACCGCCCACAGAGAGGGGCACCTGGGGGACCGGGGTGGGGGGTGGATGGGGTGGTACGGCGCAGGGAAATGGCGCATGTGTGATTGCCGGGCGGTAGACAGCGACATGCACCCACCCACCCACCCCCCTCCATGCGGCGTGCCGAGTAGTACGGTACCTGCCCGCGTACGGACAGCGCTGGTACCACCGCCGCCGCCCGCGCAGCAGCAGCAACAGCAGCAGCAGCAGGGAGAGGGTCTCCCCAGCGGCCCCCTGAGCCCCTTATCAGACGCCCTCCCCTCACCCCCCTTGGTCTCCAACCCCCACCACCACCCCACCCCCACCTTTGCCACCTTGGTCTTGGGCACCAGGATGCGCCTCTTGATGGTGGTGGCGGTGGTGTTAGTGGTGGTGTTGGCAGTGGCGGTGGTATTGGATGCGCCCTGCGGGGGTGGCGGGGGCACCGCGAGGGAAGAGGGAGGAGGGAGGCGGAGGGATTAGGCTTGGGAGACACTGTGGCAGCAGCAGCCCCCGCCAGGCGCTGCAGCACTGGCGCAACCTGCGGCTGCGGCCACTGCTTGATAAGCGCGGCAACCTCCTGGCTCCTAGCTGCCCACCCTCACCTTGCCTCTCACCGGCCACCCCCAACAGCAAAGCCTGCAAAGAGGGGATACCCGCAGGTCCAACATGCGGGCGATCTTCCCCCACCACCACCCCACACCCCTACGGTGATGTTACCTACGGTCAGGGTCAGTGTTTCCGCGGCTCAGTTCACCCAACCCCCCCCCCACACACACACACACCCCGAGGCGCACACGCACGCACCTCCTCTGTCTTGACAGCCTCCTCGCTGCCGGGCTGGGCCGCCTCCGAGCCTTCGCCCTCACCACCACCCTCGCCGCCACTGCCATTCTCCTCCTCGGCTTCCGACTCGCCCGCATTCGAGCCCTTATCCTTGTCTGCCTCCTGCTCGGCCTTGCCTGCACGCGGCGGACCCACATCCCTCACCGGGCCACGCAGCGAGGCCGCAGGTCCTACCACAGGGCCCCCAAAGCCCGCCACTCCGCTCACCACACACATGGCGCCCTGCTGCCACCCCCTCCTCCCCACCTTCAACCGCACAGCAACCATCTCCACCCCTACCTTACCCTGTCCAACCCGTACAGCCCCCCTCCCCTCCCCTAGCCCTCCCTCCGCATCTCCACTCTTCCATTCCACTCACCCCCCTCCGCGCTGTCCTGCTGCTGCTTCTCCTGCTGCTCGCCTCCCGCCCCCGCCTCCACCGCCTCCTCCACCTCCCGCTCCTCCATCACCTCGTACTCCACCACCGCCTCCACCCGGTCCAGACGCAGCAGCCCGCTGTAGTCCGCGTCGAACCGCAGGGTCACCTGGGGGGGCAGGGAGGGGGGGGGTAGCGGGAGAGGGGGAGGATGGGCGGCCAGGAAGGGGGGTCACAAGCAAGGCTCCATGCAACAGGCTGGAGGAGGGTGGAGCTGCAGGCGATGTAGGCTAGCAGGGGGGAAGCTAGCAGACAGCAGGGGGGGAGGCCCGGGGCGGCTGCGTTGAAGCCCGGTGGCAGGTGAGGGCAGGAGGCGGACAGCCAGCCGGTGGGGTCGAGGCTGCCGAGTCGCTGCTAGGGCAGTCCCTCTGCCCGCTGGGGACCCCCGACCACAACCCCTTCCCCTCCACACATACACACACACAACCTGCTCATCCTCCCTTATTGCCCAATCATCCTGGTCCCCAGGCCCCCCCTGCATTCCCTCCCCCCTTCCCCCGTCCCCCTGCCCCCCTCCCACCTGTCCGCTGCTGTTGTACCTGCCCACCACCTCGTCCACCCCCGTCACCTCCCATTCTGCCAGCGCCGCCTCGCGCACCCCGGGCGGCAGGCCGTGCGGGGTGGAGCCGTTGTATGCGAGCGAGAATCGCAGCGGGTCGGCCGCCAGCCGCTCCAGCTTGACCAGGCGCTTGGAGGGCAGCTTCTTCATGTAGGGCAGCAGGTTGCGCAGCTTCAACAGGGGGGGCTGGGGGGGGAGGGGGAGGGGGAGGGAGGGGAGGGGAGGGGGGGTTAAGGGGAATAGCTCAGGGGCGGAGGCCTGCCTGTCAAAGAGCTTTGGCCTCTGAAGAGGCGCTGGTATGAGCTGCCCTGACTGCTGCTGCTGCCCCTTCCCTGCCAGCACCTTCCCAATCACCAGCAGCCCCTCCTCCCAGAGCCTCAGCGCGTGCTGCCTAACCCCCCCCCACTCACCTCCTCCTCCCGCACCGCCTCCCCCGCCTCCTCCGCCGCCCCCAGCACCACGTTGTCCAGGCTGAGGCTGACGCCGTACATGCTCACATCCACCATGCCGAACTTGCGCAGCCGGAAGCTGGTGGACAGGTTGGCGGCGAACAGGCCGGCGCCCAGCACGGCGGCCTCGTCGGCGTCCAGGTGCCTGGGGGCCATGGGGAGGTGGGGTGGGGGGTAACAATTGTGGGGTATTAAATCGGGAGTGGAGGAAGAGAAGCAGACAGTCGGTGGATGAAATGGGCTGGGTTGGCTTGTGCTTGTTGCTTGATGCGCGCGAGGGGTTGTGTCCAGTGCCAAGGGGGGCAGGGAAGGGAGGGGCGGTACCGGTAGGGGCTGCCCAGTCGAGACTGCCCCGGGTTGAGCGCTCGTCGGCATCCGTGTCAAGGAGCGCCCACACACCGGTACACCCTGCAACGCAGGAGCTACAGGCGCTGCCAGCTGCTCCATCACGCTTCCGTCACCCGCCCCACCCACACCTCAGCCAGCCTGGCACTTCGTACCGGTCTCGTCTTTACGTGCGTTGTCGCATCACCCCACCCCCACCCCCACCTGTCCAGCCCCCGGCCTCCCAGCACCTCCGACAGCGCCGCCTGCAGTCGCGGCACCCGGCTGCCCCCGCCCAGCAGCTCCACCGCGTCAATGTCCCCCGCCGCCAGCCCGTTCCGCTCCAGCAGCCGCCGCAGCGGCGCAGTGGCGCGACCGAAAAAGTCCGCCGCCAGCCCCTCGAACGCCTCCCGGCTGATGCTGCTCTGGAAGTCCCGACCGTCGTACAGCTCCTCCACGGAACACGGCGCAGCGGAGTTGGCGGACAGCATCTCCTTGGTCCGCCGCACCTGCCGCCGCAGCTTTGCCATGGACTTGGGCAGCGACAACACGTCCACCGCCGCCCCACCCGGCCGGGCGGCCTCCCTGGAGCTGAACTCCGACGCAAAGTGCCGCGCCAGGGCCATGTCCAGCAGGTTGGAGCCCAGCGAGTCGTCCCAGTCGACATCCTTGACCTCCAGCTGGTTGTAGGTGCGCGGTTTGCCCGCCTCCTTGACTGTGTAGGTGCTGTACTTGACCAGCGCCACCTCGGTGGTGCCGCTGCCCATGTCGTACAGGATGATGGTTTGGCTGCGGTTGGTGAAGTCGCGCTCGATGCCGTACTGCAGCGCGGCGGCGGTGTGGGTGTTGATGAGGCCCATGAGGTTGAGGCCGGCCAGGCTGGCGGCGTCGGCCAGGGCCTGGCGCTGGCGCTGGCCGAAGAAGGCGGGCACCGTGATCACGGCGTCCAGCACGGGGCTACCCGCCTGGGCCTCCGCGATTTGGCGGGCGTAGTAGAGGATGGAGCCCTAGGGGAGGGGGGTTTCAGGTTCGGGGAGAGGGGTTTGGGGGAGGAAGGCATACATTAGAGGGTAAGAGACGTTTGTATAGGCATGCTGGCCAGCCCTGGTCTGACCCTCGATATGGGCATGCCAAGGGGCAATGGGATGGAAGGGACTAGACGGGAACACCGGGTGCTTTGCTGCCCCGTACGTACCTCCACACCAGGTTCAACCCTGTTTGTTGGGACGGGGATAATAGAAAGGTGGTGCGACGGAGGGCATGGTTCATGGGCGCTTGTGGAGAAGCAGTGGGTGGGGGAGAAGCAGTGCCCACCCTGGCGCATGTATGGCTACCAGGATGGTAGGGGCCCTCTCCTCCACTGCTACCCTAGGCTAGCTGTCTGGGAGCTCGGAGGGGTACCGAACTAGCCCTCCTGCACCCCCACCGCCTAACTCGGGATACTGGTATGGAATCGGTACTCCAGATGCCTCACTTTTCGTTTATGTTTTACTCCTCTACTTACTGTGCCCCGCACAGCCGCTCTGGGCTCCAAGATCGAGGTGCTGGGTCCCTCCGACCTGGCGGACGCGGTGGTGGCGCTGGCCGCACTGCGACAGCAGGCCGGCCCGCCACCTCCACCTCCGCCACCTCCATCTCAACCCACATCCGCCTCCAACGCGTCCCGTCGCTCCATCACACACGTCCGTAACAGCAACCCACAGCTGAACCCAAACCGCATGCAGTCCACGACACCGTCACCGCCACCGCTACCCCAGCAGCAGCAGCAGCTGGTGGCAGGTGGTGGAGGGCCCCTGGCGGCCCCCTTTCAGGGTGCACACCAGGCATATCTGCTGGGACGCCAGACCGGGCACATGTCTGTACTCAGCCGCATGCATGCTACGCCGACTCTGCAGTATCCCCGGGGCAGCAGAAGCAGCAGCCAGGTGCTCTCCACGCCTCATGCTGCGACCCAGCACGCCGCTGCCGCCGGCACCATACCCGTGCACGCAGCACCCTACCAAGGCCTGATAGCGTTGCTGCTAGCCAGCTGCGCCACCAAGCTGTCGCTGCTGTCAGACGAGGAGCTAGTGCAGCTGGCGGCGGCAGCGGCAGCGCTGGACGTGCGGCCCAGCGCCGCTTGGCTGCAGGCCCTGTTTGAGGAGTCGCAGGCTCGTCTGGAAGCAGCGGCGGCAGCAGCCGCTTCAGCCGCCGCCGCCGCCGCCTCGAACGCCGCCTCGCGGCGAACCGTCAAACCGCCAAAGAATCCGACGACGCGGCGCGCCTCCAAGACGACTGCAAGACCCGCACCATCACTGCACGTCGTGTCTTCGCTGCCTCCTCGGCTGCTGGGGGAGCTGCTGGTGGCGGTGGCCAAGCTGGATGTGCAGCCGCCGGCGCGCTGGCTGACCGCCTTCCTGGCGGTTGTACGGCAGCAGCTGGTGGGCTTTGACGCCGCCTCGCTGAGCGGGCTGGTGTGGGGGCTGGTGGTGCTGGAGGTGCGGCTGCCGCCTGACCTGACCCGGCAGCTGCTTGCGCGGGTGCGGGTGTGTCTGAGGGAGGAGCAGGAAGAGGGGCTCGGAGGCGGTGGAGGGGAGGAAGGAGGGCAGAGGGCGGGGGCCCTGGCACTTGCATGGGCGCCGGTGCTGCAGGGGTTGGTAGGGGTGGAGGCGGCAGCGGCGGAGGGCGATGATAGGGTTCGTACGACGACGAGTGTGTCGCAGAAGGCAGAAGGCGGTAGGGGCGGCCGCGGAATTGGGAGGCCTTCAAGACCTGGTGTGGGGGGGGAAGATGAGGCACGGGGTGAGGTTACGCCGGTGTCTGATCGTGGCGGCAGAGGTGCTGGCGTTGGCGGTGCGGGCAGGGGGCAGGGGCAACGGCGGCAATCGTACGGCTATTTGGCCGGCCCATACAGTCGCCGGAGGGGAGGTGCGTTGAGGGCGCCGGAGCCGTTGCAGGTGCCAGTGCCCCCGGCGAGCTGATGCCTCACGTCCCTCACGGCATCCAATGGGGTACCGTACTCGAGGGCTTGCACGCTACGAGAAGAAGTTGACGGATCCTTACGGTGCAGCGCTGGCTGCAGAGCGCTACGTGGGGCTCTTGTTCGGTGAAAAAGTGACTGTATTAGTGAGGAGTGCCGAGGGCGTGCGGAGCGCGCGAGTAGAGTAGGGACGTTATGGACGTACGGGTTACACGAGTGCATAAGAACATGCCGTAATACATAAACAGGGTTAAGTGCTTCGTTACTTTCTCACAGTGAGTGCTGCTGGCGAGAGCGACCGTATTCGAAGAATGAAAGCACCGTGACTGGATGAATACACGTACGAAAGTGAAGTGCCCCCTTCGCGCATTCTTATACCAGGGGTAAGGGTAAGAGACACGTTGGCAAGGTCTCCTCCAACGGCCCCCCGGCACACTTCACCTTTCAAGACAAGTGACAATCGACGAGCAAACTGACACATAGTATGTAACATTGTAAGACACCTCACACGCCACCACAGGATGAAATGCACATGGGTGCCTGATTAGATCTCGTGCAGGGGTCGTTTGTTTGCTTTCCAAACATAATGGGATTGCGCTGAACCCAAATGCGCCGCGACGAAACTATCCACTGCCCGCCCAAGCCTCCTGCTCGCATTGCCCAAGGATAACCACTATAATCCGGCCAGACGCATCTCGTCCAATCGCCTTCATCCGCTATTGCTAAATCTTGACAAACCAATCTGCTTGTCATCACCATTATTTGCTTGAAAACCGTCGCACCAGCTGCCCCCACCGCCTCCGTCGGCCCCGAACCGCCTACCCGCACCGCTGCTAGACGATGCAATCATGAGCTGCAGAAGCGCGCTGCCCCCAACCTGCATTGCTGCAGGGTGCAATCCGACTGCTGCAATCGTGCTCCCCCACCCTCGCACTGCAAAGACAGGCGCACTGAGAACCCACCGTGCTGCGGCCCTCATGCTGGTCATGCAGCACCACCTCCTCCCATCCTGCATCCCCGTCCATGCGCTACTGCCGGTGCCCTTAGAAACCCAAAAGCGCACGATACCTTGCACCGACACCTTGTAAAGCTGGTCGTTGATAATGCACTGCACTGCTTGAATGTGCTAGCATGCCTTGCCTTCGGGCTTGCGCCCCCCGCATGCACCCACGCCTCGCACAGACCCCTGCGCTCCTCAACCCGCGTGGCCACTCATCCCTGCACCGCTACCGCTATCCCTGCACGCGCCCTGCCTGCGCATGCACGCTTCGCCGCACCCTTCAGCAACCCCGCTCCACCCCGCTCCAAGCCCCAGATAAACCCAACCCCTCACGCCCCCACTGTCCTCCGCAGCCCTCCTCAGTGCGCTGCTGCTGCGGCCGCCGCCGCCTGCTGCGCCTCCGCCATCTTGGCGAGCTGCTTCTGCTCCTTCATCTTGCGGTAGTAGGCCCGGTAGTGCTCGTCCATGGGGTGTTCGTACGTGGAGTTGTTGGTGGCGGCGTTGTAGAAGAACTCGTTGCCCTCGCCGTCCAGGTGCACCGTCCAGCCCTCCGGCAGCGGCGCCGTCAGCGCCCACTCCGCGATGTGCAGCAGGTCAGCGTCCTCCACCACATCCATACCCAGATACTGGGGGGGGAGAGGAAGCAGGAGAGGGGGAGAGGGGAAGAGTTGAGGACAGGTGTGAGGCAACAGCAGACTAGGGTTCGATGAGTTTGATTGGAGATGTTGTTTTGGCGCAACGACTTCAAGCTGCTGCTTACCTTGCCGTATGCAACGATCTCATCCTGCGTCGGCGGCTCGTCCACATCCTGTGGCAGCGCCGCAACCGGTGGGGGCAGCATGGCCCCCGCCGCTGCCGCCGCCGCCGCGCCCATGCCCGCCGACCCAGGCAGCGTCGGAGGCATACCCGTCATACCCGCAGCCGCCGCGGCGGCGGCCGCCGCTGCCGCCGCCCCGCCCATGCTCGTGTTCCCCGACGACAGCAGCCCCGACATCCCCGGCTGCGCGCCCAGCACACCCGGCGGGACCAGGTTGTTGCTGGAGGGCTGCGGCCCCAGCAGGGTGCCCATGGGGGTGGCCAGGGGGCCCAGAGGCGCCATCATGGCAGGTGCCGCTCCGCCCGTCGCGGCCCCCAGGATGCGCTGCGCCTGCAGCATGGCCGCCATCTTGACGGTCTGCGCGAGCTGCTCCTGGAACATGCGCATGGTCTTTGCAATCTGCTCCTGAAGCGCGCCCTTCTCCTGCTCCGCCTTTGCCTGCGGAGTGAGGAGGAGGAGGGGAAGGGGGAGGGAGGGGGGGAGGGAGAGGGGGAGGGAGGGGGGGAGGGAGAGGGGGAGGGAGGGGGGGAGGGAGAGGGGGAGGGAGAGGGGGAGGGAGGGGGGGAGGGAGAGGGGGAGGGAGGGGGGGAGGGAGAGGGAGGGGGAGGGAGGACAGGAAGGAGGTCAGTAAGGCGGTCGTTAGAATGGCAGTGGCTTCCCGTCCTAGAGCCGGAGGAGGCGGAGGAGGAGCGGGTGCGAATGCAGTGGATGCATGCGGGTGGGAGGAGGGTCAGGGAGGAGGAGAGTTAAGGAGAAGAGGTAGGTAGGTAGGTGAAGGAGGTGTATTCAAAAAAAGAGGAGTATGTGTTCCATGCGTTCCTCCATCCACCTTCTCCAGTTCCGCCTGGCTCTTCTGCGCCTCCAGCATGCGCTGCGCCTGCTCCAGGACGGTGCGCTCCTGCTCCACGCGGTTCTTCTCGTCCTCCAGCTGCTTGATGTGAGCCAGCTCGTCATCCAGCTTCTTCTCCAACATCTGGCGGGGGGAGGGGGGGAGGCGGTGAGGAAGGAAGAGGCCAGGAGGAGGAAGGCGGGTTGAGAGGTAGATGGAGGGTAGGAGGAAGGAGGTGCGATTGAGCATCGCCGCATTCCTTAAGCATAGGAAGACGCAGGGGGTTGCGGTTGTAAATTTGTTTGTTAAAATAAACCTGCAGGAGAAAGTTCTCGGTTTTACAGCGGTTGTTCCCCCTTCGTCCGTCACCCCCGCCGCACTTCCCAACGCAGCACCTTTCCTCATCCTCATCCCTTCCCCCCTCCCCCGCACCTTGACCGCGGCCTCCAGTCTCGCCGCCTCCTCCGCCGCCGCCGCGTTGCGTCCCGAGGAGTTCCTGCTGCCCGCGTTGCCCCCCGCCGACCGCAGCATGTCGCGCTGCGCCTTGAGCGCCTCCAGGCTCTGGTTGGAGGCCACCAGCTGCAGGTCGATGTCGCGACCCTGCTGCTCGTACAGGTCCCGCAGCAGCCGCTGCCGCTCCTATAGCGGGAGGGAGGGAGGAAGGGAGGGAGGATTAACAAGGGAACACGGACTCGGTCCAGGCAGAGCAACACAGGCCTTAATAATGTGCATCGCATCATGACGGGTGTAGCCTCCCCTCCCCTCCTCGCTCCCCCACCCACCCACCCACCTCATCAAACAGCTTCTTCTGCGCCGTGAGGTGCTCCTCCAGCTTCGACTTCTCCTCCGCCAGCACCGCCGCCAGCGCCGCCCGCTCCTCCTCCAGTCGCCGCTGGAACTCCGCGCGCTCCGCCTCAAGCGCCTTCTCCATCTCCTGCAGCTTCTCATCCGCACTGCCGTCCGCAAGCAGGTTGATGTTCAGCCGGATGGCGGGTGTGGCGGTGGAGGGCCGGCTGCTCGACACCCCGCTCATCTGCTTCAGCTGCTCCGCGGCCTCACTCGTGCGCCGCCGCTCCTGACTCATGGCGCGACGCATCTCCTCAATGCCCCGCTTGAGCTCCTCCGCTTCCGAGGCAGCGGACCCGCCCGACGACACGCGGCGCTCGTCCATGCTAAGGTTCACACGCAGGCCGCGACTGCCAGGCCGCAAGTGCACCCGCACAGGCGGCCGACCCACCGGCGGCTCCGGCGAGGGCTGTGGCGCCGGTGCGGCAGCCTCCTCCTCCGAGGTGGACGGGGCAGCAGTAGCCTGCGACTCCGCCGCCTCAGAGCTCCTCGCCGCACCGCTGCTGCTGCCGCCGCTGCCTGGCCGGGAGCCCGAACGCGAGCCGGAGCCGGTGGTCCTGCGGCCACCGGCGCCCAGCTCCGAAACCGTGTCCCCTGCCTCGGAAGCGAGGACAGCCTCGCTGCTCTCCACTCCCCCCGCTCCTTCCGCCTCCACGCTCGACCCGCCCTCCTCGCCCGACCCGGCTACACTCGCAGCTGCCTCGCCCTCAGACGGCGCCACAGTGGATGACGCCTCGGGCTCGGGCGCCGCGGGCTCCTGCCCCTGCTGCTCCGACTGCGCGGCTGAGGGCTCCGGCTGCAGCTCCGGCTCCGGTTGGGGCTCGGGCTCGGGCTCAGGTTCCGGCTCGGGTTCAGGCTCCACGAGCGGTCCGTCGTCCGCGTGCACCCCCTCCTCAAACATGGCCGCCGCCGCCCCCGCCATGAGCGCATACTCCGGCGGCCGCGGCAGCATCTTGGAGCTGCCCTTCTTCCGAGCCTCCTCAGCGCGCCGCCGTACCTCCTCACGCTTGCGGTCCATCTCGCGCGCCTTCTCCCGCATCTCCGCCTCCCGCTTGGCCTTGGCCTCCGCAGCTGCACGCGCGCGGGCCTCCACCTTGGCGGCCTCCTCGGCACGTCGGGCAGCGGCTTCCGCGGCAGCACGCGCCTGTGTGTGGGGGGGGGGGGGCGAAAGGAATAGGAGGTAAAGCACAGTCTCATAGGTAGGAAGAAACCATGGCACCAACATCACGACCTCAACACACTGCCAGTTTTCTCAACACACACAAGAACCCCGCGCTACGGCCGCCCGCCTCCTCCTCCTCCCATCCCTCTCCGCCTCCCCCTCCCCACCCAGCCCCCACCTGCGCCTCCAGCCGCGCCTTTGCCTTGGCCCGCTCCTCCGCCTCCTTGGCCAGCTGCGCCTGGTATGCCGCGTAGTCCTCCTGCAGCTGCATGCGGAAGTCCTGCACCACCTTGAGCAGCATCTCGCGCTCCACCCGCGCCAGCGCCACCACACCCTGCTCCTTGAGCGCCCGCAGCTGCTTGCGCACGTCCAGGTAGTAGGCGATGATCTTGAGCTCCTTGAACTGGGGGGGGAGGGGGGTTGGAGGGAGAGGGAGGAAGGAAGGAGGGTCAAGAGATGAGTTTGGGTTTAAGGGAGTACGGTAGTGTGGGAAAGGGAACGCCTTCGTGCTTGGTGGCTCATTTGGGGACTAAGAACGTCTACGTCCAGATACCACGTAGTAGCCATCGCCTAACCTTTCTCAACCCTCATGAGCCCCGACTCCTTCCTCCCTCACCCCCCTCGCTCCCACCTGTTTTAGGAAGAGCTCCCGGTCGGGGTCCTTCCAGTGCCAGAGCGCCGCCGCCGTGTCCCAGTCGCCCGAGTCCATGTGCTGCGAGATGAGCGACTCCATCTCGCTCAGCGTAGCCTGCAACGCGTCAAAGCTGCTGTACACAACCTGGGGGGGGGGGAGGGTAGGGGCGGGGCGGGACAGCGCAAGAGGTGGGGTTGAGACGGAGAGAAGGAGTACGGTAAGCGGGAGAGATGCAGGCGGCAGTGTAGGTCCCATGCCTGCATTCCTCCCCCTCCCTACCCCCACCCTAACCCCTCCCAACCCCCACCCGTCCCCACCTTGATCGCCGCGAAAAAGTACCCATGCTGAATCAGCAGCGCCGCCGCCTGCAGCATGGGCGAGGGCCGCAGCCGCCCCAGCGCCTCGCAGTACTCCTCCAGCTTCGGCACCACCACCCGCTGCTTGTTGAACACATACGCCCGCAGCAACGCAGGCAGCGCCGACTTGTCCCGCTCCAGGTCGCACACTCGCAGCGCATCCACAAAGGGCACCTCCGTGGCCGCCGGAATGGCGCCCGCCCCCACCAGCCTCTTCGCGCGGCGCAGCGCGGCGGCCTTGGAGCCCTTGGGTCGTAGCCTGCCGCCGGGCGGCTTGCGTGCGATGAGCTCCGTGAGGTCGGGCGCTAGCTCGGGCGGCACGCCGGATACCTTGGTTGTGATGAGGGACTCGAAGGCGGAGTTGACGTAGGGGTCGTTGGAGAAGATGACCTTCTGGCCCAGGGACTGCAGCATGCGGGTGGTGCGCATGGCGGTGATGGTCTTGGGGGAGAGGTTGATGGGCTCGTGGAAGGAGCCGCCCGCGGCGATGGCGGTGTGGGAGGTGCCGGAGAGGGAGCCGCCGTACAGGGTGCCGGGTCCGCCGCCGCGGCTGAGCACGGGGAGGAGGTAGGCGGAGGGGACGTTGCGGGTTTCCATGCCCAGGGCTTCCGCCTGAGGCGGGTGAGGGGTGGGGGGAGTGTGAGTTGAAGAGGCTGAGCAGGATGGTTGGAGAGTGAACTGGGACGGAGGTTTGGAAGGTACTAGGCTTCGGGTTTACAGGTGGCTGCAGTTGGGGTTCGGCTGGGGAATGTAGGAATTAGAGTTGCAGTAAAGTAGCCATGAAGAGTGGTTTAGCGTGCGATGAGCATAGTGGGTCACTGATTGCTCGCGGCCTGGGCAGACGGATGACTGAGGAGGGGCTGGGAGGGCTGTAGCTTTCCAGGATCAGGCAAGGCACGATGCGTTAAGGGGGATGGGTAGAGAGGTTACCTAGCTTAAGAGGGATGTGGCTAGAAACAAGGAAAGTTCAGGAAAGTTCAGGCCACTGTCAGGAGAGCGTGGACTTCCTTCGGCGTAAAGAGGGAATAAGCAAACTTCCACGGTTGGACATACCAGGAAAGCATGTTTAGCGGACCCACAGACCCGCGTCGACCACGGGCGTGAAAGGACAAACCTCTTTAGCAACACTCAATCCGCACCTATGTTTTCCAACTGTAAACCTTGAGCTTACCTTACGCATCATGCGAGAGCAGCCACGGGGCCCTAGTCCATCTCTGTCTGGCCTAGCCGTCATCCTTCAGCTCTACCTCCAGTAAGAGGGGAAGGTAAGCCCTGATGCTATTCTAAGTAAACTCCTAGCGGAGTGACGCCAATGCTGCGGCTAGACCAAACGCTCTTGTACCGATGCGGAACAAGGCATAAAACCGTCAGCGCCAGTCTTGGGTGTCCATAACATTAAAGTGCAGATATTTCATAAAGTGATAGGCGCTAATAAATGGCCGTCTGGGCTAACAAGTATAGTAGTTCCGCTTAGAAGCAACGAAGGAATGCACTAAACTGTCTGCAGGGTTTTCTGGGTACCAAAGCACATAGAACAGTGTCCTGAAAACGTTGGCATTGCGTTAATAGGCGCCTATGTGCCCCCTATTCTGGAAAAAGATGTTGTACGGGCGTACGGCGGCGTTGAACAGCGAGCCTTATAGGCCAGGGCATTCTGATCTTGTGTCGCTATAGAGAGAAGACGTTTCCTAGATGCAGGGCCGTCCGCCGTGTTTGCCTTTTTCAAGGCCTCGCGCGCGCTTCATATAGCACCTATCCGCGCTATCCTCTTTCCGGTAATGCGCCAAATGTATTCCCGATTTCCTATCACTGCTCATACCCTTTGCATATATTTTACAAGTAGTCTTGCAACTGCGTAGTAACTATCCAGCGACTGCCTCCCCAAAACGTTGAAAGGCTGGCTTCAGGCCATCTTACCAGGCAAACAGCTGTAATAGGTTTCGTTGCCGTGACTCTACATAGGTGGTAATTATTAAAGAAAGTGAGTAGGTCTAGATGAACTAAGTCAAAGTGGGTAGGTAAAACACTAGCCGCCAAAACACGAGCACATAGTGTACATGTAGTAATAACCTTATTATAGCTTGGGATGCATTCTTGTGCCGAGTTTTCGTTTTCTGTCGAGGACTGCCTACTTGCTAGCCGGATGGCTAAGCAAGCTTCGTAGGGTGTATACGGCTTCTGGCTTCGTCATAGACACGCTACGCAGCTGCATTAACCCGGCGGGGAAGGGAACCCACACTACCCAAGCCTGCACACTGTATATACAAACCCCGTGTCGTTGAAGATTGCGGGACATAGACGCTCAGCCAACTACGTCTAAAAGCTGGTCCCCCTTGTAACCTTCGCTTTCTATAGCTGGTTACGCAGCACATAACGGAACTGCATGCTATAGAGCCGGTGTCAAGTCATATGCATGCGTGGCAGGGCCGTACGTGCTAGTCGGACGGGGCACGCAGCATGGAACCCGGTCAAACATGTGCTGTCCTAAGGGGCTGGAGGGCCACCCGGCAGCCATTTCGCGCCACAGTCACGGCTACGGACTCCCCATACATAGGCCATGAGGTGGCTAAGAGCTGGAATCGGTGTCAATTCGCAAGCATGCGTGGCAGGGCCGAACGTGGTAGTTGGACGGGCATGCAGCATGGATCCCGGTCAAACATGCTGTTTTAAGGGGCTGGAGGGCCACGAATGAAAGGAGAAGGGAAGGAAAAGGCGTCCGTGAGCGCTGGGTAAAGTGTCACGACCTCAACTTCGCGGCCTTCCCGAATAGTGTATGTCACGCCCGATCCCCACTCCTGGCTCTCATGGTGCCCTTCGAGGATGCATGGGGGGTCGTGGTTGGGCCCAGGGCCTGGGATGGGTGCAACGTATTTGGCCGTACAGTGGGGTGTGGCTGTATCTACGAGGCTACAAGCGCAAAATGACACTACACCACCTGCGCCGCCTGAGATTTGGATACGCTCAGCCACCTCAGTGTCTCCTCGTTTCCCTTATGTGGCACGTTAAAACTGCTAGCTGCAACGTTAAAGTACTCAACAGGCCGCTTGACACCTCCCTCACTCGAGCTACGGGTCGCTCCTTACTTGTGTCATTCTGGGTCCTTCCGAAGCAATTGCCCAGGCATGACCCATGGGTCACTGCACGCTCCTGCAGAGCGCGGCCTCAGCAACGCATCATTGCATATGCAAGCTGCGCGCGAACGTTTGTTGCTTTAATAGGGGCCACCCGTGTGGCCTGCCGACACCAAATGACGTATCCTCCTGCGACATGTGGTGGCTGGATCACGAGCTGCCTCAGTGTCCAAAGCCGTCCTGTTTTGAGGGCGCTATGTGATGTTACACTGGGCGCTTGTGTATCGCATACCTTACTGTACGGGAAACCGGGCGTATTTGTCGCACGGCTTTACATGATACCCCAGCTAACCAAGGCTAACAGCTCTGGCAATGGCCCTTAACGAGTCCTAGGGCTTCGCGGCGGGGGCTCCGCATAAAAGCGCTGGTGACTCGTGGCTGTCGTAATTGTAAAATTGGATCCCATGTTGGAGCCGAGTAAAGCCAGGAGTCCTTAGCAATAAATTAGTCTTATAGACTGTCCTTACAGGCTTAATTCATTTCCAGATCGCTTTTTGCTGAACAACGCGAAATGGAGAACCAAGTTGGGGAAGACATCAAGCAGTTGCCGGATGTTCTTCACAACCTAAGCATGCCTGCGCTTGAAGCCTTTTACGATGTTTTGGAAAGCGAGGGTAGCATAGGAAACGCACGCCTGGCGCTCCGCGCGCTGCGCAACGTAGTGGACCCCTGTGTGCGCGAACTAACGCTAGTCGTGCGCCATGAGCATCGTCAATTAAGGGACCAGGGCTTGATGCCGTCGCTTGAGCGCTGGCCAGGCTGCGAGGAGATCCGGCTGCAACTGGGCCGTCTGGACGAGTGGGATAGCCCTGAAGACAATGCCGAGCTCACCGGGCTGCAGTTTGCGGGCTCGTCGCTGGCAGCCAGGCAGCGTGTCAAGCGTGTGAAGCTCATTTGGGCGACTCTGCACAGCATGGACATCCAGTTGGTTGTTGCGCAGCTGCCGGTGTGGCTGCCCGCTCTGGAGGAGGTCGACCTCTCCGGCGCGTGGCCGCTCATGTTATATCCCCAACCGTCGAAACGGCTGCTGATGTACCGCGCCCTAACAAATTTGGTGAACATGGAACGGCTGGTACTGCCCGGGCTGCAGGATGTGGGGGCCCTGGCGGCATGCAGCAGCCTGAGGAGGTTGGAAGTGATCATGGCAGCGGACTTTTTGAATCCTCAGGTAATTGCCGAGTTGGCCAGGCTGCAGCATCTGCAGGTGCTGCACCTTTACCGGCACGACATGATTGATGATGAAGTTCTGGAGCGGGGCAGGGAGGAGGAGGGGGTCCATAGCTGCGAGCCGCTGCGCCTGCTGCTGGGCAGCTTGCCGCCCTCCCTGCAGCGCCTGGAGCTGGAGGAATGCCACTTTCCGCCGCAGGATGAATTCAAATCCGTGGAGTTCCACATGGATGCTGGTCACGTGCGGCTGGTGCAGCTGTCTGGCTGCGACTTGGCGCCGCTGTCCGAGTACTGGCTCCTGCACAGCATCCCGCGTCACCTCCTGCAGCAGCAGCTATCAAAGAATTGTCCGTAGGTGCGGAGCCGCTGTCCGAACAGCAGCTGTCACGTACCCGCACGCTGCTGTGGGAGCTCTTCGCTGCTACGGAGGTGCAGGCCTGGACGTGCGACGATGCCTCTGTGGCTGCAGCGCTGCAGGCTGAGGAGCTGGTGGGCCTGCCGCAGAAATTGACGTTCTGGGATCACGACTTCACGATAAGGGTGGCGGTAGTGGCGCCTTCCGGCCCTGCGCCGGCGGGTGGCGAGGGGCCGCAGCTGGGACCGACGGCGGCGGGTGGCTGGCAGCAGCTGCCATCAGAAGGAGAGCTGCTGCTGAGTGCGATGGGGTATTTGGCGGCGGAGGCGGCAGCGGCAGCAGCGGCTGAGGAGGAGGTGGGCGGGTCTGCTGGCAGGCGTGACTCAGCCGACAGAGTTCGACAGCTGTGTGTGAGCGGCCCGCTTCTGGCTACCATGCTTAGCCAGGGCGAGGAGGGGCAGCAGAAGGGGGAGGGGGAAGCATTGCTCCAGCAGTGGATGAGAAGGCTGAATGAGCGGGCGGTGCAGGCGGTGCAGGCGGCCGGTGGCGGCAGCACAAGTTGCGTGGCGCACTACCAGCCGCTGCTGGCTGTGCAGGCAGTGGTGATTGAGTGCTACGGCAGGGCGGCGGCGGAGGCGGTGGAGGCAGCTTTGACGGCGCTGGCGGATGAGGCGGGGTCTGCTGGGGCAGCAGCAGAGGGGCTGGAGACGGCGGCTGCACCACTGCAGGTGCTGCGGTTTGCGTCGCGGCAGGGAGCGCGGTTCAAAATGTCCAACATGTTCGACGCCGTGCAACAGGTGGGTCAGTGTACCGGCAAGTCAGCAGGGGCTTGGGCCTGTGTGGGGTCACGGGTGGAGGCAGGTCACAGCATGACGTGAACACGGGTAGGTATTGGGGCGTGGATACCAGTATCGCAGCATGCAAACCGCAATTGCTTCGTTACCCGTATTGGCCTCGCAGCACGCATTGCGCGCTCACCGACCCTTCATTCCTGGACTGGATGAGCCTGTGGGCCCTCTTGCCAAGGACCACCCGGTCCCTACGGCGCTTTTTCCCTTCTCCTGAACACCGGCGGCACCTCGCTTCTCCCCACCCACCCACCCGCCCACAGGCCGTCCAGCGCGCGTGGGACCGCGCCTGGGAGCCCAGCGAGTGCGGCATCGGGCGGAGGCGGCTGGAGTGGCTGCTGGAGCTAGACAGACGGGTCCTCTTCCCTGCGGTGTGGTTCCTGCCGGCGGTTGGAGGGCTGGCTGGGGGCTAGGCTGGAGGGGCTACTACTGCGGCGTGTGGGGGTATGTACGATACCGCAAGCGTGGGTGAAGGGAGGTGTTGCATCCGGATGCAGGAAAGTAGCAGGCAGGATGAGGTGGGCTGTGTGCGGGCGATACGATGCGCGGGTCTTCATGGGGCAGTGATGTGCATGCATGCAACAGGAGTTGCCATACGTTCATTCGTACATGTGGGCGGACGCCCCATGCGTGGGGTTTTCGGGTAGTGCGAGGCATGGAGCGCGCGGGGGTGTTAGTTGGTGGCGATTGGCAGCTGGGGTTCTCATGTTTAGTTCCCTTTAGGTGGCATGCTGCCTCCTTTCTGTCCCTTCAGCGTTGTACACGCTGGCGGCTGTGTGGCTGGCGGCTGTGTGAGGTGGGGATGGATGCCGCGGGTCGGGCAGGCGGGCAGCTGCTGAGGTGGGCCACGGGGATGGACATCGGCAGGCAGCTGAGAAGCAGTGATGCATGCCGGATGGTGAGATGATGAGCTGTCGGCTTCATGCCACGACAAGGCCCCGGCTTGTAGCAATGCAAGTGGATGGCCGCTGTTGCATGCCTCCACTAACATGTTTGTGATGCGCTCTGTCATGTACCGATATGGGTCGGAGGCCCGAGGTCGACGGCATGCTGGGGGATTGGGAGCTGCGCATCCGCAGCCTGGTCCGTGGTACACACATGTAGGGTGTCAGGGCGGGCAACCCCCAAGCTAACGGAGCATAGGCGGGGAGCATCAAGCAGTTACATGAAAGCGCAAGGACTGAAAGGTCCCCGCAAGTGCCACAGCAGTGACGGATAACGACACAGCCCTGTTCCAACAGCGATCTTCAATAGCGCCTGGGTCGCCGTGCGACGGCAGCACATCGGGGACTCCAGGTGATCAGGTTACGGTGAGAGGCGCAAGTGTCAGTGCGGGTGCGGGAAAGTAGGATTGAAACCGCATCTCAGCCCCACTCGTGCACGTGGCTCCAAGCACCATGGCACATGCGAGTCATCGGGGTGGGGTTCCATACCATGGGTGACAGGCTGTGCTGCAAAACGCCCTCCTTACCCCCTCGTAACAACCCCGGAAACCAGCAGTATAGCCGATGAACAGCTAGTCACGAGTGGACTCGGAGATTCCGGAGAAAATGTTTCCAAAACTAACAACGTGGGGAAATAAGGGGAATGAGGCCAAATACCAACCATGATTGCGAATTGCCAAAGCTACATGTGTCTGATGCTATACAACGCCTACGAGAATCAGAAACGCAGTTGCCTAAGGTCCCAGACTTCTAACAGTTGCAGTGCCACGGACTGACCAAAACCAGCATACGGGAAATAAGCTCAACGCCCCATCGCCAACCACCCCCCTGGCATCAACTGGGATGCAGCCTACCGCTTAATGATCCCATTCCCCATCCATTTTGGACGACACAAATGATGCTCAAGCCATACCCCCCCCAAAAAAAAACACAACAGCAAAAAGGCAATTTGGTAACGATTAAACGGACAAACCTTTACCGAACCATAGCATAGTCAGAGAGAAATACTCACAACCTTTTTTAATTAAATTGAGGATTATAAGTACATAACATGAGGATAGCAGAGCCCAGCTCACACCACCCCTGGCATACATCTGGCCGTCCTGCACACATACCGTAGTCGTACTTTTGCTAACTCCTGCTTCAAGCAAACCAGCACTTTATGATGCAAACGCAAGTGTCTTCCCCTATTAACCCACCAGCTTTCTCTCCTTTGCTTACGTATTTCCTCTTGCATTCCTGCATGCCTGGCACGCTGACAAAAAACACATTGTGCAGCACTATCCACCAAGGACCTGCAATCACGCATCTTGCGCTCCCCTCACAATACATAGCAAATCTATGCACATGTTGACCGGTGCGGTCCCCTTCCCGGTAAACACCCGTATGATCGCGGTTGCCAACTTCATGTAGACACATACACACAAGTTTTCTTAAAACCGTATCTACGTGCCCATCCTGTGCATAAGCAACACCCGCAACAAACACTGGCCGTATGCCCTTCGATGCAGGAATCTGTATTACGAGCCACCCCAGCACTTGGGCCTACGGCAATGTCGGATGCCCTCCAAAATTGGAAAGAAAGAACCGCCCCATGTAACAGGTATCCAGGACCTTATAAGTGACAGAAAAACGCAGGCAAACGACTTGCAGTCCTAACAAAGAAAGCCCCGGATGTGGAGGCAAATACAGTACGAAAAGACACGGCACACGAAGACCCTAGGGCGGTGCTACCGCTCTACCTACATGATGTTATAAGTTTAATTGCATGCACTCCTATTACCAGCACTAGGTTTTATTTCCGTACACATATAACATGCAACCACCACAGATTGCATATCTTCTTGCTGTCAGGCTGCAACGGCACATGAGTTGCTGCCTCATGGATAATGGGGGTGCCGATCATGGGAGGCCTAGAGCAATCGGCCCCGCATATCAGGCAGCGCGCCAGGAGCCTGCCCAGAGCTCGCCCCACGCCACGCCTCCACTGCTGGCTTGGGGCTTGCAGGCAGCTCCGATTGGGTGCGGAGGGCGGCGCCCTGCGTGGGACACGAGCGATGGTAGCCTCAAGCGGTCACATTGCACCGCAAGGCTGGGCCTCATCCGTACAACTCCCTTGCTACAGGATTTGGGTTATACGGCATAGTCACAGCCAGGTCATCAAGAACACTGTCTCATGCCCAATCGGTACGGAAGAGCCCTGCACGGCAATACCCATCCGCATGTTCCGTACCTGCACCCAAGCAAACTGCCGCAGCTCTGCGATGCTAGGCCGGTCCTCGGGGCGGTGTTCCAGACATGCCAGGACAAACGCCCGGGCATCGGCGCTGATGCGAGAAGGGAAAGGCAGCGTCCGGGTGTCACCGGCGTTGCGCTTGCACGGCGGGCCTCCTGGGAAGGGCGTGAACCCCACCAACATCTCATACAGCAGCGCGCCCACGGACCACACGTCCGCTGCGGCGCCGTACGCCAGCCGGGGGTTGTCCTTGTTGTCATGAGGCAGGCGCTTCAGCGGACATGCGTGCACTTCCTGCGTTCATGGTAAGCGTCAAAGTGTTGTTGACAAGCCGATTCCTGGACACCTGCAGCGAGGGTTGCGTAGCCCCTATAGACACACCCATGTTGCGCCTCTACTTGCCAACGCCCCACCTACCCTGCAGATGCAGCTGTTATGGCAACTTCCTGTCGCCAACAACCCCTATAAGGACCTCATCACACCCTTCTGTACCCCCTTTTCAGCCTCTCCCCAGCCCTCAGCCTCCGTTACGTCCCTGTTCCGCACCCCCCCTCGCCCCCACCCCCTCACCGGCGCCATGTAGTCCCGCGAGCCCGTGCGTGTGACCGCCCGCTCCTCCGTCAGGCAGATGGACACGCCGTAGTCGCACACCTTGAGGCGCCAGTCGGGAGTGAACAACAGGTTCGCCTGTTCCATTCAGGAAAGCGATAGGAGAGCTGTAAGAGGGCTGGAGCCAACGCCGACCCTACAATGCCCGGTAGGCTGAGCATCCCTCTTGAGGAGCACGCTCTAGCGGAAGCCGTTTCCTTTCCAGCCAGGATTGAAGCCCTTGGGCTACTCCCACGAGCATGACACAGAGCAAAAGAAAGGCAGCACTGCCCATGCGCGCACAGGTGTCTTAAGCCTTGGGTGTTGCACCCGCTGCTGCCGCTTACCGGCTTGATGTCCCTGTGCACGATGCTCTGCGTGTGCAGGTAGTGCAGCGTCCGCAGCAGCGGCACCATCACCAGCTCCAGCGCCTGCTGCTCGCTCAGCCGCCCGCCCAGCTTGCGACGCGCGCGGTCCAGCGAGCCGCCGCGAACGTACTCCAGAACCAACACAAGCTTGTCGTCCTCCTGGGGGAGGAGCAGACGGGACCAAAGGTGCGTGGGCGCATGGGGCGTCATGCAGATGGATCACACACCGGTACCTGCTGACCACCGACAAGAAGCAAGAAGCCATGTCAGAGAAAACGCCGGTTCTTTAGCTGCCACCGGTATTGTTAAGGTCAGGAGAATGCTGCGCCAGCAGCATTCTCTGGCTCTGCACTGTCCACGGCATCCCAACACATACGCACACATCCGTACGCGCCTTCCACCTACACCCCCGCTCTCCCTCCCCTCCCCCCCAGCCCCCACCTTGAACGCCGCCAGCAGCTGCACCACGCCCGGGTGGTCCAGTCGCGAGTGGATGTCCAGCTCCCGCAGCACCTGGTTGCGCAGGAAGTCCGACAGGTTGGTCAGCGTGTACACCTTGAGCACCACGTCCTGGCCGGAGCGCAGGCAGGTGGCCTGGGCAGGGGGAGGGGGAGAAGGGAAAAGGGATGATAACGCCCACGTGGAAAGGCGCTTGAGGCCAGGCAACTTTTACATGTGCTGGTTTGTGCCACCAGTCAGAGCCGCACCACAACCCAGAGCACATCCAACAGATGCTGGGTCGCCCTCGAGGTTACTGGCAACACCTGCTAAACCAGCGGATGGTTTGCGGCAGTATCCACTAGAGGTGACCGACAAGAAGAACAAGCGAGGAACCAACCTTGCTAACGGTGCTTGCGTAGCCGCTGTACAGCTTGCGCACAACCGTGAAGTCCTCGTAGTGCCAAGTACTGCGCGCTATTGTGCTGCTGATGTTGCGAGCAACAAAAAGCGCATTACCGCTTGCGGCAGCTGCAAAACTGCATGAAGCAGGGTCCTGTGGCCCCGGAATCCAGGCTATCCGGGGGAACTCTCTGGCGATTACTGTTTGCTCCGCTGCAGGGGCCAGGTGTGACCTGCTGGTGGGCTCCGGGGGCCTGAGGAGCGCATCATCGCCGTCCGGAGCGGGCCGAGGTGGTGTAGACGGGGCCAATGGGCTTCCCACCGAGACAGTCAGCGCCGAGCCAGACAGATCATCTCCTGCCCAATTTTTAGCGACCTCAATCTTTGTCTCCTGGGCATCCAGCGTCGCCATTGTTGCCGAGCGTAGAAGGGGCGTCTCGCATCTTGGCGTTGCGGTTGCCTCCTTCATGTGCGACTCAAAAGGTGGGGCCAGCTTGAGGGTTTTCATGGTGACATGTCGAAACAAGGGTGTGGGGTTTGACGAATTAACTGCTGGCCCGCTGGCGGGTATGGCGGAAGTTGTTGGTATCATTGAGGATGGCCGGAAGGACCAAAAGTCGTCCACACGGGGAGTGTCGGGGAAGGGGTCCGGCGATGATCCTACCATCCTCTGTTCATTAGGGAATGTAGGAGAACCGTCTACAGTTGAGGACTCGGCCGCTGAGTCTGGGATGTCAGTTGGAAAGCTGTCGCGGCCCAGATTCAAAGGTATAAAGATGCTCATTGCTAAGAATATGACAGACGATTACTAGTTCATATTCTTTGGAAAGCAAGCCTTATTCCTAACATTTCTGCCGCAAGTTAACAGAGCTCGGAAATGCTCAGAGTAACATACTGTAACCTAAGTGATACACCTGCATGGCCTGAAAGTTATAACAATAGCCGCTTTGGCAGCCATATGGCTCCGTAGATGCTGCTGGACGTAATGCGCAACGTGTATGCTCGTCCAGTCATGTCACAACGCGACCCCATCAACTTCTTACCGGCGATTTGTTAAGTCTCCAAATTTGCTGCGTACGTTTCGCTTCAGTCTAACCAAGTCGGTTGCCGTTGGGGACCAATGGGTCGGACCATGAGGTAACGGATAAGATACATGCGTTGTGTTCGTATGGAAGATGAGATATCTAGGCACCAGGCTATCTGCCTGGGAAGCTTCAAAGCAAAGAATCTGATCTTTGCAGGGCTAAAGCACACAAATCCAAACTACAAACACGGGTTGCGCGTGAACGTCGTCTAAGGAGTCCTTAGAGTAAGGAGCGTTTGCGTAACTACAGTTGGAGGTTTAATTCCACATTGCAACCTGCGCTTGGCCACCACCGTTACTGGAGGATTCTACGAGCGGACCTTATGCCACTTGCAATGGAATCAGTCCCCGAGGTGTCTTTTGCTCCCCTATCACGTGGACGGCCGCCCCCAAACGGCAGAAATACGGTATGAGAACCGCATGGGTGCCTGTTACGGGACACTCAGGCGTTCCGGTTATCCAAGCCAAGCCACCAGCCGTCTAACCACCGGAAGACATACAACCGCAGCAATGCACACTGTACAGCTGCGGGACGACATTACCGAAAGGCTTGCCTTAGCCAGGGTCCATCCTAGGGAGCCTTGTCTCCTTGCCGCTTTGTCACCAACATAAACGGTTAGCATGTCATGTAGCGGGGACCACCATGATGGGTAAAACGGTAAGGAGGAACGGGCTTCGCAAGGTGTCATGCATCACTTACATGGGAACACGGGTGTTGGTACAAGCGCACACACACACTTTGGTTCGGGCAGAGGTAACTTGTAACCGGTCGTCCTGCGTACACCCCCAAACCACCACCTAGTCCGTATGGTCAAATATGTAAATGCGAAGGGCCTTGCAAAGAGCGCGCCAAAAGGCTCCTTATTCGCCTTATTGTCCAACCATGGATGTTGTACGGCAGGAGACAACCGACTCCGTACATCCTGGAATAAACGTATACTGCAACAAACTGTACAGTGTGCTAGCGTGGTGCAAGGCTGTACATGGTACAACTCGCACCTGGTATTCAGTCCTTCGACCCAACCACAACCTAATCAACAGAGCAGTCAACAGCCACGCGGCTCATGTATAAAATGTCAACATACCATGCTAAACACACGTGCTACGATCAGCAGGCCCCGTACAACGGCATGAGGGGCACGGCGTACTCTGATCATGGGCTTAGCAACGGATATGCCACCATGTTATCAAACAGTTACGAAGCGCAAGTCCTCCTGCCCTGATGTTGTGTTTCCGGTTCCTTCAGCGCTTGTCGCAGCGCATGTCAGCGGCACGTCTCTCATGTAGCGCGTCCACGACACGACCACCACTACATACCACTACATACCTTCCTTCTTTGCTTTCCTTCCTTCCTTCGAAACCAGGCGCAGTAACCAAGATTGTTATTATTCCTCACCAACTGCTCACCACGCCAGTGCAGTGAGCGCAACGGCACACTCCCTGCACTCCCTCACAGCTAGGCACACAAGCATGTAAAAGCACACGGAACTAATCAGACGGTAAAGGAGAGAAACGAAGACAGTAAAGCCCGCGGAGGCCCATGTTGTGCTTCACAAGCCAACAGAGACGCCAAGGTCAAACACGCAAATGGGATAGCTGATGCCCATGGAATGTACGACCACCCACCACTTACTACTACACAACGGGTCCGCTTACCAGACCACGCCGAGCTGCTTACCAATGCATTACCTCCAGTCTTAAACTCGCAGGCACGTAGAGGAGCACGTGCGAGGACTACACGCGTGGCGGTCAGCGTCGCGTTATACCTGCAAAGCAGAGAACACGATTGTGAGGAGCAGCAATCCTGCATATCGCAAAGGAAGGCTTGCAACCTAGGGCGGAAGGCCATAACAACCATGCACAACCTGCACAACCTCATGATCGCTTACGGGCTTACCACTGCGCTCTGGACCCAGGGGTGCTGCAGCAGCTGCTGGATTGTCGGCCTGTCAGCCGAGTTATGCTCCAGGCACGAAAGCACAAAACCGCGCGCGTCGTTGCTCACGCTGGTCGGGAATGCCAGAGACCGGGCCGTTGCCACCACGCGATTGGCCGGCGGGCCGCCTGGGAAGGGGGTAAACCCCACCAGCAACTCGTACGACAGCGCACCCACGGACCAAACATCCACCGCTGCCCCGTAGGCCAGCTCCGGGTTGTCCTTGTTCTCCTCCGGGGTGCGCTTCAGCGGGCACAGTTGCACCTCCTGTGAGGGGCCAGTGTGGGGGTTGGGTGCAACCCAGATCGAACATGGGGTTCGGGTGCGGCGAGCTGGTAGACCCTACAGCCCCCGCCGTACCTCCTCTTCCTTGACTGGCAGATTCATATGCCTAACCGCTCTTCCCATGCCCCCCTGCAGCGTTTTCGCCTACCCCCAGCCCTCCGCCTCCGTTACGTCCATGTCCCGGGCCCCCCCTCGCCCCCACCCCCTCACCGGCGCCATGTAGTCCCGCGAGCCCGTGCGTGTGACCGCCCGCTCCTCCGTTAGGCAGATGGACACGCCGTAGTCGCACACCTTGAGGCGCCAGTCGGGAGTGAACAACAGGTTCTCCTGCGGGCCGGTACAACGCGGGGAAGCTCAGGAGCAGGGAGCCTACCACCGCCCTGATGCCTGAATCGGGTGTGGTTCCTTCGCATGCACAGCATGCCCACGAGCTCACGGGCCCGACCAAGGTTGTTGCTGTGCTACCATGCAGCATCCCAGCAAGGCCTCGTGACGTGAGAGCATGCATGCGCGCACAGGTGTCTAAGCCTTGGGTGTTGCACCCGCTGCTGCCGCTTACCGGCTTGATGTCCCTGTGCACGATGCTCTGCGTGTGCAGGTAGTGCAGCGTCCGCAGCAGCGGCACCATCACCAGCTCCAGCGCCTGCTGCTCACTCAGCCGCCCGCCCAGCTTGCGACGCGCGCGGTCCAGCGAGCCGCCGCGAACGTACTCCAGAACCAACACAAGCTTGTCGTCCTCCTGAAGGAAAGAGCGAAAGAGGCAATACGTTAGTTCTCAGGCTTCAGCCATCATCACTTAACCTGCTAATGGCTGCGTGCCAAGGCGCCCCTGCTGTCCTCTCCCTCCATGTTCTCGCCAGGCTGCTGCTAGCCCTCAGCAGCATCCCAGAATTCCAGCCCATCATTGCTTTTACCTGCACCCCTCCCCTCCCCCCCAGCCCCCACCTTGAACGCCGCCAGCAGCTGCACCACGCCCGGGTGGTCCAGTCGCGAGTGGATGTCCAGCTCCCGCAGCACCTGGTTGCGCAGGAAGTCCGACAGGTTGGTCAGCGTGTACACCTTGAGCACCACGTCCTGGCCGGAGCGCAGGCAGGTGGCCTGGGCAGGGGGAGGGGAGAAGGGAGGGGCAGGGGGCTCATGAGAAGGTGATGGGAGGGCCGCGTGCACAGGCAGAAGCACAAATCAAGCGAGTACATAGGAGCGGGAGTTCAGCCGTGGCGGTGTCCTGCATGACCAAGCTGTGGAACAGCTGGGCTCATCGGCAGTGCTGGTGCAACAAGGGCTGAGGGACTGTTGTTAAGGTGTAGGGTGCCCGGTCGCACTCATAGCTTCATGGCTGCTAGGTTACCCCACCAGGAACCCCTCCCTAGGCACTGCACTCAGGATGCAAACGCCCGGACGTGTCCAATCCTTGAGGTCCAAGCAGGCACCGCCTAGATAGCGTGAGCCACCGCACCCCCAGTAACCGCAGTAACCGCACCGTGGTAGCCTGCCCAACGCGCCCTGTCAAGCACACACGCAACCGGACCTACCTTGTACACCGCGCTCGCGTAGCCATTGTAGAGCTGCCGCGCGATGGTGAACTCCGCCATGGCCCAGTCCCCGTGGTGCATGGCCTTGGGCGCGGACAGCGACAAGTGAACCAGACCGTCCGTGGGCGGCGGCCGTGTCACGAACGAGGGCAGTGAGGGCTCCGGCTTGCTGGAGAAGGAGTCGCTGCTCTCCATCACGGTAGGCCGGGAGCTGGTCGGCGAGCCGTCCAAATAGCCGTCGTGTGCGGTCGTGGAGATCAGGGATGGCGTGCGCTGGGCTCGGACGGAAATAGAGATGCGGCGCGTGGGGCGCAGGGCGGTGGTGGGCAGGCATGGGGTGGAGGTGCGGTAGCCGATGGGTTGGGGCCCTTGGGGGTTTTCTTGGGCGGGGCCCCAGGGCATGGCCGTGGTGGTGGTGAACGAGGAGCCCGAGGCGAAGGGGTTGGGAAGTGTTGGGGATTGTGATAGCTGCTGAGCGTCGGGCCCACGCGTCGCTGTGTAGTTCTGCGAGGCCTCGGCTGCCCTGGCCATCGCTGTTGATGTTCCCGTGCGCATGAAGCCGGGAAGACGTTCAAGGGTCACGCATGAAGATGTCCGGCGAGCCATTTCGCCGAACGGTGAGGATGGGGTTAAAGCAGGGGAGGCCGGAGGAAATGGCCCCGCCTGTGGAAGGGAGTTGTCTCGGTGGCGGTTCGTGGCCATACCCGAGAGGAGTGACCGCTCCGCCACATGTCGGGCCAAAGGCGTCACTTTTGCAGTCGAAGACACTAGCGTCTGCGGTCCATATGTGGGGTCGGACCCGCCGAAGAAACGTCTTCCGTTGGAGGAGGGAGCAGCTTCACCGTGCCCACCACCTGTACAGTTAGGCGGTCCTCCAACAGTGGTGCCATCTTTCGGGCTATCAAGTTGGCTAGCAGATGCGATAGAAACACTTCGTAAGCGAAGGTTAACTATGTCCTCCGACCAGAATGTAGAATTGGCGCCGGCTGAAAACGATGCGTCCGCGGCAGCTAGTTCTGAATGAGATTCATCTGTTGCAAGAACTTTATATTCTTCCGTAAATGCTACTATCCGGCGTATGGGCGTGTGGGGGCTCTCGTCGTTATTGGCCCTTGGATAGTAACCAGGCGTCACACCGGCTAAGGCACTCTTCCGACGAAGCATTGCTGCCTACAAAAGTGGCCTTCTGAACAGGCAGCATCACAAAAGCATGCATCCGCTAGACATTTGCAAGGCTTTCCTTAGCGCCCTCAGAATAACAACAGTTCATACAGCATTCCTATATGTGTATGAAATACAACTGATATGGACAAGGGCTTTCTACCGGGTAGAAAGCTGTACATAGCCGTATCAGGAATGTTACAATGCGCGATGACCCCGTTTTCAATTCTTTAGATGCTGTTCAGCTTGAAACGCGTCAAACTTCTTGGGCATAATAAGCGCTTTGGCCAATAAGTGTAAAACTTTGTCAGCTTCGTTCCGGATGCACACGTCAAGGGCGGCGCGTGCCTCCAGCCATGACGCTCTGGTTCCACTACATGCGGAGACCAAGCTGCATGCCGTCTCTACGTGGCGAAACTATGCAGATCGCCGACGAAGGGCACCAGCCAAAGCACACTAAACGTTGCAACAGCGCTGCGTCTACTGACGTGTTTTCAGGGAGGAAACCTCAACAGGTCACTGGTCAGTAAGCTGGGCTTTGTTTGTGCATGGGCATGCGGACGCATGGCGGGCGTCCTAACTATGTAGGAAACTGGGTACAGGCGACGAAAGCCGGCAGAACCTGTTGACGAACTCCGCGGAACGTGTCTTCAAGCCTCAGACGTCGTGCTACACTTAGGGATGAACAAAGCATTTGGATACACACGAGGATTGCGATCCCAGGAGTTGTGTGCCGTGTGCGTCTAGCTCGTACCGTACGGTACAGCTGACCGTGTTCGTCCCGTGCATGTTGCCAAGCAACTCACACTGGAGGCTAATGTTACACATGAGCTATTGTGAAACAGTTTCCTGCTTCCTGAGGCAGCTTATACGGGAAACCGCCTATGCAGAGTTTTACACCTGGCTGCTATGTGCCTACACTCGTGGTCATCCACGCACTCGGCATAGCACATACAAGCCACGTGCCTTACTAGCGATGCTTTCTTCATGGCAGGGTAAGCAATTAAAAGAGACATAATGAAAAATTGTAAACCAGCTGCCGTGCATGTGTGACCCGGGCGTCTGGGAGCGGTTATAGTGGCGGCGTGCGACACTTTCGAGCAGGCCGCAATTGTCGGCGGCGAACCCTGTTCACAGACACACCCTGGACGGTCGGTCTGCCGTCCACCCTCGCCCTTTATGCTCGCCAAGCTGTTGGAGGGCAGATAGGACACAAACCCGTGGGGCAGGAAGGGAAGGGGGTGTAGGGCGCAAGAGCGGAAGTGGGGAGAGTCGGCTGGGCAAAAGGGTACAGGACCCAAGGTCGCCTGGCATGGCAAGGTATTAAAGTAAAGTGCAACCGCCTTCCTGACCAGTAACCCACCTCCCGTGACCTCTTTCGGGCCTGCCGTCGCCCGAAGCGTCCCGTGGCCGCGTCATGTCACTGCTTGACGCCCAACTTACACCGCACAGGGAATGTATCGGTGCATTTACAGGTATAACCTCGCTCACTTTAATTCACAAAATCAAGGCCAATTGCGCTCATTTCGAATGGATGTTGCTTCCAGCCCACCAACCGCCAACTGACAAGGTGACCTGGGAGGCATCTCCAGGACAGCGGCCAGCCCAGCATGACCAAGATTCCTTTTGGCATTATTCTAGAACAGCAAGACATTCATGAAGGTCTAAGCTCAAGGCGTACAGTAGGGTCTTGCTAGTTAAAGACTAGCCCCTTCTCCAGGGAATCGGCGTCAAGAAAACGCTTTTTACTTCCTATAGCGCACACCGCAGCAACGCCCTTTCGCCCATTTTACAGCAGTGCGCCCGGTCACGGACTAGAAACTTAACCGCAGGCTCCTTGCTGATCCATGCAGCTACAGTTATTGTAAACGATCACAGCCAAACGGCCAGCGCGATGGAGGCTAGTAAGGAGTCACTGGAGCTTAGTCCCTGGCAGGGCATCGCATGCATCCCGGATCATGAGCGGAATGCCTTCGAGCGCGATTTCGCGCACGCCGTGGAAATTTCCATGGAGTGCGAGCACATGCCATGTGACACCCTGGAGCAGGCCGCAAAGTTTGGTCGGCGAATCCTGGTAACAAACTGGTTAACTGGCGGACTGATTAGGAATGTGGCCGGCCCACCCTTCATACTCTTTAAGCTGTGGGAGGTAAGCGCATGGCAGGGAGGAAGGCATAAACATCTGGTGAGAAGCCCGACCCAGGGGCGTCATCCATGGAGAGGCTTCATGCCGTATGTCCGCATTGCCTGGCATGCTTTGTTACGGCGCCATGCTCCGACTCGCTGCCTGCACGCCTGCACGCTCCATACCACTCCCCACAGGCAGTCAGGCATGCAGAGCGCCTAACTTGCATGCATTTCACGTGGTTCGATAGCGCCACACGCAAGGAGATCAGCTTCCAAGAGGCCAACCGGCGGATGCGGGCGGGGCAGGCCGATAGCATGATGCAGGGCGCCATCACCCGCGGGAACCCAGACCCCGCCGTGTACGAGCACATGACATGCGACGAGTTCGTACTAGCCATGTGCTCCCTGAACCTCAGTCAGAAGTGCCACCACTGGGTTTCCTGCTACAACCTTGCAGCCTCCTTGTACGGCGAGCCTCGCATCCAACAGCGCATCCGTACCGTGCTGCTGCCTCAGCTGGCGCAGTGCGACGTGGGGGAGCCGGTGCACATGGACGTGTCGCAGTGGGAGGCGGTGTGGATCACGTGGCTGGTGCCGTACCTCATGGAGGGAATCCGCCAGCAGCCGCCCACGTCAGCAGTGGCCTTGCAGGTACGACAGGCAGTGTACGGCGGCGGGGACCCAATGAGGTTCCCCGCTTTCCGGCCCAGCCACATGCATGGCGGGTTGGCGGAGCATTGGATTTGCTGCTCCAGCCTGCATGCTATTAGGTGCCCCGCCATGTGCGGCACATACACTCCGCCAAATGAGGGTCGCAGCTCGACATGTCCCGAGTGCTGAGTGCTGAGTGCTGAGCCATGGCATCGGCCTGCAACCGCTGCCTGCGCCGGAGCAGTTCAGCTGCACTTCACCCTTCCCCTGCCTGCCTGAAGAGATGAGGACCCATGAAGACCATCCACGCGTTCATCCCCATGCTGCGCAGGCTCGCATGACAATACGTGCGGCGGCTAAGCGGCTGCTGGAGGCGGAGCCGGGGCGCGCGATGAACTACCGCGTGGCGATGGAGGTCGCGGCGCAGAACGAGGATCCGAGCGGCGACTACAGGTATGTATACGGGGCACAAGGGTACAGCATGCGGGTACTTGGAATGCTGAATCGTGTTGGAAACAACATTGAGCCTTCGCACTTGACACAGCCTGCGCCCCTGCCCCGCCCTCCCTTCGCCATGCATGTGCACCTCTCCGCACCCCTCAGCGCCGCCTGCACCCTGGCCCGGCTTGGCGAGGAGCAGGGCAACGACTTCGCGGTCGCAGTGGGCACCTGGAACAGCGCCGTCTGCATCCTGCGTGGCGCGCAGGGTCCGCGGGTGCCCACCTGCCGGCTGGGGGAGCTGCGGGAGCTGGTGGGCAAGGCGGTGGCGGCGGGCAAGCGACTCAAGCGCTGGCGCATGAAGCCGCTGCTGATGGCTACGGTGAGCAAGGTGTTCCCGGATAATGGTGCGGAGGTAGTGGGGTGGAACTGCGGAATGCCGGGCAGGCTGCCGGCGCAGGGGCAGCAGGGGTCGAGGGGCTGGGCTGCCTGGGCGCACAGCAAGCGAAGCTACACGCGGTAGGGGCTCGGAGCGGTCTACCGGCTCAATAATACGCAGAAACGCTACCAGGGCCACATCCATGTTATACAACTAGTTTATCCGATCGGCGTGCAGATGGATGTGCACGTCGCGTTCGTGAAGCAGACGATGAAGGACCTGCAGCACCTGCCTGATGACGAGGAGATCCGCCTACCGCACATGACCGAAGCAGCAAAGGCCGCGGCGGATGCAGTGTGAGTGGGGGGTGGCAAGTGACAAGGGTTGTGCGTTGCTTCCGGACTCTGTGGCTGGGCGCGGCGGATGCCGTTGCCATGTTTTTAGGACCGCTGCTAGGTGACGGCTAGCTAACAAAGTGCCGGCAGCCCCCTTGACGGACCCAATGACGGACTGCGCGCCATCGGGCCAGTCCAAGCTCTGAAGAGGAGCGGAGTGTAGTCGCGCTGGGCACAACATGTGAGGGCCGTTATGTACAGCAGCTCCTTACGTGAGGTGCACATGCGCCCAGCACTGTCCTGACACCTCAGCGCTGCTCTGGGCCCTAGCCGACGAAGTACTGTTACGATAACCAATCGGACCCTTCCTTTTCTCTCTCGCCCTGCCCTGTTTCTATGGCGCCGCGCATGTAGGTTGCGTGCAGGAGCAGCGGGTACGGGCAATGCCGGCGCCGCTGGGGTGTCCTCAGGCCCTGCGGCCACTGCCGCTGCGCATTCGCGCTCGGCGTCTCCGGCGACGGCGGCGGCATCCAATGAAGCCGCAACCGAGTCCGGTTGCCACGGCTGCGGCCACAAGTTCGCCTCTTACCAGCGCTGTGGCGGCTGCCGGCAGCGGCGGTACTGCAGCAGGGCCTGCCAGGCAGCGGACTGGCGTGCCGGGCACAAGCAGCAGTGCAAGCAACTGGCGGAGGCTGCGGAGGCAGCGGGGAAAGCGGCGGGGGACGGGACGGCGGCGGAGGCGGGCAAGGAAGGGAATGCATAGCGGGGCCCGGAGGCGGGTAGCTCGCATGTCGGCATGGGGTTTGGTAGGTGTTTGGAGCATGAGTCCGCGTGTGTGAACAGCGCTTCTGCCGGCTCCTACATGCGCAAGGGCCGACAGACCCATGGGTCACTCGTCACGCAGTTGCTGCACGAAACGCTTGACAGGTCGCGGTCAATTTACTTGGCTTCAGAAGCATGGAGCAGGTCTTAAGGTAATAACCATGATCATCTCGCGAACGGTCCTTATGTGCAATGCTCGTCGTGGGACCGGCAGGCACCTGTTGCTGAAGCGTAGAAACGCAACCTAGTCTTAAAGGTATTAAACTCGTTGAGCTACGCTACGATAGGCTGCGCTGTTACCTGGCTATTGGGACGTAGCGCTTACCGGTAACAGGACAGTGGCAGCAGGGAGGCTGAACAAGGGCCAAATGTGTCATGTGGAATACTTACCGGTAAGATGAGTCAGATGAGTCATGTTGCTTCTCGAACTCCCAAGGTGACAGCATTGGATTACAACACCACAGCTGCGCGCTTGAAAGCAGACCTTGCGGCGCACTCTTTGTCTCATATCATGCCGCGACATGGCATTCCAAAATTACACAAAAAACGAAAATTTGCACACGGTAGACCCCTATGCTTACAGGGTGGAAAAGAAGGATTGGAAAGCCGCGGTGAACAATGCTATCCACGCGTTTGCTTTCGACTACCCGAAGCACTCCCACTACGGGCCTCACTGCCGCGAGCGGGTTCGGCACTGCGGGCATGAGGGCTGCCCAGTGGTGCTGATCACCGTCGTGTCCCAGCATCACGGGGAACCGTGCATGCTGCTGATCCAATACGGCCGCCATGCCCACCCGCCGAGGCCGGTGCAGCAGAGCAGCAGGTGGGGCTGGACTGCTGGGGCTGCTCGGCAGGATTGCGGTAGCATTATGGAAGTAGGCCGCCGGCTGTTGGTTTGCTGACGCTAGCTGTTTGCATTGCTTGCCTGGCTCCGCAGCAAGAAGGCCCGCAAGGATGAGGGGCCGATGCCCGCTACCAGCGCCACTGCCTCCTGGCGCACATGCGAACCCGAGCCTTCCACCAGCAGGTGGGTGTGCAGGACATGCAAGCATGATGATTGCGGGCCACATCCTCGCTTGCTGAACCAGCATGCCCAGCCCGTTGCTTGCTGTTACGCATGACCAGACCTTTCTGCATACCCTTAGGACTTGTTTGCTTGTTTCCATGTTTGCGTACAATTGTTTCTATGCTTGTGAAGATGCGAACTAATAGCATGTGCACTGTTTTGCGCCACGCCGTACCGTGCAGGCCTGAGGGTGATTCTGCCCACGGAACTTCCCAGTCTGCGGACCAGGGAGCAAGCGGTGTGAGAGGCTCGGGCCCGAGCTTGAGCTTTATCCAGAGGTGCGCGTGGGTTGTACGGCACGGGCAGGCGGGCTACACAGCATGGGCGGATGGGTTGTATGGCGTGGGCAGGCGGGTTGTACGGCATGGGCGCGTGGGTTGTACAGCATGGGCAGGCGGGTTGTACGGCATGGGCAGGCGGTCGTACGTCAGGGGCAGGCGGGTTCTACGTCAGGGGCAGCCGGGTTGTGGGCAGGGGCAGGCGGGTTCTACGTCAGGGGCAGGCGGGTTCTAAGTCAGGGGCAGGCGGGTTCTACGTCAGGGGCAGCCGGGTTGTGGGCAGGGGCAGGCGGGTTCTACGTCAGGGGCAGGCGGGTTGTGGGCAGGGGCAGGCGGTTTGTACGGCAGGGGCAGGTGGGTTGCACAGCATGCTTGCTGCGACAATTGCAGGGTTGAAACCTGGCATCTTCCATGTATAGCAAATGCAGTCTGCTGCATGCCCTTGCTTGTCCTGCTGCAGGCAGCCTAAGTGAGCTAATTGATGCTTCCCATGCAGGCTCAACATTATGGAAGTAGGCCGCCGGCTGTTGGTTTGCTGACGCTAGCTGTTTGCATTGCTTGCCTGGCTCCGCAGCAAGAAGGCCCGCAAGGATGAGGGGCCGATGCCCGCTACCAGCGCCACTGCCTCCTGGCGCACATGCGAACCCGAGCCTTCCACCAGCAGGTGGGTATGCAGGACTTGCAAGCATGGTGATTGTGGGCCACATCCTCGCTTGCTGAACCAGCTTGCCCAGTCCGTTGCTTGCTGTTACGCATGACCAGACCTTTCTGCATACCCTTATGACTTGTTTGCTTGTTTCCATGATGCCTGTAAATTAATTCATATGCGCCCTTTTGCACAACCCCATACCGTGCAGGCCTGAGGGCGAGTCTGCGGACCCGGGAGCAAGCAGTCTGGAAGCTTCCTCGAGCTTAAGCTTGATCCAGAGGTGAGCAGGGGTACTGCGTGGGTTGTACGGCATGGGCGGGCGGGTTGTCCGGCATGCTTGCTGCGACATGGCAGGGATGCAACCTGGGCACCTTTTGATGCATTTCAGTTGCAGGCTGCTGCATGCTTTGCTTGTCCTGCTCTAGCCAGCCTTAGTGGGCAAGTTGCTGACACAAGATGCTTCCCATGCAGGCTCAACATAGCTGCGGACTTGGTGTGCGGGGCGGTGGAGCTGCGTGATGGGCAAGTGTCCTCCATCCTCCAGAGCGGCGCGAACCCTCCCCTCCCAGACCACGTTGCGGTCCTGGACCCGGAGGCGGCTGCCGCACTGTGCAGCAAGCACGGGCTGCTACTGTCCGGTGGCATGCAAGTGCATGTTGTGCCCCGCCCAGAGCACTCTCCTGCAGCAGCCTCAGCACCACTGGATTCTCTGCGGGATGTGACGGGCCAAGAGCTGCTGGTGTTTGCAAAGGAGGGGTCTGAGGGCCGGCCTGACAGCCAGCCAACTGCCTTGTTGATGGCCATCCTGCAGGTGCGTTTCCCGTGTTGGGATCCCCCAGTGCACTTGTGTTGGGGGGTATCATGTTTAAAAACTTGAGCTTTACTTGCACGGGTTCAATCAACTGGCTGCAAAACTGGCACTTACCGTGGATGTGGCAATTGGATGTGTGCATGCATGTGTGTGTACTGGCCCGGCCAGGTAGTAGATGAGGCCGTCATTGGGCGGCTCAAGATCCTGTACCAGGTCCTGGAGGCGATGCGAGCCTTCACCAAGATGAAGCGGTTCGAGGACCAGCAGGCCGCGGACTTCAGCATGGTGGGCCGCCCGCTCATCAAGACGAACCAGCTGGCCCTTAGTCCAGGGTGAGTCGGATAGGTTCGGATGGGGAAGCCTAGCTATCCCTCCGGCTTGTCTCGAGCTGGTCCCGCTGCGATGTGACCCCTGCCATGTGCGTGTAAGCAATGCCCCGTGATGCAGGAGCCGTTTGGCTCTGCTGTAGTGTTGCGTTACCTAACCACCGCCCGTCTGTGTACGTATTCCTTCACCACACTGCCTTGCCTGCCTTGCAAGCATATGTTTCCGGCCGATCGAGCGCCCTGTCCAGCAGGCTGCTATCTGACACCTTGTGCCGCATGCCCTGCTGCTGTATGCTGCTGCTGTGCGTGCGGCCCGCCCTGCCGCAGGTATGCCAACATGATCAAGTTCCAGCAGACGGCGGTGCTGGCTCCCTGCGCTGTGGACAGCATGCTGCAGGAGCTGTGCGCCCTGGTGTGGGGGCAGCTGGTGAGGCGGCTGCCCTTGCTGGAGACCTACCGGTGCGTGTGTGTGGGGGGGGGGTCGCTGGGGGCTGGGGGCTGCTGGGGGCTGGGGGCCGCTAGGGGCATATGCTCATTGCACATACAGCGATACAAGCAAGCACTGGCCAGTGTGTGCGTGTGAGGGCATTCACGCATGCTGATGGTGGGGTTGACGCTGCCCGCATGCAGGACGCAGTTCATCACCCCGGCGGGCCAGGTGTTCTGCATCCGAGGCACGGCATACAACATGGTCTCGTTCGCTAAGAACCAGCCGGTGCCGCTGCACCGGGACGAGAACGATGGTGGGGGGGGGAGGCGGGTGAGGGCAGGTAGGGTTGCAAGGAGCTGAAGGGTGCATGCTGGGTTGGTTTCTCCCCATTAATGACCTAGTTGCGACGAGGAGGGGGTTCCTCCTCTGCTTCCATGGCCTGCTTGTAAGCTGGCTAACTTCTACTACTCCACAGCTTGCTTGGTTGCATACGTACTTCATTGTTCCCTGGTGATACCTGTTAACCTGGTATTATCCCCTTCCCCCTTTGCTGCCCCCCCTCCCCCTCCCCAACACCCCCCTACCCCCGCAGCTCCGCTGTCATGCATCCTGTGGCTGCACGGGGGCAGTGGCACGGTGTCAGGCGGCTGGTTCCAGGTGCCGGGCCTGGGCCTGCGCTTCCAGCCCCTGGACTGCACCCTGGCGGTGCTGGCCACCAGCCTGCTGCCGCACGGCACATCAGCGCCGCTGCACGCGACTGGCAGCGCCGTGCGGTGCGGCTCCTCGCACTTCCTGCGCACCGCCGACCTGGAGAGCCTGGTGTGGCTGCAGGCGGGGCTGCAGCTGAACCGCCTCTCCATGTGGGAGCTGCAGACCAGCGTGTGGCAGGAGAACGAGGCGGCGAAGGGCAAGAGGGGCAAGGGTGGGGCGAAGGCGGTGCAGGCTAGGGTGGAGAAGGAGCGCAAGAGGTACATTGACGAGGGGAGGGGCACTGGGGTGGCTGGGGTGGAGAAGGACATGATCCGGGGGGGCCTGGTGCTGTGGCGGTCATGACAAGGATGGATGGATGGCCAGTGGTATGGAGGCGAGCGAGGTTGTGTAGTAGATAGGGGACACAGGGCTGTGGTTGCAGGGTGTGGGGGGAGGGATGGGCAGCAGCAGGTGGAGAAAGGATGTATGGGTGGGTGGTGGAGTGCGTGGATGGGGATGGGAGGGGGCACTAGAGCACTGTTTGGAGTGAGCAAACAGCAGCAAGGCGACTTGGGAGTGCTGGGACTTGGTGGCTAAACAGTTGAATGGCCCCGA